TGATTTTGTATGCTCAAATATCGACATGATTTCAGTTGTGCCAAGAAGAAGTGTCATGTAACATATTCAAAGTGTGTATATTTGTAAATAGCCTACTCAAACCTATGATGTACTCGAATTTTGGCAATTATTATATTTTGATAATAATCGTCAAAGGACATTTTTATGGATGTTTCAAGTTTTGTGGTTAGATTTTTGCGAAAAATATTATTTATCCCCTACATTGCCATTGTGTTGAACTAGTAGCGGGGACGTGTAGTTTGCAATAACCTTAAAAATGTGTATATGGAAAGAATACTTCAAAATCACCTCTTGTTTCTGTTTTTCAATATTTCCTCACCATCAACAACAGATACTATGAACATTTAAATTTTAATAAACTTTTTGAGTTGATTACTGCTCACCTTAATCATAACCTTGTGATAAAAATACAATTTAGCAAGTTTGACAAAATAAGACAGTCAATGGAAAGTTCAAAATACTAATATACTGAATTTCCATATTCTGCATCCTCTTCGGAACAAAACACAAGAAGAATGCTTTGAAAGATTGAACAATATCAATAGCATGTTGTATAAAACATGAGGAAACTACTAATTTTTGTTTCCTATTCATATTATATAGAAAATGCTATTCCTATTGATCTTGGCAAAGATGTTTGCAACTTAACACGTTGCTATGACAACCTAATTTAGCTGCGAGATCGACTTGACATGCAGCTGTTCCTTCCCACCAATTTCATTATATCTTGGAATAGTTTAGACATAAAGTATTCGCACCGAATCTCCTGTCCAGCTTTCGAAAATAATTCTTGCTCTAGGGAGATTATAAGTGATTATATTTTTCCAAGTCAAACTCTGACATTTTAGTGATATCAACCAATAGCAATGTGCAATTCTGGGCAATCATTCGGTATTATACTGATGAAACTGCTCCTCCTCGATTGAACCTTGTTTACACATTGAACTATAAATATTACTGACAAAATGGATTAGATTCACTTGCATATGGCATATTGATTCTCTTGAGCAAACAAAACAACCTTCTTAATCGTCATTCAACATCATAACGCAAAAATTTGAACTCATGATAAACATTTGAAGATTGTATAAATATACGGCGCACGCGAAACTTAATAGAAGACCGGAAATTTTATTTGAGTTGTGAAGATCTGCTATTGATGAAATATTTGTTTTCCTCTCTCTGATTGGTGAAAAACATAATCCTATTAAATGCAATTCGTTCTTATATCAGATGATTTTTTGTTTTCATCACTCAAACTTCTTTTATTTGAGGCAAAAGCATTCAAACAAACCAATTTAGATAAAATCACAAGTCCATCAGGTTTTTTTTCATATTCTTTAAATAAACGAGTTTTCGTAGGAAATGGAAATTTAGCGATAAAATTTGAAGGACTCATAGTATTACCTTTCATAATATACTTGCTGTTACGTAAGGGGGTTGAATCCCTTACCCGTAAAGTCTCAGGAGAGAAAAAAATGGACTGGAGGCAAATTGAGCGTGGTCTTTAAGATCTCACCTTATGATTATTCCGTGGTGGTGACGGGCCGGCCGGCACTCTGGACTGGACGTATGGGATGAATGGTTTCCCTCAGGAACTATCTGGTACCACTCGCTTCGCACGAGAGATAACTAATCCTTAATTGGACACTTAAGGTTCCATTAACGTCTGGAGGACAGATATTTTGTTATTGTAGAGAAAATGTTACTTGGAAAGATCCAAGGCGATCGAATTGAATGTCGGATTCGATGTACGAAAAGTTCTGATTCTTTTATCCGCGGTGGCCACTTGGAGGAGCTGCATGTAAAACCTTAAAGACCTGAAGCGCGAATTCAATTTTGATATATACAGTGAGCCAAACACAGATAGCAGATAATGCATAGAAATTCATTATTATTTTAAGTTTACATAAAAGGACATAACAAAGGAGATGGACGGAACACTTGCTATATACTTTTATTTTATATCCAACGTTTCAATTTTTACACAAATGTTAGTATTATTATCAAAAATGTAAAATTCAAACTCCAACATTCAATCTTCCATAGCATATTTTTCATGAAAATGTTCTGGGAAATGCGGAAAGTTAAAATTCAATAAAAACGCGAAACCAGTCATTTTATCTTGTCATATATGTTCTAATACCTGCTGAATTGACAATTCATCACATGAAGTAATTATTGTACCAAATCTGAAGTTGACTGATTTGATTCTGTTGAAACAAATTTCATCTGTAGTTGAGAGGTGGGTGAAATTTGAATTGCTTTATCCAACTGTCACTGTCAAACTGGTTTCAAGTTTCGTTTCCTATCCGTACCTGATGTTGAAAATTCGACCTTTCGTGTATAAATAAATCAATGCGGCTGTGACCTCTACTTCGAATGAACTCAAAAAATCATCCTAAAAGTAGAGATTATGGAGAATTTAGTAATAGAAACTTCTAAATGCAGCAAATGGACTTTTTGTTGGCCAAATTTCATATACAAATTCAAATTCATCTGCTTGCAACCGCTTTGATTTGGTGGATTTTATAAGGGAAACTAAGAAACTGTCTATAATAAGAATGTGACCCCCTTGATTATAGGCCCAAACAAACATGTAAACTCTTTTATTATTGTTCTACAATCAAGATGTTTTAATATACCTAATAAAGATGTGCTCATTTATATCAATGAAACAAGATGTGAAACCTTAATCAAATGTCAATAAATGTAGCTCAAACTCTCTATTTTTTTCAATATAAAATCTCTACATTTTATGATTAAGTCATATACACAGTGTGTTCATAAAATTGTTTCTATTGCAGTTACTGTATATTGGTATAAACAGAAAATAGCCAAATTTATTATAGGTTATTTCAGGCCAGTGGAAAGATATCCAACTTTTTTATTTCAGTTCATGGAATAGCTAATATGATCTACACTCTGTGTACTATAGATCCTGTTGTCATCCAGGACATTGAAAAATAAATGCAATGAAACTTTGCTTTGAAGTATGCAATGTAACTCACTTCAGATATTTTGTTTTGATGTGTAACTATGCTGAGTTACTATTTTGTGCTAAATTTAGGTATTTCTGAGTAACTTCACTGTTTTGTTAACTTATTTTTAAAGAAAAGTTGTTGTTAAATTCTGTCCAAGAAATATTTCCAAGAGTATGTTCAAAGTGTATATGTATATACCTGTATTATTGTATGCACAATAAAATATGGCATTGTAATTAAAACGTGTTTATTTTTTAACCTTTGATTGCATTTCAGTGAAAATTAAACCCGAGACACTTCAGAACAGAAACATAATTCAATCAATTGTAGGGCAATAAGCTGTGGATAGATTTTCATTATTTTATATGTTTTTGTTAAGACCTTACCTTATTTACAAAGTCAAGAATATGTTGAGAACCTCTGAAATTGTTCTTATACAAGTACCTACTATCAAGTTTGAAGTAGGAAAGGAATTCAATTCATTATTTTTTATCAAATCTAATATATAAAATTCTCCTGTCACGGTCACGGTGTTAGTGGTCGAACTCCTCCGAAACGGCTCGACCGATTCGTATGAAATTTTTTGTGCGTATTCTGTAGGTATGAGAATCGGTCGTGATCAATTTTTTAAATCGAAAACTCAAGTTGGCGGATCCAATATGCCGGACGAGTATAGTTATCCGATTTCATTCAAAATTGGTACTTGTGGGTTTTCGGGGTCGGAAATTATGGATATTTCGTCAAATTTTGGTAAATCAATCCAATATGGCAAACGAGCTTTGTAATTATGGTCAGATTCCATTCAAAATTGGTATCTGGGGGTTTTCGAGGTTGGAGATTATGATTTCTTCATCGAAATTAGGAAATTCAAAATGGCGGATACAATATGGCGGACGAGTTTTGTAATTATGGTGAGATTCCATTCAAAATTGGTATCTGGTGGTTTTCGAGGTCGGAGATTATGATTTCTTCATCGAAATTAGGAAATTCAAAATGGCGGATACAATATGGCGGAAGAGTTTTGTAATTATGGTGAGATTCCATTCAAAATTGGTATCTGGGGGTTTTCGAGGTCAAAGATTATGATTTTTTATCAAAATTAGGAAATTTGATTTGCGGACGAGTTTTGTAATTATGATCCAATTATATTCAGAATTGGTATCTGTGGGTTCTCGGGGTGGGAGATTATGGTTCGTTCGTCAAAATTTGGAAATTCGAAATGGCGGATCCAATATGGCGGACGAGTTTTGTAATTATGGTCAGATTTTATTCAAAATTGGTATCTGGAGGTTTTAAAGGTCGGAGATAATTATGAATCATTTGTCAAAATGGGGAAATTCAAAATGGTGGATCCAATATGGTGGACGAGTTTTGTAACTTATTCCGATTACATTCCAAATTTGTATATGGGGGATTTAGGGGTGGGAGATTATGATTCTTCATCGAAATTAGGAAATTAAAGATGGAGGATCCAATGGCAACTGAGTTTTGTAATTATGATCTGATTCTATTCAAAATTTGTATCTGGGTGTTTTCGGGGTCGGAGAAGAATGAAAAAACAAAATGATAAAAGTATATGATAATGAAAAAATATTTTCTGGAAATAATTGTATATAGCAAAACAACGTTTGCCGGGTATCAGCTATTGTAATAAATATTAGTTTGAAAAACTAATGGAACACCTTCATATAGATAGCCAAACTTAAAAGAAGTGAGTAGAAAATAAAGAGTAGTTTGAAAAAATGAAGAGGTATAGAGTACCGAACGAAATAAAAGAAGTAGAAAAGAAATAGGGTAGTTTGAAAAACTAAAGAATCCTGCTTTTATTGATTAACAAACTAAAAAGAAGTAGAAATGAAATAATGAAAGTTTTCTGATAAATATTCACCTAAAAATATTTTTCTAGAAATAATGTTTATGGCAAAACAACGTTTGCCGGGTCAGCTAGTATTCATATATTTCTCAGTCTCGACTTATTTTTCCTTCTCTCTCTTTAGCTGCTTTATCTCTCTCCTTGCTATTTTCCTGCTTTTCTTAAGACTAATGAATAAAAACCTTCATGTGTCACTAATTTTACTGAAAGCATTTCACTCTGATAACCTTCAATTCTCATTCAAAAAATTTGCATACCAAACAGGAATCTTGGCATAAACTTCAATGACACTCATCTTCTTCTTTTCACTTTGGACCTTCCTTTCTTCTTTCTCTTGCCGCCATCCTTCTTCTTCTTAGTGGGTTTGGGTATAGGGGTGGAATTATTGGGCCTTTTAGGAGCCATAAGGTTCTGTTCTACCAAATCAGCAAGTTTGCCTTGTTCTGCCAGCATGGATAAGAATGTGCAGATAAATTCATCATAGTTGTGAGTTCTACGGCTGTCATCAACCTGCAAGTAAGACAAAAACTCATTGACTTAAAAAATGCATGAGGAGTAAAGAAAATCTCCAATACTGAATGTGGTACCACAGGGTTCAGTTCTGGGGCCAAATTCATTTCCATTTATGTACATCAATGATTATTCTCACCTTGTATTTATTCTGTTTATCATTCTCATCTTTCAAACTCAATTCACACATACAAATCTCATTTTCCAAGTTTCTCAACAAAGCAAGTAGATCTTTTGGTGCAAAAGTGTGAGGTTCTAACAGCTCCTGGTTTTTCTTTTCTGCTATGACAGGGTCCCCATCACTTGTATGAACTCTTGCATGCACTCCTGTTGTTTTTCGTTCAGTTGGATCTGGTTTTGCCTCTAAAAAAGTTCAAACAACATCTCTCATGTGTTGAAAAAATATCAATACATTTTTTGACGCCTCCCATGCAAATAAATCAGTAGAAAACTAGAAAAATGAAATTTCACACAGAAACCTAAACAAAATTGATAGAAATGCATTTTCTTGCACAATCTTTTGTACAATGATCAAGATTGCAACATTTCAATCAGGGCCAAATCAAACAGTATCAGAGGGTCATCAAAACTATTCAAGACTCATTTACAGCCTGGATTAGGATCACAAAATTGAGAATCTGTCTATTTGATTGTGAATGGAATATTTTATCAATACAGCTGAATATGAAAGAATGAAAAGCAGGAGCAGAAAAATAAAAAAGAACAACTTGTGTCCTTGAGGTTGATACAATGAGATGTTTTGATATTTATTGGAGACATTTCATCCACATACAACACTAAATAAATAATATTGCACTTCCATCTCAATATTCTTGAATGATAAATTATGTAGAAGAATCATGAAGTTGTCTATAAAATTGAAATAACTGATAATCCTGGGTTGATTGTTACCTTGATTATAACAATCTCCCAATATGAAATCATGCAGATAAAAAACAATTACTATATTTCAAGCTTATGATGAAAAACCAATACAAGAAAATTATGCACAACTTATTGTTTGATATGACCAGTTATGAAAATGAAAGAAATCAGCAAGCCTCAAACTATGAATTTCAGAAACTTTCATTTTACTATCATTCATATGATTTTGTATAATTTGAAGAGAAAAAGAAAATGCCTATTATTTCCATGGAACATCCCTGAAAAGCTGGAGATTATGAATTCTTGGAAATGCCTTCCTATTATTTTTCTGGCAGAAATAGATGACAAATGAAGTACCTACTGTATTAAAATAATACTATTTTTATTTTTAGCAACAAAAAGGATCAAAATTATATGAGTAATCTGAGATTTCCATTGGCCAATAAGTCTGATTCTTTATAATCCACTCACCATTTTTTTCTCTCTCCTTTTCCCTATCCCTATCTTCTTGCTCTGCCATTCTGAGAACAACAAATCTTTTCAAATCCCTTGAAGTGGGACTGTTCTGACATACTGCTGCATTAGTCCAATTCCAAGCCTGGGTTGGGGAATTGAATGCTGACCCAATATCAGATGGTGTATCTGTTCCAGAGGTACTTGGAGCTGGTGATGTTTGTATAGTTAGAGGAGTGGCATAGTCAAGTGGGCAAAGAGTTACTTTGGTTGAAGGAGGATTCAGGTTAGATTGTTTTGTCTCTTCTCCCTTCAGGGGATCTTCTTTAAGGGTTTCTACAGTCTTGTTTTCATCCAGATTCGAGTTTGCTCTGATTGTTTCTACTGGGCATTCTACTTTAGATGCTCCTCCTCCCTTGTCCTTGATTTTCACAAGATGTTGCAATGCATCCAAAACAATTTGTTTGTTTGTTCTCAGCATTTTTAGCTTGTGCTGTATAGCAAGCCTTCTGTCTGGCACAACTGCCATCAAATTGAACCTGATCTCATTGTATTCATCAGCTGTAATGCCTAACCTATCAGTTATGACACAACGGAATTTGTCAGTCCACTCCATATCATTGCATGGCCCATGGTCAATAGGAAAAGGTTTCAGGCCATCTAACTCAAAGAGTCGTCCACCAATTGGAACAAAGCTCACAAAATGGAAGGCTTCACCAGTAAACCTACCTGTTGAAACCCCACTGCCTTTTTCTAATTTCCTTTTTGCTTGTGGCATAGCATGTGAATTATGGGCACAGGCTAGCTCTGGTGTGTTTCCAATAGCCCATCCTTTATTATCAGGGCTCATGCCATGGGTATGAGCTTTGAGCCTGATAAGAGTCTCACCCAAGTGTATAGTGGGACAGTTCAAAAGAATGGAGATCAGGGCATGTGTTGCACAGCTATTGGGCACCATTTGCTGAGCAAAAAATATGTTATTAACAATTTCCTCATCTTTGACAAATGTTTCATTTTGTTCCACAACTTTTCTCCTTGACCTTCTCTCTTCAACCCAGCGAAATAGGAAAATGAACCCATAGACTGGACTATCTAGAGGTTTATTCAGATCATATATTTCTTCCACTTGGACACCCTTTACCCCAAAATCTTCCAAAAGAAGTGAGAAGAGACCTGGGTCACTTTCTAGCTCCAACCAGCCCTCTGTGAGTTCCTTGATATCTACAGGCATAATTATAGGAATCACTTCATCATTCTTCCTTTTTTTATTTTTAACACCATCATGACCAAATGAAAAACATGAACTTTATGAAAATAAAACACAGTACTTGTTAGAGAAAGAAATACCATTTCAATAGGGAAAGGACAAAAGTAATGAAACTGTTTCCCCTAGAAAACTCCTTTTTGAAAATATGTAAGAAAATCTACGGTTCTGCCTAGTTTTTAAATTTTCATGTTTTATTTACAAATATACAATTTGTCAAATTATCTGTCATCAAAGTCAATAAGTCTGATAAGTCATATGGCAAATAAAGGTGAGTTCCCAATGCAGCGTTTTTGCTTTACGCATCGCGCGTCATGCAACCTGATTGGGGACGCTGAATTTGACATTGCTGCTTCGTGTTGTGCTGATGGAAATGTAGAAATTTTGAATGCGAATTCATTAAACCTTCATTTCTGAGTGATTTCATGATAAGTAAATCATTGCATTTATTTTCAGTTTCATCAGATTTTCTCTCGAACACATCGGCAATAGTAGGTAATCTCATTGGGAACTGAAGTAAATAATAAAAAACAGTGCAGCAACTCTCATTTACGCGTCACCAATCATAAGCAAAGAAGCTGCATTGGGAACTCACCTTAATGGCATCAGAACACAGAACCACGAAGCCCACACAGTCAAATTCGAATGTTCCGATAGTCATATTGAATGATTGTGATTGGACCAATATTTTGAATTTTCAAATTGACATTTGACGTCAAATCGAATCATAGTTTTGGTGCCACGGTGGCAGGGTTGCCTGACTAGTGGATTTTCACCAAAAATCGGGGATTTTTTTTTTCGATGGGGTGCTTTTTAGGGGTATTTTTCGTCTGGAGATTTCTACTAGAGAAAATAATGTATCTTTTTTTTGTTATCGCTTGGAGAGCACGAAAAGGAATCCCTATGCTCGAAGTTTATCATGCGCATTTATATTAGATTTGAATATCGTCGACTTAAAAACTTAACTTTTAACTTAAATTCCGAAACACCAAATTTCACAGGAGAGACGAAAAACTTTTGAAATGATAATCGAATGTGAAATTAACAAGGCAATTCGCTTGTGTGTTCAATAGATGTAATTCAATAATCGTCGTGGCATATAGCCAGGAAAGTAGTTGTATTCTGTTGAATAAACCGTGAAAGAATTGATATTTTCATCACATGGAGAATGCGAATTCTCAATGTATTTCTTTATATACATATATATCCATTTTTTTGTGTTCATAAATATATCTGAGAATGTTCCTTTTCAATGCTTAATATATTTATATTGTAATATTCAATAATATTCGTTTCTATATATACAAAATAAAAAAAAATCACTACATGCATACTTCTTATACCTTTGATTGATAGCGTATAGTAATATATCAATCAACGCTCATACTTATATTGAAGAACTTAAGACTATTTTCCTTTCTTTTTCCGATATTCGATGGACTTACAATCTTTGCGATTAATGACTAAAATAAGTACTATGATTTTGAAATTTTTTCAGAATTTGAACATGACAATCATGACATTTGTTTATCATTGTCTATCATATATATCAGCAAAGAAAAAAAAACGTTCAGATGCCAAGAAAAAAAATTGGGAATAATTATTATTCATCAGATATCGATAATTAGGAATAACAAAATACTCCCTGAGTCTTGAGTCATCAAGCGAACAATAAACGGTCACATCTGTTACATAATATTTTATATTACAATAATGGTGGACGTACGACTTTTTCTACATGCTTTATTTGATGTTTGGGACTTACTTAGGAGAAATTGAAGCAATAGAAATATATATAAAAATCAATAACTCTAATAATATTCTGCTCACAGCTGTGTACAGACCCCCATGTACATCAACACAAATATTTGTTGAAGCTCTCAAACCTTACCTAGAAGAAACAAAAAACAATAATAAAGTCAACCACCACATTTTCTCAGGAGATATCAATATAGATATTTTGAAAAACAATCTAGAAATAATAGATGATTATCTAAATATTTTCAGTGAATACAATTATTCCTCGATGATAAACAAATATACCCGTGAACGACAAGGGCAACTATCGAGTTGTATAGATCATTTCTTTTTGAAGTCACAGCTGGATGAAGTTCGAGAAAAATGCATTCCAATAATAATCAAATCAAACATCACTGATCATTACACTATAATTTTAGGTATCCCTGTACAGGGAAGAGATAATAATTCTTCTTTTCATAAAAAAATTATCAACTACAAAAAACTAAAGTGTGAATTGAAGAAGCACAGTACTTGGTCACCTGTGTACGAAAATCCAAATCTCCAGGAAGCAACAACCACATTTGTACATATTCTAACCAATCACATTATCAAACACACAGTGTGTATTAAACTAAAGCGTGCTTGCATTAAACGAAAATGTTGGATTACTGACGGCTTGATTAAATCGATAAATAGAAAATCAGAATTATATGGGAAATATAGAGAGAATCCCCATCAATATGCAGATGAATACAAAAATTATCGCAATTACTTGAATAGACTCATTAAAACAACAAAATCCAATTATTTTGCACAAAAAATTCAACGCGACAAAAATAATTCTAAATCATTATGGAATGTGGTGAAAACTTTATCAAACGGTAATATGAAGAATAATGAGATAAAAAAAATCAGATCAGAAAAAGGCGAACTCATACATGATGAAAATAAAATATCCGAAATTTTTAATGACTATTTTATAAACGTCGGCAAGAACTTAGCAGATGAAATAGAAACACCAAATACTCCTCCACAAGAAAGAAATTTAATGAACCATTCCATTTTTATCAAACCAACATCTGAAAAAGAAATAGCAGATATAATCAATGATTTGAAATCCGGAAAATCACCCGGATATGATTCCATTAGAAGTGAAACATTGAAAGAAATATGTGAAGAAGTTACAATCCCAATAACTCATTTGATCAATAGAATATTCGAAACAGGGTTTTGTCCGAAGGAATTCAAATTAACTGTGGTGAAACCGTTGCACAAAAAAGGCGACAAAACAAAAACCGAAAATTACAGACCAATATCACTCATTACTAGTTTAACTAAAATATTTGAAAAAGCTTTGAAATATAGACTATCCGGATACCTTGAAAAACACAAAATAATATCAGAGAAACAATTCGGCTTTCGCCAAGGGAAGTCTACGCAAGATGCGATTACAAACTTGACTGCCAAATTATATAAAGTCATAGAAGAAGGCGAAAGTGCTATATGTATATTCCTCGACTTATCCAAGGCTTTCGACACGGTTAGCCATAAGCTAATGCTGGAAGCCTTGGAAGATATAGGAATACGAGGTCTGCCCTTGAAATTATTTGAGAGTTATCTTCAGAACAGAAAGCAATATACTAACGTAAACGGGAAAAGTAGTTCACAAAAGGATATTTCTTACGGTGTACCGCAAGGGACCGTCTTAGGGCCTATCTTATTCAATATTTATCTGAATAATCTTCTTAACATACAAAGCCAAGGGGAAATATATAGTTTTGCAGATGATACTATTGTTTTATACAAAGATAAGTCCTGGAAAGACCTGAAAAACAAAATAGAAGCGGATTTTGGAAATATTCTGAATTGGTTCAACCATAAATTTCTCACAGTAAACTATGAAAAGACTAGATATTTACCATTTACTGCATATAAAAATAGCCTTCCCCAGTACGAAAATTTAGAGATTCCTGTTAATCGAAATAAAATATGCACTATCAAGTCAGCTGAACACATTAAATACTTAGGTGTTACACTGGACCGTCACTTAAGATGGGACATCCACATACAAAGTGTTACAAATGCACTGAGATTTTTGATACATAAAATTAAATATTTTTCTAATATTTTAAGTACTCAACATATGAAGACATTGTATTATGCACTTATAGAATCACGGATGAACTATGGAATACTTGCTTGGGGTGGTGCAGTAGAGACACACTTAAGAAAATTGCAAGTATTACAAAACTTATTTTTAAAAATAATATTCAAAAAGAGAAACAGACACCCCACAGATGAACTCTTTAAAGAGACCAAGTGCTTCGATCTTCGACAGATATTTTTCAGAAACATAGTTATTGACCTTCACAAACATAAAAATAAGATTCGTAACCTACAACACGATTATTCCACTAGACAAAAATCAAAACTATTTTCGAAAACGGAAATGACAAAAAAATCTCTTGGTCAGCGTTCTTTTACTTATTTGTCTACTCGTATATACAACTCACTGGATATTACGATAAAACAACTAATTATATCCTCGAACTCCACTAACCTGCTGAAGAAAAAATTAGATTCATACATCCTCAATCTTGATAGATCATTTATACACAATATAATTGAAATCAAGAATGTCTAAGATCCTCACTCTGATTGTGATTAACGAAAATAAAAATAATAATTTTATATTAAACTGGTTTTTCAAAATTAAGTTGCTTTCCTAATGTCTCATTTATGAAGAAATATATTAAATATCAACATCTTCAAACCTGATTATTGTGAACATCTTTCCCTGCCTTGGATTTCAAATCTCAATTGTATTCCTGCATACTATATTCAAAACGATTGAACATAATATATGTATACGTATATATACAGCCTATGCACAACTTCGGTTTCTATAGGTCTACTATGTTTATTCGTGACTGTTACTCGAAATATTATGATAATTGTTGTTATTACTGTGATTAATGTGATTATCATATTGTTATAGTGTGATTGATACTGTGATTCAATGATTATTCCTTATCTTGGCAAAAAAAAAAAAAATATTGAAAATATTTAAATATTGAATGTCAAATGTATGATGAAGAGTGAATAAACATTATTATTATTATTATTATTATTATTATTACGACTTTATCTTTTTTCCTCTTTTCAGAGTTTTAAAAATGTTTATGTCACGTCTGGTCAACAGACGACAGCTTGATTTCTTTGCGTCACATGGCACCAAAATCTCATTCTCATATGATGATTTATTCGGGATTTATTCATTTGATGGTGCGCTCGAAAGGGAATTCTTATAATGTTCGAAGAATAGGGAGGATAGGGAGAGGAGATAGTTATTATTATTGGAATTGGATTAATGAACAATAGTTATTTATTATACAAGCCAAGGGAAAAAAAGTAGTAGATGTTAGCTCCAGGTTGTGTTGTCTCCCGACGCTTAGCGGAGGGTGACAAAAAACCGTGAGCTAAAATCTAATATTTTTCCCATGTATAATACACTATTTTTTTCTGTGACAGAAAGATAAAAGGACTTGCAGTTCTTTCTCGGAGACGGTATTATTGACTCATTTTTCGGAACTATAGCACAACAAAAGCCATCAACAGTGTATATAGATGTGATATATATCCGGGAAAAAAGTAATTTGTGAAAAGTGACATTTCATAACCTGCGAACAGAGATGAAATGCCAAACTTTTTTCCCGTCACAGAAAAAAAGCTATTTTTTCTGGGAAATAGGTGAGTTCTTTTTTCCCGGATATATATCACATATATATACACTGTTGATGGCTTTTGTTGTGCTGTAGTTCCGAAAAATGAAAAGTTGTATTTTTGAAGGATTTTCAAATTTCGACTAGGGAAATCGAACCCAAAAAATCTGGCAACCCTGCTCGGTGGTTTCGTATTGAAGGTTTTGTTTACTGACGGATCTCAACTGGCGGTTACGGACCTTGGGAATCTATCTGTGCCTTGGGTTAGAGGTTCAGGTTAGAGTTTGAAACCTACAAAAAACTCCCAAACCCAAACCCCAAACCTTGAATGTTCATTTCAATTCAAATTCTTGTGAATTTCTTGTTTTGTTCACGAGGAAATCCATTCACGAACAACGACAGAGTGGTTTGAAAACATTGAAGAGTTGTGACTTATTACTGACCTGGGGTACGAAGAAATTTTCAACATCAATTAAGTTCCAGAAACATGTTCGAATCTGATGATAACACTGATTGTGAAGAAACTAAGGACCTAGATACACACCTACATGAAGCAGATACACTTGAATTACAAAACGAATTCGACCAAAGCAGGAATATGCAACCTGATACACTGTCTCATAAATCATCAGATTGTGAAAGTGAAGAGTACAACCTTAGTGCATCTTACACTCAACATGAAGCAGACTCCCTGGAGTCACACAAAGAATTTGACCATGACAGAGATAATAATGCCTCTGATATACTATCTGATGATGATTTCAGTGTGAAAAAACCAACTCAGAGGCATAGAAATGTGATTGAATCTGATAGTGATGATGAAGAAACTTGCAACTCAAATGTTTCTTCCAGTCCACAATTACATAAAAATTTTGACCATGCTAAAAATACTAGATCTGAAATCCCACCTGATCATAGCAGTGACTTTGATAAGAAGAATTTGAAACAAAAATTCCAAAGCACAATTGAATCAGTAATTGATAGTGATGAAACATATGACCTACATGAAGCAGACACACTTGAATTACACAAGGAAATTGCTAATATATCCACTGAATTGAGCAAATCAAGAATCAGTGTTGATGAAATTGTATCAGATGCTGATAAGACCAATGTGTTGTCAAGTTCTACACCAGAAAAAAATCATAGTGTGAGAACTGAGGATGTAGCTAATTATACTCCTAAACCTAACAGAATAAGGATATCTGAAGAGTTTAGTTTAGATAATTTTGGGAAAGTAAAAAATATGTTACATAGTAGTACATTAATTGAACCCCAGTTAATGTTAGACACTCCAGTAAATAATTCATCAGGAAAACGACTTCTCAACAAGTCTATAGAAACACCTAGAATCTTGAAACTTGCTAAAGAATCAAACACCCCTAGAGTTATAAAGCCTTTAATACCTTCACGGTCTCCAAGTCCAGAGATCCAATCTTTGAGTGAAGATGATATTATTGATGTCAGTAGTGAAGAGGAGAGTATCATAAAAGCTCCTGCTAAAACCAGTATCAGTAGGATTCAGAAACAAGCTACATTGGACAGTATGTTTGTGAAGAAAGAAATGCCAACACCAGTCAAAGAAGACTCATCTATACTAGTAAGACCAAAATTTTTTTTTACACAGCAAATATACCTTACATACCTTACATATTATTTATCTTGGGTGAAATTATATTCTTCATTTTTCCAATTGGATTTCACATACCTACTTTGATGGTATATGGAAATAACTTATATTTTCATAAATCATTGTTTTCACTCTATAATGATATTATAATTAAATTTTAATGTAAATCAAATACAAATAATGTTTTTGAAAATTTACCTAATTTTCAAAATTAACAAACTTCCTTCCATTTATGTGTTCCTTTTACAAGGCTCACATACCTAATTCATTCCTAATGATATTTTATTCTCAATTCACCTAATTCAACAGCTTTTTTTTTAAATTTCTTGACTGGTTCTAAAATTAGATCTAAAATATAGGCATATCTTTGAAGTCATATTAACTTGCATATTACCAATTAAAATTAATTTTAACTTCATGTAATTGAACTCTATTTCAGTCATTACCTTCTTAGTTGTGATTTCTCAATTTTTATATCAAAGAATTTTGATTTTTGTTGTAAAATTTGGAACACTTACATATACAGGGTGATCCAGAGTTGAGGTGACAAATGGCTTAGGGAGATTCCACTCTGCAAGTAGGTATGAAGAAAGTTCATATGACCATAGGTCTGAAAAATTTTTCTTTGCTGTCCTGAAAAAAGTGAGTTTTTCATTGATCCCTTGAACATGCTTTAACTGATTCGAAGGTAATTTTCACAGCTCATTTTAAAAAGTATTTGATATATACTAATCATGTAGTTTTTTTTTTCAAGTTCCATCAATTAGATGTCTAATAATTGTTTGAATGGACCATGAATATTTCATAAAAATCGGCAAGTCATGTTTGAGTTATTAATAAAAACTCACCTTTTGAAAAAATATCAACACTCTTTATTATGATAACCAAGATGATTTTGGATTCATGTTCATATTCACTTTTCTACATATTTTTCCTGAATGGAATTTTTCCTAAGCTTTCTTTACTAGGACTCTCTGAAACCATGTATTTTAATTGAAATCAATATTTTTTTACAAATATACAAAGAAGCTAATGTTCAATCACGAGTTTGGTTTGTTCACAAATCATTTCAAAAATTCAGGTTTCATTGAACCAATTGCAAGAGCAGCAGGATAAAATACGGAGGATCCGTTCTGATCTGTCAAAAGCAACAAATCTTCTCAGAACAGTCAATCTTGAAAACCTGCCTGACAAAGGAAAATCCATAAGGAACCGTAATGAATTCCTAGAAGACTTGTTGTTGGAAGAAGTTGCAAAAATGTCCAAAATGAAAGTCACTCACGGCGATGAACGTAATAAAAAACCGGGAGCCAAAGAGAAAATAGAAATACTGTCTTGGGACGAAATCGCAGCCAAGGCAGGAGCAGTCGTGCCAAGAACTTTTGGAAAACAAGCCATGTCCACCTACAATGCCCAAAAAGCCGTCACAATGGACAGACTTCAACAACTACACGGTTCTTTAGCAACCTGTCCCAAAGAAAGTGACACAGCCGTAGACCCAAAAGGCCTCAAGGTTGAATTAATGCCTCATCAGAGAAGAGCTCTAGCTTGGCTGATGTGGCGAGAGACGCAAACACCTTCCGGAGGAATCTTAGCCGACGACATGGGCCTTGGAAAAACCCTAACAATGATATCCCTGATGTTGAAAACTAACGAAACGGAAGAAGATGATGACTCGGACGAAGAGAACGCAGAAAACGTGCCGAAAAAGAAGAAGACCTACAAGGGCGGCACTCTGGTGGTCTGCCCCGCCAGTTTGATCAACCAGTGGTCTAGCGAGCTAGAGCGCCGCACCAAAAGAGGACTGGCCAGCTGTGAAATGTATCACGGGGCGAAGCGAGAAACGAATCCCAAACGGCTGGCTAAACATGACATGGTCGTCACTACTTATTCCATAGTGAACAACGAGTGTGAAAAGGAGGGGGCCGTTTTCAGGTAGGGATCGACCAATATACCTAAATAAACAGTTATAATACGCATATGACGCATGAAGGGTGCCGTTTTCAGGTAGAGATCCACCCATATAAATAAAAAAATAAATAAGAAAACTATATTACATAACAAGATTTGTAAATCGAAGTTGAGAGCGTAGCGGCGAGTGTAACTCCGTAAGTTCGTGATTCATATTTCAACAACTTTACTGATAATGAACATATAAAAATAACTATAATGTCTTACCACTAACCAAACCGATTTTTTTATATGCCTCGACACGTGTTTACTAACATAGGTCAAAAATCGGTTCAGTTAGTGGTAAAACAGTGTGATGTATTATGGTGCCAAAGGTTCCAGTCTTTGATATATATAGAATTAAAATGACTAATAGTAATTTTTATTCACTGTGCAGTTTTTAAAAGTAACAGATATTTTCCGAAAATGACATGATATTATTCCTGAGTTGTTGCCATTTTTGCTTGCTCCAGAATTTCTAGTGGTGTATACGTAATCTGTAATCTCATCGACATCCCTTGACATTTTTCTGAATCAAATGACAGAAAATTATCATTTCCAAAAAATATCACTTGCCTGCCTTCAAGTTTCAATTGATAACTTGATTTACTAATGAGAAGATAAGTACCTACCTAGCTACTAACATTAACTGACATTGACACATTGTGCCTAAGCAGCAAAACAAAATCAGCTGTCACCATACCTATGAAAACCGTGTGATCGCTCGCTTTACGCACACGTGCATAAGGAGAAGCAACATTGTTTTGTGTACAATATTCGTCACTTACAATAGTAGTCATAGGAAAATATATTTATATAGGCCTATCAGTTATATCGGCCTCACTGGGCCGATTATCGTATCGGCCGATATTTATTTATTTCAAAGAGGAAATGAGAACATATACTAATACAGGAAGCCGATAGACCGATAAATCTTTTTTCATTGAGAAACACATCAAAATCTCTTATCTGACGATATTCTTGATGAGTGTTTCCTCAACAGATGATATTTTATATACGACTTGTCTTCGCCCCCCAATGTGAGTGATTTTTGGCATATTTCGAAAATTTGACACTATTTGTTATTCTTTTTCAAAATTTCTCCAAAATGTGAAATAACATAAGAAAATTCTACCGCTGAGTTTACTTTGAACAAACAGTATAATTTACTTCAAACGGTTTAACACTTCAGCGTCTACCAAGGCCTCTACTATATTATGTGCCTCAAACACAATCAAATTGAAGCATAAATTGAAATTATCATGACAGGGCAGAAGACGAAAACAAATTAACTTAGGATCTGCAGAAAAGTGCGACGCTGATAGCGATAGCATTGAGCAATATCGAGACATATGCATACCAGACAGTATGAACCTCAGAGTTACTATTTAGTTAAATAGACTGATTTATTTTGCTTTTTCTTCACCCCAGAGTTGAATAGAGTAATTTATTTTCCTTTTTTCTTCTGCGGAAAAGATCTCATTTTAAGGACATTTGTGGAACCGCTTTCAAATCGATGATTCAAGAGGATTTTTGGGGTGAAACGCCTCATTCAACTCGGCATAAATTGCTAATGAAACAAAAATAGAACAACCTTTATGATACATGATAACTTATTAATTATTACTGTAAAGTACATAACAAATTGAAAGCCGAGTTGAAAATATGAATTTTCCAAAGACAGGACAGCACCGCAAAGTTTCGTAGTAGACTAGCTTTTGTTGTGATTAATGGTTTTCTGGATGTTGTGTCATCAGTTTTATCAGTTTCCAGTGTTTCAGTAACTCATTTATAGAAACAGGGTGAGTCATAACTATTAGGACATAGGCTAAGGGCGGATTGTTTGGACCAAAATATGGCCATAGGACCAAATATGCCTCAATAAAATATTGCTGTGGAATTAGATACAAGGCGATTCAATCAATCAATATATTGGATATAAAATCGCACCAAAATGTGTTCACTGAGAAGTAATATCATCCACCAGCAATAATCCATTCCAATTCATAAATGAAATAATATTTCTTTCCGGATTTTCATTCATTTATAGGTGTTTGACGTTTAGGATAGATAGAAAATAAGCGTACGCCATCTATCGGAGTATTTGGAAGCTGTCAAAGCCGCCTGTTTACTTTGTTTTCATTGGTTCACATTTGTTTTTTGTTTCTGCTTATTGGTCACTTCCATCAAAATAAACCGCTCAGAAGTGTTCAAATGTTGCCGTCAGGTGAGGCGACGTGTTATTTTCTATCGCGAATTGCTATAATTTAGTTTGAGGTATGAACCGCGACAGAAAGAAATGAACGGTCGATATATCGGTATTTGAAATATCAGTATCGGCTAAGATTTCTATGCCGGTCGATCCCTATTTTCAGGGTAAAATGGAGGCGGATCGTCATCGACGAGGCCCACCAGATCAGGAACCACAAGTCACAGACTTCGGATGCCGTTTGCCGGCTGAGCGCCAGGTCGCGGTGGGCCCTGACAGGCACTCCCGTTCACAACAAGGAGTTGGATATGTATGCCTTGTTGAAGTTCCTCAGGTGAGTTTGGATTGGTCAGATGAACATGTTCACTACTTCTTTCGTAACATTTATTTCAAACGCTTGGATGCCAATAATACTAATAGAGAGTTGAAGTGTTGTCATGAACGTTAACGTAAACGTAGAAATTGACAGCTACGCATGCGCATTTTCCAATTCTTCACGTTTGCGTTGTTAGTGGGCTTACGGGTGTACGTTATCTCACGTTCCTTCACGTATACCTTAAATATCAACGTACGTTAACCAAACTATACTCAAAATATGCCGATGAGTCAAAATTATCAAATTCGAGATCACCAACGAGTTCTTCATCAAGGAGTCCTCTAATTTTGACAGGAATAAATGTTCGAATCTAAACACACAACCAAAAATGACCAATACAAACCGAAAACAAAATGTATTATTACGTTATGATGACAGTGACGACCAAAGTGGCGACTTCAACTCAATTTAACGACAATACGTAAACGTTATTTTTCGTACGTTAACGTCTACGTGGAGGTCTACGTACAGTGATTACTTCAACTCTCTAATATTGTGACATCCAAACACAGATTACCTAAGGTGGGCGGCAGACTATCAATCAATTGCCGTCGTGTCACGTCGCCTGAAGTGTCACCGTTCAATAATTGAATTCTACGTCAGACTGGAACGAGTGCAACGATGCTCCAGGTTTGGATTTCATGCCTTTGTCTAATCACTCAGATGACTCAGATCGTTTCGTGCATTTCATCTTTTGAGTAGTACAAATCGATTGACCATAATATACCTTTATTTTCATAAGGAATTTATTTACCAGTATAAAATGAATTTCGATTCTGACAATCTGACTGCCATGTCAGTCATTTTAGACCGACAGCTTGATCTCGTGCTGAGCCGATGCATTTTCATTGGTTCGAAAGCGTCAGGCCACGCGAAGTTTTCAGAGTAGATGAAAAAATATTCAACTGAACGTACATATATACCTACATACAAGAGACTTATTTCATAGGAATAGTATATGTATTCCGTTGGTATATATGTACATACCAACTTGATATCGACCTCCATTGAGGTCCTTCAGCCTTATCATTCATTATTTCAAGAAGAAATAATTTTCTAATCAATTTATCGTACCCTTTTACCCACTCGAGGAGGCGCTATGCACTCTCATACAAAAATCAAAGACAGAGAAAGATATATGGATGTACTCTTCCCAGAACTTGTGGAGGAAGGAAGATGCGAAGATCCTTTATCCAAGCTAAAAACGTATTATTGTCCTTGTCTGGCAAAACATATAGGTCGCGTGCACGAAGACCGACCCTGGAGGCAAAATATTGAAACACAACCTCATTCTTCTGTGAATTATTGAAACACAACCTCACTTTTTTATTTGGTTACAGAGGAATCAAATGGTTGAAATACTTTTTCACAATATTTTGGCATACGAATCGTGTTTCTTGCGTTATTCATTAATTCAAGCATGCCTTCGCATTGTGCTGTTGTACAATGCACAAAAAATGCAGCAAGAGACTAGGGAATATGATTTTTCAGGTAAATAGTAATCTCACATAGTTAGCATTATGAAATTTTGTCATTCCTTATTAAAATTCCTTCTGCCTTCTGCCACTTCTGCAATACAAGCTAATGCTGCTAATAGATTGAAAGTGTCTACAACACACACGGTCGTCAGCATGTCAGACCAGTCCTACCGATTGATTGCATGAATCCAATCTTCTTGCATTATTCTAGAAATTTCAGGTATATTTCTATTAGCAGATCCTATTGCAGAAGGAATTCCGATGAGAAATCAGAGAAATAACCAAATTTCAAAAATGAAAACTATGTGAGTGACTATAGTAGGTACTTACTTTTGAATCATAATGTACCATCCGGATTTCTTCATCTTCCGCTGCAGTTTTTGTGCATTTTACAACAGCACAATGTGATGGCATGCGCGAATTAATGAATAGTCGAAAAACACTATTCATATGCCAAAATAATTGTGGAAAACTATTTCGATCACTTGTAAACAAATATGTTTTGCCTCCAGGGTCGGTCATCTGACAGTTCTTGCACGCGACCTATGATTCGATTCAAAATCGTTTGTGGTTATGTTTGATTGTCACTGCTTGTCTAGTGTGTGTACTCTAATATACAGAAAACGTCAAAACAGCAGTGTCAAGTACATTTAGGAACTCTAATTAATACCATCATACCTACATAAAGTCATTTCTACATTAATAAAGAAAATTGTCTCGAAACTTCTAACTAGCAAAATTCCTCACAAACATGAAATGCGAATCCTCGTTCCATTTCCCTCTCCAGGTGCACCCCTTTCGACGATTTGTCCGTGTGGAAGAGGTGGGTAGGCGACAAAAGCACCGGGGGCACGGAAAGACTCCACACGGTGATATCCTCTCTCATGCTGCGCCGCACCAAAGCCGAACTGATGGAAAAGGGCACTCTGAACTCGCTGCCCGAAAGGAAATGGGAGCTCATCCCAGTGGATCTCAGCAAGCCGGAGAGGGACGTCTACGGCAAGATCCTGATCTTCTCCAGGACGCTGTTCGCGCAGTTCTTGCACCAGAGGGCGGACAAAAATGGCGAGGCGACAATCGAAAAGTACTCCGCTAACCAACAACCGAACGGGCCGAACCAAGAGTACTTCCAGATGCGGCAGAAATTGCTGCGGCTGAATAATATCAAGGACGTCAAGCAGCACGAGATTCTGGTGCTGTTGTTGAGGTAATCAAATTTAATCAAATGATGATAATAAATGATTTCAAATACTGTCTGTAGTTTAATCGAGGAGGTGGTACATTCATTATTCCAAATTTTCTGGGATTTTCTCTCCTCGTTTCTATCAAATAAAAATATGAATATTATTTCAATATACGTGTAGTAAGGACAAATCAGATGATTTGCCCCAAAATGTCACTGCACAGTGACATTTTGACCCTCCTATAGGTCGTAACTTAGCTACTCGCTTGGCTTTTCGACGAGACGTTTTGATCATTTCACCACCCAACCACATTCATCCCCAAATAAAGAGTCAAGACAGTTTTTATACAAAATTTGACATTTATTGATCAAATGGAAAAGTCGTAGATAAATGCTTGCCACATGGCAGGTTAGCTAAGAAAAAGAACATAATGGCTTGCCAAATGAAACACAACGCAAAACAACACTTGAAAAAAACAGTACTTACATTACAACGTCTCGCCTGAGGTTGACCAGCAGGATTGAAGTAAGGGAGACGGCGAACATTTTCAATAGATAATTACTAATGACTTGTATTAATAATAATGATGCCTTATCGACTCGGGTACTATTTATATTCGGAATCGATGCTAGGTTTGCAATTTTCCGCAATGGGAATGGCCATTACCTTTCGATATTGCTTACCTACGTATTATCGCACGGTAAGCGGTTTTTGCCTAGTCGAAACTACACTGTACTGGATGTTTTGATTTGGAAAAGTTAATTTATAATTAAAAATCTTGAAATGAACGCGAGTTTGAGTGATGTTATTCCATAGGCATTTGAACTTCTTGACAATTCAAAAGAGGTTAAAAGAGGTTAAATAATACTTACAATATAAATAGCAACACTTCGGAGAGGGTTGTCTTGTAGAATGCACAAAGACCTAACTAACTGATCAACGCGATAACGGATTGTACGAATCGATAAATTCCACGACTGAGCAACTACTGGATATCCAATAATCAACTTAATTGATTTGTTTCGTGATAAGGTTGAGGCAGATCTGCTGCCACCCGTCTTTGATTACCGGCATGTTGCACGAGGACATGGAGCTCATGGGGGACGAGGATCAGCTGGCCGATAAGAGGGACGCTCTGGATTTCCTGGACCAGCTCAATAATTTGACCATCGCCGATGACGCCTATAACCCGAATTCCGACAATGTTGCTCAAGGTACAATAATTTTTTGGGATTTTTATGTCTATGAAGAAAAATATTGGAATTATTTCAATATAGTTGGTGCCCTAAGATGTCCAAAACTTAGCCCAAATATAGCAAATACATTATATACTCTCACATCCTTAGTAAAACTAACTATCTCATAAATATTTGGGGTTCATGTTCCAAGAATGACTTTAACAAAATATATGTACTATATAAGAAAGCATTAAAAGTACTGTATCATCTTCCATATGACACACCATCAAATCAACTATACCAAGAAACAAATACATTTTCTTTGGAAGAGCACTCTATCTGATCAATACTCTCGAAATTTCTTTTGATATTATCAACAAACACCTCAAATCTTTCTTCATACTAGACAATATGACTTGTTCCATCTTGGTGCTGCTAATTCTACACTTGGTCAAAAAAAGTTTATTCACGGGGCTATCTCAAAATTCAATAAATTACCTGATTATATTAAAAGTTCACGATTATCACCCAATTCAAAGTAGGTATTTGAGATCTATGTATTGTAGTCGATTTATCTAGCTGTATGTATCTGCTATATGTATCTGCCACTAATTGATCTACCTAGTAGAAAAAATTGAACTTGCTTTGTTTTTGAGTGAGGATTTCATTTTTTCAAATGTCTACTGTAACTTTTCACTTCTGGGATTAAAATGCAACTGAATTCAATCTCGAAGTTGAGAGAAAATCGTTCAATTATACACTGATTGAAATTATTATTTTCTGTGAAATACAGTGAGAAAACTTTCATGGATGACATGTGAAACGGAGCAATAACGATTCAAGATACTCTACGGAAGAATTCATACTCGAAAAATATCACAATGACCACTAAAGTTTCGATAAAATGAATGAAAACTTGAATGTAAACAAACATTCAATGTACTTTCCAATAGTTAATTGAATATCCTTAAGGGGGCGTATCGCTTATTTTGAATAGCCTATAGGCAAAACATTAGGACAACTTGCGCTGCAGGAATTGAAAACAGGTTCTCTATAAAGTAGTACGGATGTATCTTTTTATCATAGGCATTGGCGAAGAAGCTCTCGGTCTGAAAGAAGCAGCACGGGGCGTCCTGAACCCATCCGACCCCGTCTTCTCCAAAGAATCCATGAGCAGCAAAATCAAGGTGATGCTCAGAGTCTTGCGCGAAAAAGTGATAGCGAACGACGACAAGGCCATAATAGTCTCCCAGTGGTCATCCTACCTCAACCTGATCTCCCAGCACCTGCGCACTGAACGCATAGTCTACGAGCAATTGGACGGCACAGTGCCCGTCCCCAAAAGAATGGACATGGTGGACAGATTCAACGATCCCAAGGACAAGATGAGGGTGTTGCTGCTGTCTTTGACGGCTGGAGGGGTGGGTTTGAACCTGGTGGGGGCCAATCACCTGTTCTTGTTGGATCTGCATTGGAATCCGCAGCTGGAGAACCAGGCGCAAGACAGGATATACCGGATGGGACAGCAGAAACCGGTTTTCGTGTACAAATTCATGGCGACGGATACGATAGAGAACAGGATTTTGGAGCTGCAGGAGAAGAAGTTGTCGATCGCTAATTCTATGCTTACTGGAACGAAGCAGGCGATAACTAGTAAATTGTCTTTGCAGGATCTCAAGATGCTCTTCGAGATGTGAGTTTTGTTGTAGACTGATTCAAATTTTATATTTTTATAGAGACTTCTTTAGTTTTTTATATATTTTAACGTGTACTTTTGTGAATTTATAAGATGTTTTTTTTATTCTAGAACATGTAAATTTTGCTTCTGAACATTCATTATTTCATTATATTTTTACTAAAATGAATCCCATAGTTTAATTAATTTTCGGTCACTGTAATTCTAAATGCACTGATCTCGATATTCTCCACGACGAATGATGACAGGTGATGGTTGAGAATGGACAGCCAGGAAGTTGTAAGGGAGTAACAATTAACTAACAATTTATGTCAAGACTTCCGCCCAATAGTAAGTAAGTAAGTAATTTATTTGACTATGTTATACACAATTGCATATTAATAGCACGTCACAAAAAATGTTTGTATATAGTTTGAATTTAAGATACAAATAACAATGCACACAGTAATTATAGTAAAGTAAGTTGAAATAAAAACAAATCAAAACAGTCAACACATTAAAAATATTTGGTTTAGTGAGAGTGAGAAATCAAACTACCTCCTTCAACATATTTCTGATATTCCTCTATGGAGTAGAAAGAATTGCACAACAGACATGATTTTATAGCTTTCTTGAAGCAGTACATGGTCAATTTCTTCAATGATTCAGGTAGAATATTGTAGAGATGGTAATTCAATGAATTATTTATGGACTTTGTGAGTCTATATCTAGGTATTCTGATTTTATGTGATCCTCTTGTATCATGCTCATGAATATCAGACTGAATAATTAGGTTTGGTGAATTCTTATGGATCTCAAGTAAAGTACTCAAAATAAACAAAGATGGGAGGGTCATAATGTTCAGCTTTTTAAACAATGGTCTGCAAGTATCACGATATTTGGCATTTGCCAGGATTCTAATAGCCTTCTTTTGTTTCCTGAATACACTTGTGGCTTCCGAGGAGTTACCCCAGAGTAGTATACCGTAATCAAGATGAGACTGAAAAAGGGAGAAGTAGACAGTTCTCAGAGTACTCGTATTTGTGATATGCCTCAACTGGCGAATGCCGAATAGTGAGCTAGATAATTTCTGATTCAAGATTTTAATAATAGCCTTACCGACCTGTACAAAGCATCGAAACTCACGTAAAAACGAAAAACAGTCATCGATATGTATAACAAAAACAGATATATTTTTTCCTGAATTCATTTGATTGTCTTCGAAACAATCTAAGAGCAGCAAAATGAAAGTCTGACGAGAATTGGACGACACAGTGCCCGTCCCCAAAAGATTCAACGATCCCAAAGACAAGATGAGCGTTCATTCACAAACCTTCAGCAGCAAACTTCATCCAACTTCTGATGACTTTCGGGCGGCCATTTTGGGAAATTGCCACCACGTCTGCCAGGGGGCTGTTAGCTGATGGCTCCACATTCACATTTGTTCATATTATATCGGTCTACCTCTGTACCAAATTTGGTGCCTTTATCAGAAAGTGCACAATAGTTAAGCAAATCTGCTGTACTAATTCATAATAAAAATGAAAGTAAAATCAACAAAAAATTGAGATAACAAAGTCAATGAAAATAAATAATATTCTCAATAAAAGGTGCCTCTATTGTTTGAAAACGACAAAAAAAGATTATTACCAATCAATCAATCAATTTATTCATCCTGTAGAACTCACAAAGGTTATAGGACAAGTCAAATTATAAAACCTAAATATAAGTACACAGATGCATACTAATGTAAGTGGTTAACAGTTGAATAAAATAGTTAAATAAAATAGCATCAACTAAAACAATACGAAAGCTCTTATAAATAGCAGCACTAGACATGTAACATATACAATCATACATATAAGATTAAAATGTTAATGACAGTCGGTCAAATCTAAAATTCCAAAAAATATTTTTTTACAACTAAATCGATTCTGTAAATTCTTGTATCGAGTAAGGACATAGATCTATTAGAACTTTTTTCAGTTGAAGTTTCAAGGTATGATTTGGCAGACTTCTCAGATTGTGAGGAAGGAAGTTGTACAAGTACAAACCAAAAACGTGTGGTCTTTTGGATAATTCCAGATTCTTGAAGCGCACGTGGAAGTTATCTTTTTTCCTTGTATTATGAGTATGAGTGTCACTATTTCTTAAGAAGGTATCTCCATTGCAATGTACATATGTCAATAGCTCAAAAACAAATATGCCAGGAACTGTTAATATTTTGTATTTGTTGAAAAAACTTCGACACCCTCGCTAGAGATTCACGTAAGGCATTTCTCAATAAACTATCCTAATTTCTTGAGTCGATAGTTCAATTTAAGTATCATTTGAGCCGTCATGTGGCCTAAGAGTCGCTGAAGCGTATTGTCTTTTTTGTTAACAGCTCTGTGTCTGTAGAAATAAACTCGTGTGGATTTCGAATTAATTTATGTTTATTATTCTAGATTTTTTTTGGGATTTGCTCTCGTCTATGTAAAATAAAAATATGAATACTATTTCAATATACGAGTAGTTAGGACAAATCAGATGATTCGCCCCAAAATGTCACTGCGTTTGAAGAATTTTCCTATCAGAGAGCCTAAAAGAAAAAATCACCAGCTTGTCAGTGACAATTTGTATTGAAAAAGGTTTGGAGAAAAAAAATTAAGGTATATTGAAAAAATATCAAATTTTTACTCATCTTTTGACGTTTCGGGAACGAATCTGCTCCCGTTTTCAACATGAAAAATGGATTTTTAGTATCGCAAATTCGTATTCGTCCTGACACTTTTCAGTTCTCAGTGACAATTGGTGACGTTGGCAATCAAATGAGTTACAGGATGTTTTCAATAATTATTTTGCCATACAAAAAATCAATTTTTTATGTTGAAAACGGGAGCAGATTCGTTCCCGAAACGTCCAAAGATAAGTTAAAATTCAATATATTTTTTTCTATATACCTTCATTTCTCTTCGAACCTTTTTCAATACAAATTGTCACTGACAAGCTGGTGAATTTTTTTATTAGGCTCTCTGATAGGAAAATTCTTCAAACGCAGTGACATTTTGGGGCAAATCATCTGATTTGTTCTAACTACACGTATATTGAAATAGTATTCATATTTTTATTTTATAGAGACGAGGAGAAAATCCCAAAAAAATCTGGAATGATGAATTCACCACCTCCTGGATTAACCTACAGACAGTATTCAATTCTTGTTTCCCTTGCCTACACCTATACACTTAATTGTCATCTGATACGCACTGACCAGTAGGTATCACAAGTTTCATCAGATTAAGTAGCGATATATTACACATATAGAAAGATATCAATCTTGATCCAATTAAAAGCTATGACAAAAACATGTTCTCTTCATTCCATTAGTTATTCAATAGTCTATTCTAGACTAGGGCTAATTCGAAATAAATTGGTATACCCTGATCAAATATTGAGATGTTTACAACGAAGAATTGAGGTAATGTCATGCCATGATGTGTAATTTGAAACACACACCATTGCACCAAAAGGCATTGTATACGATGGCCGATAGAGCGTTACGAAATGTTTCGCAAGAAAATGATACCATGGTGGACTCATCGACACCATGGTTGTATAACATTAATGTCGAGGATGCAAATTGGGTTATTACAAGTTCGTTTATGATTTTTACCATGCAAACTGGTGAGATTCTTTGCGTCACTACATAATGATAATAATGTCTTTGTGCCACAAGAAGATTTGCAATACAGTAGTAAATAAAACATTTATCATATCCCAGGCGAGGTTCAGGTACCTTCTTCCCCAAAGGGGAGCCCTGCTCTACCACCGTATATGTCTGTCATATACACAGGGTGAATACAAATGTTTTTGAAGAATGTCTATTAACCCATTAGTGCATAATGTGTCTTATAATGGACGCTCCTTGTCTAATTTTTTGTGACGTCAATCATGCAGGAATTGAATGTTTCATGCGCCAGACCTATAAGTGTAGTTCAACAACAAACAGCTATCGCTTCTATTTCATGAATTTGTATCTCGACAATATTCTGCACGTGATCAAATGGATAACAATTTGTATTGCACCCGACAAGGAGGGTAAGTATTTATTATAACGGAGTATAATAAGTTTCAGAATTTCCTACCCCTCAAGATCTCATTATATGCATGTGTTTATGAACCTATAAGGTAATTCGAATAATTTTTTTTTTTTTAAGACACTCAAAATATTGCTTTTGTGTTGTGTCCATTATAATGGACTCTATGCATATCGGTCATCAAGATTTTTTTGTAGATCATTCTTGCAAGACCTCTTAGACATATGGAAAATGGCTCAGATATCGATCAACCAACAGATGATCATATATTATATTGCCTCCAGAAGAAAAGTTGGCAGAAATGCAGTTATTCGAATTTAGAAACTGCGAATCCATGATAAATCATATTTCTAAAGGAATTATCAAACAGCCGTGCGACTTTCGTTATTCTGATCCTGATTTTGATGAAATTGAAAATAATATACATCTTTGCATTATGAAAAGGAATATCATAGTATCAAATGATTGTACGTTATACTGCAGCACGTCAACTATAGACACGACTCCATCCACTCGTTCGACTCCTCTTTTTCTTCAGCGGGTTCACATTTCCTTCCACTGGATCGTGTGAGTGTGAGGAACACCGAAAAAAGCTCTGGAAGTATCATCCAAAATATTTTCTTGATATGATGCATTTCCATATACCCATCAGCTGAATTCCATTCAGTAGAGACAAAATTGCAATTTTATATGTAAAATAGGACTGCATCTGAGAGATGCTTCAAAATGTATCAAGTCATCATGATGTATTATAATTTTCATTATTATTATCATTATTATTATTATTATTGATAACATTGTGATTGATGTTATTGAGTTTTTCATGTTCTGGATATGTACTTGAATAAAAATGAATACTGAAATTCCCTACTGATTACTTTCATCAATGAACCAATTTGCATAGAGTCCATTAAAATGGACGTGTCATATAAAAAAAATCTGTTGTAAAAAAAAGTTATTCGTCATGAGTTATCATTCTTTGGGTATATTTGAATGAGTGAATATCTTCAGAATATAGAGATATGAAAAAAAGTAACTTCATGCACTAATGGGTTAAGGTTCATTCGATTTGTGTAATATAATCATTCAATATCGCAGGAAAATGGCTGAAAAGGAAGACTCGCTTATATTGTTACACATTTTTATTTCAGGATTTGGAATGCTTGAATCAGGATGTGTATCGATAAAAAATGAAGTTAATATCATGATGAAAAACGTTGTTGATATAGTATTAGGTGGTAAGTGTATTCACTCACATTCTGCATTATGAAACCTATGAGTCTGCAACATGGGGAAAAATGTTCGGCAACCGATTTTGCTTTGAAGAAAAGAATATTTAAAAAATTATAGAATCTGTCAATGTTTGTTAACGAAATATTCGAATATAAAGATTTGTGATAGCTCATAGCTTTCGAAACGTCAGATTTCAAAATTCGAAAACGCCCAACTTGTAGGAAAGAAAAAGTGGCCATGGTAAAATGAAAATGTCATTAATTTCGATTTCGTTTTTTGATATTTTTCTATATACCTTTATTTTTCTTCTCCAAACCTTTTTCAATACAAATTGTCACTGACAAGCTGGTGAATTTTTCTTTTGGGCTTTCTGATATGAAAATTCTTTAAATGCAGTGACATATTGGGGCAAATCATCCGATTTGTCCTAACTACACGTATATTGAAATAGAATTCATATTTTTATTTTAGAGACGAGAGAAAATTCAAAAAGAAAATCTGGAATAATTAATGTCCTACCTCGATTAACCTACAGACAGTATATTGTTTTTACCTGCCTTTGGCACATATATCATTTCGTTATCAGATGACGATCAAAATTTGCGGACTGAGATGAAATATATCAACCATCCCAAAAATGTGACTTCTATCATTTTTATTCAGGTCTCACGTACTGGATGTTTGGTTTTGCATTTTCATTTGGAAGAAGTGATTTGAACAATGGTTTCATAGCACTTGGAGACTTTTTTATAGATCCTTCCTTAAGAGACCCTTTGAAAGGTGCCATATATGCTGCATTCATTTTTCAACTATCGTTTGCTACTACTGCCACTACAATAGTGAGTGGTGCAATGGCAGAAAGGTAATAAATGTATATGTTTCATAAATTTTTTATCGATAAGAGAAAATTTGAATCATCTAAAAGTAAAATAAAATTAATATGAAATGTACAGGCTGTCCCATGTTCGATGTCCTGACGAGATATCGGATTTCGCGAATTTTTGTCAGTAACGCGCAAATGTATACGTGTACTATATTTTGATGAAATTTGGAACATATTTTTGTATAGTTTTGATACTTGTAAACAGGTGACAAGAATAATTATGAATTATTCTGCACTCGCTTTTTTTTCATAGCTATCTACTAATTAGGTCAACAGCTTTTATAGTCAATAAATAGTGTTTAGTGTAAATAATGAATGTTGGTAAAATTTCAGCAACAGGGTTAATATGAAAATTCATGAAAAAACATTATTGCTACACATTTACAAGGCGGATCAATAAGAAATATAGTAAATATCGTATATGTCATATATTTTTGAAAAGCACAAAGCATCAATAGTTCAAAAAAGAAAAAATATACAGTGTGTTCCATTTATAAAAAAACATAACTTTGTGTTATATCTAGATAATAACAGCTTATTTTGAAAATCTGACTGCGCCGCTGGATACCACGTGAAAAACTGTATAAGTGACAGTATTTTCTTTTCCTATAAGTTGATAGATAGCTGAGATACAGGGGGAGTCCCAAAATGCAACATTTTCAATTTCACCCTGTATCTCAAAAAACGGAGCGGGCTATGAAAATTTTATTTGCGATATCGTGAGTTTCACAAAAAAGTTGCCAACATTCGTGAAAATCTCTGAAAATAAGTGAGATATCCCGTAAGAACATCTAAAATGGGACAGCCTGTACAGTGTACAGTGTGTGCATGAACACGTCGTACAAGGTTTGTATGGTGTAAACCTGCCTGATATGTTCCAGATTTCATTAGAATATCGTATACATTTGCGCGTTACTGACAAATTAGTTTGAATTTTGACACTACTCGTCTAAGTCGATAAGGAGCCTATAACTGCTGTACGAGTTGTTTATGAACATAACTGTACTATCTACCATACTGAACCATTTGACAGATGTGACTTCAAGGCCTACTGCGTATTCAGTTTTCTGAACACTGCAATATATTGCATACCAGCAGGCTGGATTTGGGGTGAACATGGATTTTTGAAAAAACTAGGAGCAGTAGACATAGCAGGCTCTGGTGCAGTCCATTTATTGGGTGAGTATAATAGTTATTACAAAGATTATAAACACAACAATTAGTTTTTGATTGCTTGATTCCATAACATGAATATGGATTTGGCAACAATTCTCGAATGGGGATCCAAAAACTTGGTAGATTTCAATCGAGATTTCAATGCAAACAAAGCACAAGCATGCCTTTTCTCTAGAAAAGCCGATCTTATACTGTGCCCAACATAAGCTTGTCAGGAGTAACCATACCTTTGAAGACATCCATTTCGATGCTTGGTATTACTATCAGCAATAACCTTTCTTGGTAAAATCATGTGAGATCAATTGCTAAAAGTGCATCCCAAAAACTTGGTTTTCTATTTCGGGCCAGCAGCTATTTCACTTCCAGTCAGCTGCTTATGATCTATGAGGCACAGATCCGACCTGTTCTGGAATACTGTTCCCATATTTAGAGGCAGCACATACCCTGAAACTGCTGGATTCTGTCCAAAAAAGGGCAATTCGTCTCATGGGTGATGCCTCGCTCTCAAACTCACTCACTTCTCTGAAACACCGTAGAAAAGTTGGCGATCTGGCTCTATTTTATAGATATTTTCATGGACGATGCTCTTCTGAAATATCAACAATTAGTCCTCCCTTGGTAGTCCCCGCGAGATTAACCCGCCGAATTGAGGCTTTGCACCCCTTCGTGGTCACTTTGGAGACCTGCAGAACATCTCTTTCCAAAGACTCGTTCATCCAACGAACAGCGAGGCCATATAACCTCCAGATATTTAAGAAGAACCCCAATTCCTACCTTATTTCTCTTGGTTCTCACGTTGTTCTCCCTTTTAGTGGGAACCAGAACATAAAAAAACGAGAAACAGTACTGTTTGGCCCAATCAGTCTTTCTCGGTGTGACAATAATTGAAACATATTTCGGGTTTCTCAGGTGGGAGTGCTGCATTTGCGAGTGCAATGATGCTAGGTCCCCGTTTGGGCAGATATGATAATGGAATAGCACCCCTACCCCTTGGCAACCCCGTCAACGCAGTGATGGGACTGTTTGTACTTTGGTGGGGATGGTTGGCTTTCAATTCTGGTAGTACCTATGGGGTAAGTTTCCACTTACTGAGAGAGCTCTAGATTTTTCTGACTCACAAATGAATCAGCAGAACATCGTTTTTGTTTTTTCTTCAACTTCAGCTTTTCTGATGACAAGTCATTTTTTGTAGTTGAGTGGCGAAAAATGGCACTATGCAGCCAGAGCAGCTGTCATGACTATGATTTCAACTTTTGGAGGGGGTACAATCAGTATTTTCTATACCATGATCAAACTGAAAGGTAAAATAGACACTATTGACATTATAAACGGCATTCTTGGTTCGCTAGTGTCCATAACAGGAGGATGTTTTTTGTATAAAGGTAACATTTACATACAATAAAATGCAATAAATTGTATATAAATTATACATTATATTTGGCTGAATTCAATTTCTTTTCAGGTTGGGAAGCACTCTTGGTTGGATGTATTGGGTCTATATTAACATGTGGATCAATGCCGCTTATTGACAAGGTGAGATTAAACCTCTTCTGCTCAATGATTTTATTGTACTTTTTCATTGAATTTTCAGATGGGAATCGATGATCCAGTTGGTGCTAGCTCTGTTCATGGTGTGGCAGGAATATGGGGTATTCTGTCACTCAATTTCCGCTCTGAAATGTTTCTAGAAAACCATGAATCTTAGGACAAAGACACACGAGGCGCATTTTCGCCGAGCGTATATTGGTATCTCTGGTCACAGTTCTGGCGATACGCTCATATCCCAACACATTTTTATTTCATAATTCGATAGAACTCACCCAAATTAGCTCACCACCGCAAACCGTTTCTTGCTGTGAGCTCCCTACGTTTTATAAAAAATTATTGAAATCCCCGATTTTACGGACCTCTGAAAACGAGGCGATGATGTGACGTCAAAACCCTAATACTGAAACAAGACTATTCCAGACAGAAATGAATGATACATAATTGCTGACAGAGTGAATTAGCGTGAGATCACAGTTGAAAGAATTATTATATCAGTTGCCTCAGTCTCCGTCGGGCGTTTGATATTTTCTTTTACCTATGGCGAGATGATGTTTCTACAGAAGATACTATTATTTATGTCCAAAAATAAAACATTCCAGTTAATTTTTCGATCGAATTATGTCGTCAATCATTCGAAGTCGTTGCGAGTTGCCAAATATTTAATATTGTTTGTGTGTCAGTTTCACGATGATGAGTGACGATGAAATTGATTTGGAAAGATTGATACAAGCTTTCTAATTTTTCCTCTGGTGAAATGATATCTCTCATCACTGTATTTTGTTTCATAATATCACCTTCGATATAGCTGAGTAATGCATTGAATGACTCTCTGGACATTCTAACGAAATTGAAAAACTTTTCGTCATCATCTTTGATTGTTTCATTAAGTTAATTGAACAAGCCCTTGTCTGCACGTTTTTCCACGATTGGGTGAATCCACATACGTCGCTCGGTGAAAATGCGCCTCGTGTGTCTTTGTCCTTATACAGCAACCATCAACATTTGTAGATTTCAAAACTTTATTACCCAAAAAAATATGAACAAACTTGTTCTGGAATAGATTGTCACTTCTTCATATAACTTTCTTGTGCATTATAAAATATGACTGAATGTACTTCATTACAGAGGTAATTTCAATTTTTTGAGATAATCAGAGTTTCAATAGTGCACTGGCGCTTTTATAAAAAATGAAATTTTCTGACATGGTCAAAAATCTGCCTGTCACTGTATGTGCAAGTTTTAAGCCTTAATAGATATTTTTTTCAGGAGTTATAGCAATTGGTTTATTCGCTGATGATCCTTATCCTTTGGATACTACAAGTGGCAGAAGTGGCATATTGAAAGGTAATATTTTTCATAAACAAGCCACGTTTTTTCATTTACTATTGGTATAGGTGGGGGTTGGTACCTTTTTGGAATCCAGTGTTTGTTTGCATGTTGCATCCTACTATGGGGACTCACATCGACCGTAATTCTATTGTGGACCATCAACAAATTCATCACTATCAGAATGGATGTCCACGTGGAACTGATGGGAGCCGATTTGACAGAACACATGGTCAAACACGGGAATGTAAATATAGTTAGTGGTCTTTGGTAGATATGTTTATAATATGTAGTATAATAGTCTTCCATTTGACAGGTATGTATGTATACCTATGCGAATTCTGACGGGGCCGAATATTTCAGAACACCCTATAACCTGTGGTCTCTGTGGAGTGTTCCAATAACAGTAGAATATAATTGTTTTACTTCATTTTAGAGTTGCATCTGAAAAATTTGAATAACAAAAACAGTCCTCGCACAATCCAGATCTCAATCGAATGGATCATTCAAGAAATAGTCTTGGTAGGCGCATAATAAGACATCGTCAACTACGACCACTTTCTCTTAATAATGTTCAACTTCACAACTATGATGAAGTGAATCAAAAATAGAGGCTTATTTATAGAATAGTTATCTGTTGTTACTTGTACAATCCACAGGTTTTGATTAAAAAAAAAATGTTTCTTACATAATGGATATCAATGTTGTTATTGTTGTGACCATCGAGACAAAGAAAATTTTGACATATTTCGACATTTTGTATCATGAATATTGCCAACTGCAATTTTTTGATCACCTTATTTGAAATGCATTGGATTAACGACTTTTCAAGTAGGTATACTTTGAAAATACCATGAAAATACCAGATCACTTGTAGTTTGCACAAACTTTTTCAAGAACTAGTTTCAGTTGAAAAATTGATAGGAAGAGGCTAATTTTCTTAATTAGCCAAATGTGTAAGTTATTTTTTGGATTTTCTCTTGTCTTAGGTAGGAGTTTCCAGAGCAGTTTCAGCTTTCCGAACAGTGCTAGATACAACTGAAATTGAAAAACTGAAAACTGTTGGATTGAATCCTGGACATGACAAAAGCCTCAACATGGTCGACCATTTAGCGAAAAGAAAGAAATATAAACTATCAAGGATTCTTCGAGACATAACGAAAAACAGAAATTTGGGAATAAATATTTCGAAAAATTTGATTCCGAGAAAGAAAGATAGACGTCCAAAGTCTATAAAATCACCAGAGCACAATTTTAATGTTAAATTGAGGCCGACTACTGATAATAGCGAAGTACCGAGAACGGCCCAAATAGCTTGGATGGATTAGATGTATATTATTATTACTATTATAGTATATAAATGTCTCACGGTTATTTGATTATGTCAGTTTACTAAAAATCAAATTAAAAAACTAGGGTAAAAAAACGATTTTTTCTTTACAATCACATGCTTTAATGATTCTTGGATGTGGAATCACATATTGAATGTAAGTCATATTCTGGACCACTTTATCTCTTGCATATATTGGAAAGCTTCACTTCTTTCAAGTGCTTGCTGCTGAATGGACTAAAAAACCCATCCATTTAGGTTCATTCTATAGGAGACAGATGCTGAAATAAAAATTATCGACACAAACGCAAAAACGTCAGACTCCTTGAATACCTGTGGAAAAAATTTTAAACATCGAGATACCTAACAAATCATTGTACAGTGTTGGAACCTTAATATTTTCCTTACCATCAACCAAAACTTTTGGTACACTTCAGATAAATACGGTATAGTTGATAGATTTTTCGATATTATTCCATAGTGAAAATGCACGTTCAGTTCTAGTACTTCTTCTTCTGTCATTGTCATCTGGCGTCCAACATCAAATAATGTGAATTTTATATTGACAAAAGGAAAAATGAAAGAAAGGCCTTTTTTCTATTGAGGTTAGACTAGTCTTCCTTAATGTTCTTAAAGTTCATGTTGAACGCTCAAGTGGCTAAATTTGGAAGCTGACCTAAGATTACACTACAGAAGTACCATTCTTTGGACTGCTTCAATTTATGTTACTATACTACGTTCAAAATAGGAAGACAGTAGGTGACATAAATAATGGTGCATACTTCAAAATCATAGCCATTCTAATGATTGAATTCCAATTTGAGTTCATTTTTATTCTCAGAATTTATTGTAACATATAAAAAATAAGAAAAATGAATGAAATGTGATGAACATATCTTCCCATAAAGAAAACTTCAATCTTTACGTCATAATATTAGACAGAAATCAAAGCGACGGTCAACGCTTGCCTATGATTTCCAATGCTGTCTTCTGAGTTGGAATGGACATAGAGATATGAGTGAGAAAATCTCTCTCTAGAGCAGTTCAGCTAGCATTGAGAGAGAAAAAATGTCTTCCCCATTTGTCATTGTCTTCAGTGTTCCAACGTAAAATAATGGAAATTTTATGTTGGTAACATTGGAAATCTTTGGTAGAAGTCCATATTGCAAAGTGGAAAAAAAATTTTTTTGTGGAGATGACTTCGAGCATTCCTTCCTTCCTGTGAAACATTGGAAATGTTTTTGAAATCATATCTCAACGCCAGCTCTATTGAAATTTGACATATGACATTTTATACCTCACTATCATTTAGTAGTTGCGTTTTATTTGTTCCACTTTGAGAACGGTGGTGGGAACAGAACGACGTTAACAAATAAAACGAGAAACTTCATGATCTTGCATGAGATGATTGACATAATAGATAAAAGAGGTTATATTTATATATTGGGGCTTCGAATAATTCCAAAATCATAATACTAGAGTTTAAAACTCAAGAACACACATATTTGGAGCAGTGATTGTAGTGATTGGAGAAAATTCTCTGAGATCGAGAGAATGCGTTTTTTCTGGGAATGAAGATATGAAACCTGTCTTACTTGAAAGAATCATAAACTTGTGAACCTCACGATAAAAATGTCTTCTACTTTAAAATAGTTTCGTTTTTCGTCAATCTAGTTTCATTTTATGAATGAAAAGTAGCAAGCAAAATCGGAAAAGTTGCAAATAAAACAACACATTCAAGTGATTCCAGTGGCGAAATCGAATAAATGAATCACAACAAATGACGAACCCTTTCCATGTTGAAAAACTCGAAAAATCTATCACCCACGCCGATCGAAACGACCTGATCCGCCTGATTACCTTTCTCTGTCACTTACCGTTGAGCACGTGCAAATAAACGCTCGCCGAATCCAAATTGGACGGGCTGCACGTATAGTTGCCCGCGTCGTCCAGCTTTGTGCGGAAAATTGTGATGGTACTGACGGTGGTGTCGGTGCCTTTGCGCGACATGCGAATGTCGATGGCACTCTGGTCGTACCTAGAGATGGAAATAGTTATTTACCTAACAAGTGCGGAAAGTAGTACATTTACGCACGCGACGGCAGTTGCACGAACGACGCGGAAATAGATTTTTTTTCATTGATATAATAGGAAACTTATTTGAAGAACATTTAAATAACAATAACTAAAACATTAACGATGGTAACTATTGGAATTGAAAGTGCAATTTGTGTTTGTTGCATGCTGTAATATAGCAGATGCTGCAACGTCTTGAAGAACGTCGTTTCTTATTTGAATTTGATTGGTTAGTGTTTGGCAGTTTGTTGCTGAGAATTACTAGTGTAGTGAATTGAGGAAGGTAGATTGGTCTGAAATGCTTATTTGTTGACTGTCACTACTGTCAGTTTATAGCGACTGTTGCTACGGATACATTCTGGTGCCAACAGGTAGCACCACATGTCTCCTGGTATTTTATCATTATTATATTTTACAACTTTCAAAACGAAAAATCATGAGGAAAAGGTAGTTTTCCGCACGCTCGTAGGAAAAATCCTTTCATGTCCATTTTTTATTTCAGTGTACAAAGTGATCCATATCAACATTAGGAAATCATACTAGATTAACATGTGGAAAACGCTTAGACCAAGCATGGGCTACCCACGGCTCGCGCTCTGCATGCGGAACCCTAACAAGAAAAGGGAAGTTTCCAATATTGAGGTTTTCATCTTATTATGAAGTTTGTGAAAATTCATTATACATATACGTTTTTTCACGAAGGCGCTGAAGGGCCACCTATACTATTTTTTTTCGAATCCCGACTTTAAAGTCGGACCCCCGACTTTAAAGTCGGGGGTCCGAGATTAAAGTCGGGGGTCCGACTTTAAAGTCGGGGGTCCGAGATTAAAGTCGGGGGTCCGACTTTAAAGTCGGGGGTCCGAGATTAAAGTCGGGGGTCCGACTTTAAAGTCGGGGGTCCGAGATTAAAGTCGGGGGTCCGACTTTAAAGTCGGGGGTCCGAGATTAAAGTCGGGGGTCCGAGATTAAAGTCGGGGGTCCGACTTTAATCTCGGACTTCATGGATAAGTCCGAAACGGGTGTTCTCAGACCCATTCTATGATATCATATATCATTGAATTCGTCTTTCTTTGCTCTATCCAAGAATGAAATTGAATACATTCGAAAATTCCGAGAAGATGATCGGTTTGCAAAATACGTCATCACTTTTGTTTAATTCGAATATCCTCAATATTGACAAAATATCAATATAACATATACAGGGTGATCCACAGTGGATGGCCTATTAGAAGTATCTGGAGATCGAAAAGACAGAACATTCTGAAAATTGGGATTCTTCGATAATTGAACATTTTCTATCCGTCTAAGATATTTTCATCAATACAGTGTTGCCACTTCTATCAGAAACAACTAGCAACTTCGCTATTTTGAATGGAGCACCCTGTATTTTATTGCATTTTTAGATCCTTCATGAAGAGCTGATTTCATCGAAGCATCACACTTGTGGTCTAGCAGGAATTATTACAGAGATATAGGGTGTTCAAAATCTAGAATTTTGAATTTCAGGATTTTTTTGTGTCGAAACTATTCATTATCGATCAAAACGGCTCACATGTCCCTATCTTAACTTTTGATTCACCATCTACTGACACTTAATTGGAACAGATACAGGGTGATCAGAATTCTGAATCTTGAAGCACCCTGTATTTGTTCCAATTAAATTCCAGTATTTAGTGAATCAAAAGTTAAGATAGGGACATGTTAGTCGTTTCGATCGATAATGAATAGTTTCGACACAAAAAATCCTGGAATTAAAAAATCTCGATTTTGAACATCATATATCTCTGTAATCATTCCTGCTAGATCCCAAGATTGATGAAATCAGCTCTTCAGGAGGAATCTAATAATGCAATAGAATACAGGGTGCTCCATTCAAAATAGCGAAGTTGCTAGTTGTTTCTTATAGAAGTGGCAACACTGTATCGATGAAAATATTCTAGTGGGATAGAAAATGTTCAATTATCAAAGTATCCCAATTTTCAGAATGTTCTGTTTTTTCGTTCTCCAGATACATCTAATAGGCCATCCACCGTGGACCACCCTGTATAATCAGTTAGTTCATAATGAAAACTGCCCATTGAAAACTTGATTCTCAACGTTTTCATAAGGCTTAGAAATTTGGCTATTTATTGAAGAAGATTATGAAAATAGTCCGGAAGGGGTGATCTCATACCTACAAATGTAATCATATATCATTAAACTCATCTTTCTGAGCTCTACCCAAGGACGAAATGACATTCAGGGTAGTTCATTTGTGAAAATATATGTTTTGTATTGTAATCTTTTTGCACCCTTTAAACAAACAAATGAGATTCTCAGCTATGAAGTGGAATATATACAATCACCCTATACGTACGATAATGATCGTACAGGTGTGATCCATTATTTGACATTCAGTGTACATCCAAAAGGGAGGATTTTGACTGATCCTTATGTGATGATTATCCAATGGATGTAAAATTATTGTTTGTACATAAACGTACAGGGTGTTTCTCGAGTACATGTAGAAAATTCAGGAGCATGTTGCTGACATCAAACTGATGAGTAACAATGGAAAATATTCATTTCTGTCCACATATTTAAAGAATATAATCTAGCTCCTAACTTAAGTTTCGGACTCCCGACTTTAATCTCGGACCCCCGACTTTAATCTCGGACCCCCGACTTTAATCTCGAACCCCCGACTTTAATCTCGGACCCCCGACTTTAATCTCGGACCCCCGACTTTAATCTCGGACCCCCGACTTTAATCTCGGACCCCCGACTTTAAAGTCGGACCCCCGACTTTAATCTCGGACCCCCGACTTTAAAGTCGGACCCCCGACTTTAATCTCGGACCCCCGACTTTAAAGTCGGACCCCCGACTTTAAAGTCGGGATTCGAAAAAAAAAAGGATAAGTGGCCCTTCAGCGCCTTCGTATTTTTTTGTAAGATCAAATTTCACTTAAAATACGATTCCCTGTGTCAGTACGGTGTTGCCGGTATCATCAATATGTCTAGATTTCCCAAAATTCTTCTATGAATACCCTATAACTATCCGGGTTATAACTATATGATAACAGCGATGGGAAAAAAGTTTGACATTGCATCTCTGTTGGCAGGTTATAAAATACCACTTTTCATGAATTACTTTTTTCCCGGATATATATCACATATACAGTGTGTGACCCACTTCTAATGGAAACACCCCTGTATCTTACGTAGTCGTTGGGTAAGAATCCTGAAATTTGCTGGTGTGGGGCCATCTTCAATGATATACACTGCTTGCCAACAGCCATGGAACCACCCCAATCTCCACATAATAATATTAGGAGTCAAAATAGGTTGAAAATCAGTTCGGATTCGGAATCAGGACGCCCAATTCATAACGAAAGGAATTGAGTACGCCTCTGAATTCTTCGCAAAATTCTCTGTTAGACGTAGTATTATTCGTAGTAACTCAGCACAACCTTATTATTTCTAATAACTTCGTAGAGAAGCCTGGCAGTCTAAACCAAAATGTACATATTTAAATCTGAAACACCCTGTATGTCTCCTTGTGCATTTTACACTCTTCGAGAAAATTTGCTAGAGTTTTTCACTACTTCTGACTGTAAAATTCGCTCAAATCACTAGAGATTTTCGTGAATATTATTTTTCTAGCCCATGTTTAATTTTTTCAAATCGTTAAACTTTCGAAAATAATAATGCCAGTGTATCCGTGTTCAATTCTTCATCTTATATCTTGTATACTATATATCAGTTCCCCCTGTATAATTTCATTATCGTCATCAGTCATAGATAACTCATTTGTTCGGAGATTAATCGGTTAGCAGCATATGATTCAACCTATTAGTCATTCATTCGAGACCAGGTGGTGAAGCAAGACAGTCTTATATTAGATGTCATCACGTACAGTCGAATTTTGTGTACACAATTGTAAAACACGCGAAAGGAATTATTTATCGTTCCAAACGGAGTTTTCATTTGAAAATAAGTGCAAGTATTGTGTTTTTGTGTTCCTCATTCAATTCAGTGATAACATTATGGCGATCGTGTGCTGTTCTGGTGTTTCGTGTTGTTTGATCAAAGCATTTTTCACGCTGGTGAGTAAAGAGAAATTCTCTCAAGTTTTCCTCATATTTCCATCTTTACTTTCAACTTCATTACCTTATATGTTTTCACAATCACAAAGGTACCGTTTTTTGAATATTTTACGATGAAGATATACTTTCTTCTGATTTTCGTACTTTCCGTTCAGAACGGTATTTTTTCAGAAGAAAATAATACGAAAAGAGCAAACCAGATGAAAATAAGACGATTCGAAATTATTTCATTAAAACATATTTTTTGGCTATACAGGGTGTTTCAGATATAAATGTACATATATCGATCTGTCTACCATCTTTTATAACTGTGATACAGAACGTAATCTTGATTTTGGCAAAATCTTTCTCTGGTCAGCTCGTAACTTTTGAACCATGGTGTATAATCGATTCATACTCGATAGGTTTATTCAGTTAATATTACTACTTTTCAACAGGGTGCATCCAATTTGACTTTTGTTTCCTTCATCATTATTTTTCGAAATAGAATTTTGGTTGAACTCCTAATTCAAAGTCTAATTTTATCACAAAAAAAACAATCAGTCCTCAAAGTTCAACTTCATAAGAGTCAAATTAGGTGAACTATCGATAGTTTTCATTCCGTAGAATAATTGTTAATTAGATATTTTCAAGTGCTCATTGAATTTTCAGTATTTCATAAAATAATGATAGTTGGAAAGTTATACATGAAATTCTTTTTTTTTTAATTCTACTTTCAAGGTCAATATCTCCGAAACGAAGTGCGATATACTTTTTTTTATGAAGTACCAACATTATTTTGGCTCACTCTATCAGTCCTATCAATTACAACATTACCTTTCCGGACATCCTGTATAGTTTGAAAATGTTTCCTAAAACCATTTTTCACTCATTTGGGATTGAATCAAAGTTGCCAATAACATTTAGATAGCTGTAGACACAACAGAAATGCCATGGAAACAAAACAGGCATTTTTTGACATCTCTGTCGGTCTTTGAATTAATATGGGTTGTTCAGCAGTGGAAAAATACGAAAGACTATAATTGTTATATTATGAAAATATTGCGGAAACTTCGGTAATGCAGCAAGAATTTAGTCTGAATCGGATTTCTCTTCCAGATTAACAAGCAGATAGAAAGCGAAGTGTTTGATACTTGCCACTAAGTCGGAGAAAACCATCGAAAGATCCGCAAAGAGAACTGACCAGAGTGAATTTTTCAAAATTCATATCCTTATATTCGTACGGAAGGCGATATATTGATTTCCTTTCCAGATTCTCAAGCAAACAGATAGACAGATATTCACCTTTATGTCTCTATGGAAACACGACAGGTACCCTTACGAGGGGAGAGTATCAACTCGGTGTTTATAAACCCTCTCTGCAAAGGAGGTAGACGCATGGTGGGTTAGGTATATACAGTGTTTTTCATTGCAGAGAAAATTGTTGTTTATCTGCCTGCCTCGTCTTCATTGAGATAGTTGATGCATTGATGTATAATTACAAAAATATATCGCATTTCAGATACGAATGTTGAAAACAATATTCAGACTTTAAAGATTTATATTCTATGTGAGTCTCACGATTCAAATTTCAAATTGATGCTTAGTTTTAGATCCGAGCAGCACTGTTTGGCATTCATGGTCCTTATTGTAACCCACGAAATTTAAAATGTAGCAGATGTCTACTGGGAAAACCACTATTCGGAAGGAGAGCGAACATGTAGCAATCCAGTTACGGTTGATGTAAATATTATTCAGGTATGTTTCAGATTCAACATCAGTTTTAATTCTCATGGACTTGCTGATATGTGATGTTTAATTGCAGATCCGAAAAGCAAAATGTTAGATACTTGTCAATAAATTGGAGAAAACCATCCAGTCAAGACGGACCGAATTGAAAATCCGCAAAGAGAACTGACCAGAGTATACTTTTCAGAATTCTCATCCTTATATTCGTACGGAAGGCGATATATTGAATTCCTTCCAGATTCTCAAGCAAACAGATAGACAGATATTCACCTTTATGTCTCTATGGAAACACGACAGGTACCCTTACGAGGGGAGAGTATCAACTCGGCGTTTATAAACCCTCTCTGCAAAGGAGGTCGGCGCATGGTGGGTTAGGTATATACAGTGTTTTTCATTGCAGAGAAAATCGTTGTTTATCTGCCTACCTCGTCTGCATTGAGAGAGTTGATGAATTGATGAATAATCATAAAAATATATCGCGTTTTAGTTACGAATGTTGAAAATAATATTCAGACTTTATAGATTTATATTCAATGTACGTCTCACGATTCAAATTTCCAATTGATGCTTAGTTTTAGATCCGAGCAGCACATTGTTTGGCATTCATGGTCCTTATTATAGCCCACGAAATTCAAAATGTAGCAGATGCCTACTGGGAAAACCACTATTCGGAAGGAGAGCGAATATAAAGCATTCCAGTTACGGTTGTTGGAAATATTATTCAGGTATGTTTCAGATTCAACATCTGTTTTAATTCTCATGGACTTTCTGATATGTGATGTTCAGTTGCAGGTCCGAGAAGCAAAGTGTTTGATACTTCTCAATGAATTGGAGAAAACCATCCAGTCAAGACGGACCGAATAGAAAATCCGCAAAGAGAACTGACCAGAGTATACTTTTCAGAATTCTGAACCTTATATTCGTACGGAAGGCGATATATTGAATTCCTTTCCAGATTCTCAAGCAAACAGATAGACAGATATTCACCTTTATGTCTCTATGGAAACACGACAGGTACCCTTACGAGGGGAGAGTATCAACTCGGCGTTTATAAACCCTCTCTGCAAAGGAGGTCGGCGCATGGTGGGTTAGGTATATACAGTGTTTTTCATTGCAGAGAAAATCGTTGTTTATCTGCCTACCTCGTCTGCATTGAGTGAGTTGATGAATTGATGAATAATCATAAAAATATATCGCGTTTTAGTTACGAATGTTGAAAACAATATTCAGACTTTTTTTATATTCTATGTACGTCTCACGATTCAAATTTCCAATTGATGCTTAGTTTTAGATCCGAGCAGCACATTGTTTGGCATTCATGTTCCTTATTATAACCCAGAAAATTGGAAATGTGGAAGATGCCTACTGGGAAAACCACTTTTCGGAATGAGAGCGAATATGTAGCAATCCAGTTACGGTTGTTGGAAATATTATTCAGGTATGTTTCAGATTCAACAGTTTTAATTCTCATGGACTTTCTGAAATGTGATGTTCAGTTGCAGGTCCGAGAAGCAAAGTGTTTGATACTTCTCAATAAATTGGAGAAAACCATCCAGTCAAGACGGACCGAATAGAAAATCCGCAAAGAGAACTGACCAGAGTATACTTTTCAGAATTCTGAACCTTATATTCGTACGGAAGGCGATATATTGAATTCCTTTCCAGATTCTCAAGCAAACAGATATACAGATATTCACCTTTATGTCTCTATGGAAACACGGCAGGTGCCCTTACGAGCAATTCATCGGAAGGTAACTTCCCCACTATCCGTCGGCCAATGAATTTTTCGAATTTCCAGTTGTGGGGAAATGTGTTGCATTTTTCAAAGCATTGGACGAAAGTATCGCATTTCCTGATACAGCGCAAATAGCAATTTTTAATCGTGCAGACGAGAGAAACTTCGAAATAAACTAGAAGACTAGTCGTACCTGAGCACACGTTCACCGTCGTGGTACCAAAAAATGTACGCCGGCTCCTCCAGCGATTGCGTTATCACGCACTTGAGCTGAACAGTGCTGCCGCGCTTCACGTAAACGTCCGATTCGCCTTCTATCTCTATCTTGGGCACTGAGGAAAATAAGAAAATTGTATGACTTGCTGTGAGCTATGACATATGTGAATGTTCATATCACAGAATCACAGAACTCATATTCTTTATACCATCTAATATACGTCGAATTCGCGATAGAAAATGAGCGTAAACCATCTATCGGAGTCCTTGAAACCTGTCAAAGCGACGTGTCTACTTTGTTTTCATTGGTTCACATTTGTTTTTTGGGTAAAACTGCATTTATCATGCGATGGTTTTCGAATTTGATAGGATAGGTTTTTTATCATCACTAGTCGGGAAGTTTACAACCTTCAATATTAAGTTTGAAAATTTCACATGTTTATGTATAATCGTTCCAAAGATAAGAGAGAGGGCACTTTTTTAAGCACAGTATAAAATTCTTCTGTCCCTGTCACGGTGTTTGTTGCCAAACTCCTCCGAAACGACTTGGCTGTTTTTATTGAAAATGTTTGTGCATATTCGAAGGTCTGAGAATCGGCCGTGAACTAATTTTCAAATTGAAAATTCAAGATGGCGGATCCAAAATGGCAGACGAGTTTTGTAATTATGATTCGATTCTATTCAAAATTCGTATCTGGGGGTTTTTGGCGTCGCAGATTATGAATCTTTCGTGAAAATGGGGATATTCGAGATCCAATATAGCGGACGAGTTGTGTAATTATATGATCCGATTCTATTCAAAATTGGTATCTAGAGGTTTTCGAGGTCGTAAATTATAATTTTTTCATCAAAATTAGGAAATTCAAGATGGCGGATCCAATATAGCGGACGAGTTTTGTAATATTAATCCGATTCTATTCAAAATTGGTATCTAGGTGTTTTCAGGGTCAGAGATTATGATTCCTTCGTCAAAATTAAGAAGTTCAAGATGGCGGATCCAATATGGCGGACGAGTTTTGTGATTATGATCCGATTTTATTAAAAATTGATATCTAGGGGTTTTCCAGGCCGGAAATTATGATTCTTTCGTCGAATTTGGAAAATTCAAGATGACGAATTCAATATATTTGGCGGACGAGTTTTGTAATTATGATCTGATTCTATTAAAACTTAGTACCTAGGGTTTTTGAGGTCGGAAATTATATTTCATTTGTCAAAATTTAGAAATTCGAGATGGCGTACCAATATGGCAAACAAACTTTGGTAATTATGATCTGTTTCCATTCAAAATTGGTCTGGGGACTCTCGGGGTCAGAGATGAAGATTCCTTCATCAAAACTTGGCCTGGGGACTCTCGGGGTCAGAGATAAAGATTCCTTCGTCAAAACTAGGAAATTCAAGATGACGGACAAGTTTTGTAATTATGATACGATTCTATTTAAAATTGGTATCTGATGGGGCGTTCTACGAGAACAAAATTATGATTCTTACAGCATAATCCGAAAATTCAAGACGGTGGATCCAATATAGTGAACGAGTTTTGTGATTATAATCCGATCCTATTCAAAATTTGTATCTGTGGGTTTTCGCGATCGGAGAATCTAAATTCTTCCGTCAAAATCGGAAAATTCAAGATAGCGGATCCAATACGGGAAACGAGCTTTCTAGTGAACAGTAGTTCTAAAAACTATATATACACTCATTTCAATGCCACCTTGTATATATATATAAATATTCAACTAAATGAATATTTTCTTGAAATAAATGTATATATAACAAAACAACGTTTACTGGGTCAGCTAGTAAGGTATAAAGATTATGAATTCTGTGGTTCATTTTCATCAGGACCTGTATGAGCCAGGTATAGATAGAATTCATCATGTTCACAGTTGAATTTCCTATTCATATTAAGTCATACAAGTAGTTTCCAGAAAAACAGTAACAAATTGTCATTGGCTCAAACAGATCATCACTTGTATAGGGGGCAACCTTTTGTCCTAGTATGAGGAATTATGAGGTATTTACAGAAATTACCAAGAAATTGTGGGGAATTGTTAAGGAATTACAAGGAATAATGAAAAATTGAGAGGCATTAGCTGTGATTATGAGGTATTACTAGTCATATAGTGCTTTGTTTTGGCATTGAGGAATCAATTTAGGTATATGAAATGCACCTGGGGGTAATTTCCGAGGTAATTTCATTTCATTTTTAAAGAAGACTAGTTATTTCTGCGGACTCATTGGTCTGTGAATCAAAATTATTTTCTCAAATTTACTTGACAAGTAATAAAAGAAGTATAAATCAAAACTTTACACAATTAACAAAACAAGAATAGTTATTTTTGTATCTAGTGCATGAAATTCTACTTTGGTGGAGGAGTTGCACAATTATTTTTTTCTACAAACGTCAAATTATATAGTTCTGAAGTAGTAATATGCTTACCTTAATTTAAAATATAGTGTTGAACTGGCTTAAAAGGCCTTTCCCTATTTTCCCTAGATACACATGATATTCCATGAACATTATAGGAATTTCCTTTCATGTGGTCCAAGAGATAAAAAAAAAAAGATTGTTTAACATTCAGAAATAAATGATTTCTTGGATGTTTGCTCCATTGAGGACCATAAAGTTTAAATATAAAACTCTCATATAGTTTACATAAAATGCAGGAAGTATGTACTTCATGCATTGTTTTACTAGTGTAGGAAACTGAAAAGTGTCATTTTGCAATTTGTAATTAATGCCCTAACCTTGTCATTTTTTGACATTTGTAGAAAAATTTACATTATTCAGCACATGAAATAGTCAGCTGTTTCAATGCTTGGCAAACAGATTACCTTTACATGAAATTCTTTTGGATTCTTCAGAAGTCTTAGTAAACCTACATTATTGGACAGGACAGACAAGTTCTTGAATTTTCCAAAGAAATAATAATATACATTTGGATAATTTAGTTTCTGTCACTTGTACAAGTCCTCAATAAAAAGCAGGAGGCAGGTTTTGTAGAAATGATGATTTTTTGCATGGGAAAGCAAAGATTCATGAGAATAATCCAATGTATTGAAAATATTGCTGCTAATTTATGACCTGAGAACTTTTCCAAATAAAAAATTAGGTACTCAACCAATATCATTGGCTATATCTGTTTGAAAATAATAATAACCAGATTGCCAAAACATTCATATTTAAATCACTACATTTCATATTTCTGACAGTTCTGTCTTTTTTCACATATTATTTATTCAATATATTCTGAGATATATTCAGATGGCATTTTCAAAAAACCAATGGGTGAAATGTGGAATCTATTCAATAATCATTACTCACCAACTACATTGAGGTTGATGAAATGACTCATCTTTGGTTCTGTGCTGACTTGACATTCATATTGCCCAGCATCCCTGGCTTGTACATATTTCACTTGTAGTGTCCAAGTATCTGTTGCTTCAACAAAGAATGCTTGAAATCTGTCATCAGCTATAAATGTGTACCTACAAAAAAATGATTTTTGATGAAGGTATAGATATGGTAAGTGAGAAACCTTGAAGATATGTACTGAAATTTGCTGAAAACTCACCTATCTACAGTGAGGATATGAGCATCTCTTCTACGAATCCATGAAACAGACTTGTTTCCTAGCTGTTTTATTTTGCATGGGATGTAAGCATGAGTTCCTAATTGGGTAGTTATGTTGGTGGTGGTGGTAGGATCAAAATATGGACCCGTGTATAACCCTGTGAATCTTTTAACAGTGTGTGCAGCTTCTCCTTCATGGAAGACTATAAAATATAGGAAGAAACATCACAATTCAAAATACATCTTTGCCTATAATAGATGATGCAAGGATGATTCTTGAAAAAAGTTAGTAAATACCTGTGAATAGTTCAGGAAAGACCAGCATCCACAAAGTGTAAATGAGAAGTCTAGTTGAGGTTTCCATTTTGGGGAATTTTCAAGGATAAAATGTGGGTACACAGTCAATACTACACAATGAATTAGGTGGGAGCTATTGAAATGTACATATTAGTTGAACCAAGGATGTTATTCACATACTAAGTTTTCAAGTATGAGGGAAGTGACTGTTCAATGTACAAATAAGTTCTCCAAAATTTCAGGATCAGATATTTGGTTTTCAAGAAAGACTCCTGAAGGTCTAACTTCCATTCTGGGTTTTGGATGATCTAAAACAAATGTTCAATATTAGATTTAATAAATGTGTTTTGGCATTGTCTTTATCCAGAATTGAAAAGAAATGTATTGAACAACACATAATGATGATCACTAATAATGTGGCAAATCAAAGGAAGTAATTACTAAATTGGGTTGGAATCACTGTAAAATGAACATTATGTATTACTTCTATAAGAAAGAGATTTGTTATATTTGGTTCTTTAGTTTTAATAATGTTTGAATATTTTCAGAATTCCTAGGATCTAGCAATCATTACTACTTTGAAGAATCCCAGTTGTATAAAACCGAGAAGCTGAACATTTATAGATAATATACAATAATAGCTACTGTGAATGCCAATTGATATATAGATGAATCAAAAAACGACAATGAAAACAAAACCAATAAAAAGTACTAAAATAACATTCCGACTACCGTTAAAAGTGGATTACCTCACTAATAGCTGTTTGCAGGGAAAAACTATGTATCAGTTCCAATATAAACAATTCAGATAAGAAACTATTGTATCATTTCATGATATTTTCAGAGCGAAATGCCCAAACCCAAAAATTAGTAGGGAAACTGCGAACTGAAACTACTGAAAGCTGACGACTGACAGACTCTGATTTCTGACATTTGAATTGATTTAGTAGCCTTACTTTTTCTGCTTCTTACTATTTCAGCCATTACTCTTCTTCTTCTTCTTCTTTAGCAGTGGGGACTTCTCTAAAGGCCCCTTTGGGTTCAGCCTCAAAGGACTATTTACCCAGTTTTTTGTCTTCTTGTAATGGATTGAGGAGGGAAAGCTGCACTTTGGTGCGTCTGGTAAAATACCATCACTTTACCCCGTGACAGTGTTCTGGAATGAGTTCATGTACTATAGGTTGAGGTTACTTGCTGTGAGGAATTCAGTTAAGGCAGTGGTCGTAAGCTCATTTGGATTTCTAAGCAGGTCAAACATTGATAAAGCAGTAGGCGTGCTGGGATTTCTGCATGCTATTTTTCTGTATAGCCGGTTTGTGTTAGTGGTGTTGTTAGGGCATTCTAGTAATACATGGTTTAGGTTACCTATTAGTCCGCAGGGGCATAGAGGGGAATCTGTTACTTTGATTCTGTGGAGGTGAGCTTGAGTGTGGCAGTGGCCTAGTCTCATTCTGGTGATGGCCATTACTCCCTTGTCTTTTCTTTCTAGTCTACCCTACCACCTTTTCAGTGGAAGCAGAAGTCTAATTCCCCAGTCCCCCCGTTCCCCCAATCCCAACCATCACAAACCTCCTAGTTTACATTTTTTCACGATTTTTACGAAAGCTACGTACTAAGATGCCTAGAGACCTCACTATGTACTAAAGTAGGTACTCACTCTTTTTGTTTTTGAAACTACAGAAAAGTTTTGAATGACTAAAATATGTTGAGAATAAACTGCGGGGTCGTGACACAATCATTTTGATGAAAAAAATTCACTATCATTAGAATGAAGTAATTAGAAAAATTAAGGTCATTTTTATCGAGGAAAATGTGATTTTTTTAAACAGAGAAGTGAACTTAACATATCAACCCTTCCATATTTTCGGTGCCTTTTTCAGCTACAGTGTAAACCATTTCTACTACTCTGCTTTATCACCCAACTATCAATAGTCTTTTTTGTTCTGTTTTACAGATGTTTTACAAACATAGAAGAATTAAACTACCTATTCAAAATCATTGTTATGCTTTAATTGAATCATTTGGGAAATCAAACTCTCATCAGAGTTGATTGTTTAAGAACTGATATTATTATGCTTTATTATACACTACTAATGAAAACTGCATACATAAACTTCTGTTGTCTTAAAAAATTAGCAAGAAGCTTCCCAAGTGTTATTGAATACTCAAATTACTCTTGTGATTTGAGATGTATTTGCTTCTTCTTTCTGAACATGCCTTCAAATCAGTGCATCAATATCAGTGATATAAGTGAAAGTGACAAAATCTGGTGGGGTAAGCTGTGACAACAAATCTTGAATCAATTATTAGTCTTGAAATGGCGTTTCCTTTTAATCAAGCCACTTTTGGAGTGTCCTTCGTTTTCTTGATACTCCCATATTTTCAAATGTGTTGGCAAATATACCAAGCCAACTAGAGTAACAACTGAAAAAAAAATCTTAAATGAGAAACCTGAAGCCTTCCTCCTATGATTGATTATTGATTACACAGGGATGAGTAATATATTTATGAACAGTGACCAAAATATACTCACTATTTAATATGCAGGGAAATAATACATAGAAATTGAGAGTTGCTGCTTTGAAATAAATAGTTTCAGTGAAATAAAGTATTATGGTCAGGATCAGTGAACAGATTCCCATACTAACAATTCTGAAAAAAAAAAAATTGATTATTGCTTCTTTTTTGGGAACTCTTTGGCAAATGGTTTGAGTAGCTGTAGAGAAATGCAATTGCTCATTACCAATAAATGAATTAAATGAATGTAAGTTCACACTCACGGTTTGTAGTGTATAAACAAAGTACAATGTATCAGAACTATTGCCTTCAGAACTGAGTATAAACCTAAAACTCTTGAAGTCGTGAATTCTTCTAGAAAATGATAGATATTATGATATAAGAATTCTTAAAACTATAAAAGATGCTGCATACTCTGGTTGCACTTACCATCTACATATTCTTGAACATCTGAAATTGTCTTGCTTAAGAAAGACCTCTTTTCTATATAACTTCTTGCTGCAGTACCTAGATCCACAAAAGCTAAAAAAGCTATCCATCCTCTGAAGGCATACATCATCTTTTTGTCCATTTTGCAATATTTGAGAACATTATTATTATGTTCACATTTATACGAATCAGGATCGGTTGAATTTGTCTTGTTTTTTTATAGTGCTTGCTTCATGAAATCTGAGAAAATTGTGAAATGAAAAGAACCAAAAACAGAAATTTTTGACTCATTTTTCCTTATTTTTCTAACAAAACAAAACATAACCTAAAAACTAAAAATGACTGGAACTGGCAACATACCTTCGAGCAGAGTACGCAAATTACAATCTATCATAATAACCCAACACACTTGAGACTGAGAGACAAGAGCACAGAACAGAGTCTAGATGAAGAAGTGACAAGTGGCCAAGAAAAGAAGAAAGAAGAGAAAAATAGAAAGACGTCAGATTAGATAAGAATTTAACCTTCAAGTTTGTTGATAAGATAATGACGATTCCATAATAAATCCGTTAGATGTACGATAGATAATGTAGGCTATAAAAGCAGAAACCGGGTCAGGTCACATCAATTTACATATGGGACTCGCTAGTCCTATGTGAGAAATACTGTTATTACCTCAATCCCAAAGTATTAACAGAAAGTATTTCCAAACAAGTATTCAACATGAATGAAGTTTACATAATATCTGCATGTAGGACTCCTATAGGTAAGCCATAACGATAACATATATATTGGTTCATGTAAATTTTGAATCTATTCACTTAGGTAATTTCCAAGGACAGTTTGAAAAAATTTCAGCTGTAGAACTAGGCACTATTGCTATTGCAGAAGCTATTAAAAGAGCAGAACTACAACCTGAAGATGTAGAACATGTCATTATGGGCCAGGTAAAAATACTTTAAAATTATCAGATGGATTTCCAAAAAAGTAATTCTTGGTTTGTAATCATTTTGCTCTAGATACATTCTTGGCATGACTGAAATTATTTGATCATTGATCATCTAGTCATATTTATTAATTAATTCTTCATGGGTTCTTGAGCATATAATGTCCTACATTTTGTGTCACAATGATAGCAGGTCAGTAATTTGAAATTTATATTTTTTAGGCTGATCTTTGAGCTTAGTACTTATTATAAAAATGATCTTGTGTTTTATTTGTTGAAAAACTTGCTGCCTCTGAGCCTGCACACATGAGAATTTATCAAATATCAAGTTAGAATCTATAGAACTCAACCACACAAACAACTTTTCAATGAGAGTTTTTGTGCTAATTAATATGCATTTATCCTGAGTGAATGGGCGTGTACACCTTAGTAGAACTTTCAACTCAAACTTTGTTTATAATGATCCTTTTATACATATATAATGATTGACGACATAATTCGATCGAAAAATCCACTGGAATGTTTTATTTTTGGACATAAATAATAGTACCTTCTGAAAACGGACCCTCTTATGACGTAGAAACCTCATCTCGCCATAGTTGAAAGAAAATACCAAACGCCCGACGGAGACTGAGGCAACTGATTTATTAATCCTTTCAACTGTGATCTCGCGCTAATTCACTCTGTCAGAAATCATGTATCATTCATCTCTATCTGGAATAGTCTTTTCAAAATTAGGGTTCTGACGTCACATCATCGCCTCGTTTTCAGAGGTCCGACAAATCGGGGATTTCAATAATTTTTTATAAAACGTAGGGAGCTCACAGCAAGAAACGGTTTGCGGTGGTGAGCTAGTTTGGATGAGTTCTATTGAGTTATGAAATGAAATTTTTTTGTGATATAAGCCCATTGGTTGAATTTTGTGGATGTACCTAGGTTTGCTACATATTTTTGCAAGACTATTATTTAGAGAAACCTTTTTTGAGTTTAATAATAAACTACATTCAATACATATATATGAAGTTATGTTATGACCACACTAACAACATTTTATAATTATTAGTATACTAATACAAATACTACAATAAGATTTCTACAGATTTTTTTCTAATTTGTGAGTTTTTCTAACTCTTGAGCTGAAGATAAAACATCTTTTGGTTTTTATATTTGTAAAATTTGCTCCAAAATTGATGGGGATTTCAAAAATAATTTTGGTTTTTGGAGAATCAGTGGTGTACCATTTTTTTCTTGAGAAATTGTCAATTCAAACCCCGTACGGACGTCACTGGTGAATATTTCAAAAAATCATTTACATCAAAAAATGCTCCTCAATGATGAAAAGGTGTGTACAAAATTTCATCAAAATATCTCTAAGAGAGTGAAATTCATTAGACATACCTACATCATACATATTGTATGCTGCCATTTTATGTTGATAAGGGTTAGTTGAGTAGTGATACCAATATGAGAAAGTTTATAATGATAATTCTGACAAACATACTATCCCTATACATTCCAAAAATTTGTAGGATTTAAAAAAAATCTCATTGTGCTGTGTGCCATATATTTTTTTAATCATCATTACCAGTTATCTGTGAATAATGAGGCAATCATTTATTTTTTGAATTCATTATAGTTAGGTAATTCTTCATGTCATAATGAGATATTATGAATGGAATATCTGAAAAGCAATTTCTATACATTTTATATCATTATATTTTGTCAACACTGATTTCTTATCCATTAGAAATTGATAGATAAGAAATATCATAATTTTTTATGGAATTAATTATTCAATGTACTGATCAGTCACCTTGAGGAAAATGAAGATAGTAAAAAAAATTGTTGCTCTAAAATTGTTTTATCCGTCATTCGGTTGCCCCCTTACAATCAACCCTCAGTTCCTCAGAAATCTTCAAGAGAGCTAGGAATGACGAGGGCCTATCTTTTAACGTGTGACCCCAAACACTTTCTTGGGCTATCAAAAAAATTTCTCGAGTCGGGGATTTGAACCCATGACCGGCAAGTCATCGTGATTAGAAAACTAACGCTTCTATCGCGCGGCTAACTGAACCCTCAAATTTGGGTAGAGGTATTGAAATTGATTTTTGCTCCTTCATGTGGATTTTCAAAACGATCATTATAGTAGGGGAGGCAAAGATGCTAAATAGGGATTTACTGGAGCGTCGTGGGGACGTATTGAAAAGCACACTTTTCTGCATGTTAATTAACATACCATGTCTTAATCTGACGCACTTGAGTATTTCTGACGATCGATTTTTTTTACTAATCTGATCGGCTGCCCTAAACTTTCGACACCCTATAAAGGGCCCAGGTTTGGTGGGAGTACTTAACAAGGTCTAAGGATACCCCTCTTATATGTTAATCTGCCGTGCTCGAGTTAATCCCGAAATCCCAGCTTGGGCTTCCCTACTATCAATTTTAACTTCTGAAATTGGATTTAACCCAATAGGTTTTGACAGCAGGACTGGGTCAGAATCCTGCAAGACAAGCTGCAATTGGTGCCAAAATTCCAAACTCATCGCCTGCTTATACTGTGAACATGCTTTGTGGATCTGGCCTGAAGTAGGTACCATCATTATTTGTTGATTTAAAAAATGTTCAGTGTCAGTGAATATCGAAATCAGGAATTGAAATAATGAATATCTATCGAGATATTTATTCTATATGACTGAAGGTCAACCAATTTTGGTCAGATAGGTCAACAATAAATTTGGTCAATAGTCTCCGTACAAGGATAATCATACGATAGCCAGACATTGCATAACAAATAATCTTGATTAACTAGGACAACATTGATGACAGAATTTTCGTGTCATATAATAAATAATTACTATAATGATAATAATAATAATGATGAAACTTTTGGTACAAAATGATCATGGCCCTGAGAAGCCCTCAGGTTCTGATACACAGGGTGTTTCGAAATTTGACCGACAACGCTTGACAAGTGATAGCCCTCATGATTTCATAATTACTGAGATAGGGACTTACAGTCTTCAAGTGTTCAGTTCTCGTGATACATGGTGTTGAAATTGAGAAATAAAAATAGTATTTTTCACAACATCTCAAATTCGGCATGTGATTTCTTCTTTGTATCCCAAGAACTGAACACTTGAAGAGCCTATGTCACTATCTCAGTAATTATGAAATCATGAGGCAGGGCTATCACCTGTCAAACGTTGTCAGTCAAATTTTGAAACATCCTCTATAAAAAGAATATACAATTTACTAAAATGAAAAAAAAATCGGTGAACTTCGCAGTTTTGCTATGATTACAAAGTTCTCATTCAGCTGAAATCATTTATTTGCTGCTATTTTGTAAGTACTGCCTGCCTTATACCGGGTCTTCAACAATGATTGAGTGCCACGTAACCATTTTTGATGCGGCGTCCCTTTTCCTCCCACGTTAAAGAGACAAGAATGCATTCTTGGTTGCATACTAATCTGTCACGTGGTTTTCAATCATCGTTGAAGACCCGTTAGTAGAGGATTCGAGGATCGACTTTCACCTATCTGTTTAAAGAATGAAAATTTAGCATTTAGCGTACGGATATGTACCACGCTAAATGATCGATTAATCACGGATTGTCGATCTGTGATTTATTCAAAATATTAAACACGTTACCATGGCAACACGATTTCTTAAACACATTACCATGGCAACACAGTTCATTAAACACAGCTTCAGTAATTTTAGACATGTCTGGCCTGTCAATTGTATCAACTGTCAACTGTTATTTTCAAATTTCGTATCAGAATTATTCAAACAATATTCGTTTGTATCAGAATTCTTCATTAAAAATATATGCGAAAAGTAGACGAAAGTGAAATCAAAGAGAATGTTCTGGTACTTGCATATCTCCAAGAAGTATAAAAATGAAGCATCCATCTTTGAGAACAATTCATTCATTCTGCGCTAAGCATGATATAAACGTGAAACAAAGGTTAGTAAGCAATGGACTGGACACATCTACAACCAATATCACTTATTCGTGTCTCGCTGGTTGCATGCAGTTGCATGTATTATGTTCTCAATTCCCATTCCTTTCGAATTATTTTGTAGGTTAGCAGGAATAGCAGGTATGTTAATGTAATTTTCGGAGTTCATAGAAAAAGCATAGTATGTTACGCGTTTATAAACTCTTCTAGACACTCGTTTATTAAACACTCGCTCCGCTCTGCTCGTGCTTAAAATACTCGTTACTAAAAGGACGTTTATAACACTTGTTACATAATATACTATTATGACTAATTTAGTATGTTAGCAATTATTGAAAAATGGGTTGCCTGAAAAAATTGCCAGGCTAATTAATCACTCATAAAATAATGTTCATCCATTAAACAGATGGGTGAAGGTAGGTGGACCTTATTTCGGATCTTATACTGTTATGCTATATTGATAATACATGACAGTGGACATGAATTTTAGATCTGTAGCTCTTGGTTTCCAAGCAATTCGAAATGGAGATTACAATATTGTTGTATCAGGTGGACAAGAGAACATGACTAGAGCTCAACATGCTGGTTACATCAGGGGTTCCAAAATGGGACAAGTAAATCTGGCAGATACACTTTTGTCAGATGGCTTAACTGATGCTTTCAACAATGTCCATATGGGAAATACAGGTAGGCTTATGAGAAATTCAACTGGATACCTTCAGACAACTAATTTATTTATGTAAGATATTTGAGACCTAATTATAACTTATACCAATTTTTTTAGCTGAGAACTTGGCTAAGATATACCAAGTGTCACGTCAAGAGCAAGATGAGTTTGCCTGTAGATCCCAGAATAAAGCTGAAGAAGCCATAAACAGTGGTTTTTTCGTACAGGAAATAGTTGGTGTCCCAGAAAAAAGGACAGGAAAATTAATTGATAAGGATGAATTTCCAAGACCTGGCACAACTGTAGAAAAATTGGGCAAACTGAAGCCTTGCTTCAAATCCGATGGATCTGTCACACCAGGAAATGCTTCAGGTATATTCTATATTCGACTTTTTGTTTTATAATTTTCTGAAAGGCTAATATTTGCATCATATTATTATCATTTCATTATGCCTATTGTAGAATTGGCCATTTTTGTGCTTCTTGGTCATCTCCCAACTTGAGTATTTGAAAATTATTTATACAAAATAAAATTATGAACTTGTAGGCAAAATCGAATTTTATTTTGTCAGGTATCAATGATGGTGGTGCTGCTGTACTGTTGGTCAGTGGTTCATATCTAAAAGAAAGGAAAATGAAGCCTTTGGCTAGAGTTTTGGGATTTGCTGAAGTAGGAGTCGATCCTATGTGTATGGGAACTGGACCAATTGGTGCTGTGACCAATGTGGTGAGTTCACAACTAAATTATAGGATAGCACATATTTTCCATTTCATTACAAGATAGTGTTTCTTTGAGAACTCAGAAAATAACGGGCATTTGACACTAAAAAACGATTTTTCTGCATTTTCTATACTAGATATTTACATCCCATAAACATTTTGAACATTCATTTAGTCAAATAAACTTTGGAATTTATTATTATGAGCCAATGCCCTGTTGAAGTTGTTGAAAAATTGTACCTGATTCTTACAGATGTCTGAATGAGCCAAACTTCATTTGTGATTTTGAGACTCTAAAACCATTCAGAAAATTTTTGAGAAATAAGAAAATTCAAAGCCTTAGCGTGGAGATCAGGAATACAAAAAAAATCAGTTTACTAGACCACTACCAAGGAATTCCATCTTGAGAACAAAACAAAAAAGTATTTCACTCAAGCTAATGGCATTTGATAGATGGATAGATAGATTCAACTGTGAGACTTTCTAATTGTCATCTGCCATTAAATCTAATGCTGTGAGAGAGATCACACAGGTTGCCAAAGGATATCCTGGGGTTATCCTGTAAAATGCATTTCTGTAAAATTTCATCCAATTCGTTCCACTCATTTTTGAACAGGGTTAAAAAATGTGTTTTTTCTGTGACGGGAAAAAGTTTGGCATTTCATCTCTGTTGGCAGGTTATAAAATGTCACTTTTCATAAATTACTTTCTTCCCGTGGGAAAAAAGTGAGTACTTTTTTTCCGGATATATATCACATATATATACACTGTTGATGGCTTTTGTTGTGCTTTAGTTCCGAAAAATGAGTCAATAATACCGTCTCCGAGAAAGAAGTCCTTTTATCTTCCATTCGACTTCGCGGTTACGTATATTACTAAACAACCGCTAAATTCGCAATTTTTTGAAATCAAATCACAGAATTAGACTGACAGAAGTGACATCAGATATTAGATTACTTCAAATAAATGATAACGATGCCTACAACGCAGGTGTCCCTACTGTTAAAAACTTAAAATTTCACGTCGATAATTTTCAGATTTCAAAATAATGTAATATCTTCTCAATATTGATTTGTCCTTTCTTCTGTCACAAAAAAAAATAGTGTATTATACACGGGAAAAATATTAGATTTTAGCTCACGGTTTTTTGTCAATAACACATAATTCAATAAACACGAGCAAAAATGACATGGACAAGGGTTACACTTGCTCTTAACTCGGCTGCCTGCCGAACACTGTATGAGCCAGTCTTCACACACGTCTGTCATAGGCTCTGATCTAAGCACATTCCACTGAGCAGTAGCGCATCTAGTTGCTAGATGCTAACAATCTACTACTTTTTTCCCTTGTATAATAAATAACTATTTTCATGTAAACTTTGAACTCGTCTCACGTACAAACGGTACATTTTTCATATAGATAAATTGTGTCCAATCAACTTATTTAAACCTGTATTACACGTTGTAGCTCTGTATATCAGGATAAGAGGGACCTCAAGAGGGACCTCAAGAGGGACTCTTCCCTTCCTTGTCTAAATCAAATGAAAAAAGATCCAATAATAATAAAAACGACCATGATATGACCAATAGACAACCAAAAAACCAAACGCAAACGTATCACTAATAACCTCATTTTCCGTCTCAGTTGAAGAAGGTCGGCTGGACCAAAGAGGACGTCGACCTGTACGAGCTGAACGAGGCTTTCGCCGTCCAAGGCATCGTGGTCAACAAGACCCTCGGCATCGACGAGGCCAAGATAAACGTGACCGGCGGAGCGATAGCCCTGGGGCACCCGATCGGTTGCTCGGGCGCCCGGGTGCTGGTCACCCTCGTCCACAATCTGAGGCGGCTGGGGAAGAAAAGGGGCGTGGCAGCGTTGTGTATCGGGGGCGGTATGGGGATCGCTATGGCTGTGGAGATTTGCTGAATGGCACTTATTTTATTCTATATCTTATGGTGAATTGAATAAGTGTGAATAAATATTTGGAAGAACGGGTCGGTTCAGATGAAATTCATTAATATAGCTGTTTTTTTTATTAGCCTAGAGAAAATGATGACTTACTTTGCACTTCACTTGTTTCTTGACCCAAACCCAGTGTTTATAACGAATTTTGTTCGAATTGGTGGACTATATTCAATCAAATGACACTACTAATCTTGTATAATTGCTCATAGCTGCCTTCACTCTAGCTATCTGAGCCGATATTCCAATTTCACCTTCCCTGGACAAGTACCAGGAATCGGAGTTCCCTAATCAGCAAGGATTACATATACTAAGTGATCGGGTATCGTTATAATATTGAATCAACTATTGAGAGTGTCTTTCCAGCGGGTGTTCATGATCCATAACCCGCACATCCCACTTGGAAGGCATATGGCGTAAAAAACATCAGTACATTATTTTACGAGGCATACTCAAATATACAAAAATAACTAAACGAAGATGAAACACTGACTTTATGAAAAAATGATAGCCTTCATGAACATACTTTTTTGCTTGAGAACGGATGAACTTTTTGCATCCAACTTCGTCATATGGCTTCATCTTCAAATACGCCAATTTTTGACAAGAAATAATTCCTGACTGGGAGTTATTACTTACTTATTCTTATATACTTATTCCTCTAATATCTTCTGTACCTCTGATAAAATTTTAATTGTTTCTAATGTACTAAATTTCCTGTTCAATTTTGTTGTGGAAATACGCAACCTAAACTATGCTCCTAACAACCGTGTTCAAAGTATTCAACCTTGAATACAATCTTGCATAGTCATTTTTAATCATCTGCAATGGGAGCGATAGCCCTGGGGTACCCGATCGGTGCTGGTCACCCTTGTCCACAATCTGGGGCGGCTGGGGAAGAAAAGGGGCGTGGCAGCGTTGTGCATCGGGGGCGGTATGGGAATCGCTATGGCTGTGGAGATTTGCTGAATGACTTCTTTTTATTGTATAACCATTATAGGATGCTTACAGTTTCTTTTCTTCTTATGGTGAATTGAAGTGTGAATAAATATTTGGAATAACGGGTCGGTTCAGATGAAATTCATAAATATAGCCGTTTTTTTTTCAGTAACCTAGGGAAAATGATGACTTACTTTGCACTCCACTTGTTTCTTGTCCCAAACCCAGCGTTTATAACGAATTTTGTTCGAATTGGTGGACTGTATTCAATCAAATGACACCACTAATCTGGTATAATTTAATAGCTACCTTTACTTCAGCTATCGGCGCCGATATTCCAATGTCACCTTCCCTGGACAAGTTCCAGTAATCGGAGTTCCCTAATCAGCAAGGGAGGGTTGTGGAGCAATATTACACATACTAAGTGATCGAGAAGCGTTATAATATTGAATCAACTATTGAGTGCCAAGACACAAAAGTAAAGCGTCACTATATATTTCTCTATTAACAACTCTGAGATGTTAACCTGTTCAAACTATGGTTGGATTCTGTCTCTCCAGCGGGTGTTTATGATCCATAACCCGCACATCTAACTTGGAAGGCATATGGCGTAAAAAACATCAGTACCCTAGAATAAGGAAACTTGGAACTGCGGGGTAAATTGGAACAAAACTTGCATAGTTGTTCAGTATGGTTATAATACTACTCGATCAAAAATAAGTGGCGTTTAAATATTGTTTCAGGAATGTTGTTTATCATATTGACAGAAAAAATTATCATTACAAGCTTCAAGTCAAAAGACATGATCGATTCAATATACGGCGTTCATTCTATGTAATTTATGTTTAGTAACCATTTCACTAGTGAAAGGCAGCGATATCACGGCCCAAGTTTGAACAGTGTTGCCATTTTTTTATTACGAAAGTCAAGAGTTGTAAAAAACCGCCGACAACTTGGAACAGGCGCGAATGATTGTACTTACTGGTTGGACAATAGGTACATGATATGACCTTCCCTCCATCCACCACCCCCACAACTACCCCCTAAACTCCCCAGTAACATCACCAAAGAGTTCATTTTTGAAATTTTTTTGCTAAATGAGATTTTACTGGCTCCATTTGCTGTTAAGAATTATATTCAAAAGATTTTTTGTGTTTTTAATCAAATGCATTCATAACAATGTTAGGTATAATTTCATACAAGTTTTCATTTCATTGATTTAGAACATTAATTATGCTTTTGGTAATATACCTGAAATAATATTTGTGGATTTGGTCCCAACTACAATATCTATATCACAGTGAAACTTGACAAACCATTTTACAAATACAAAATTATCAAAAATAATCAATATTGAACCTAAGACTCATTTATGGTTCTTTCTTGAATTTTTACTGGTAAACCTCTTGCAACACAAGCTGCTTTTGTCATATTGTAGGACAAACCTTTCCTGGCCAAAGCAAGTGCTCTAGGTAGCTCTGGTTCCCAATGGTTTTCTCCTTCTGTACAATTTCTAGAAAATGTTACTGAAAAAAAAAATTAAATCAAAAACATCATCATCATTCAAAAACAGGCAAACTCACTTTTCTCTGCTGCCTTTTTCCATTTAGTTTTATCAACATATTTCCAATGTACGGAGGCTTTAGACGGAATCCAGTAACTGAGAAAATCGGTCGTAAGCGTATCTGTGTCTGTATCTGTCACTTCCCATAACATTCCAACTACACAAGGACTAAAATAGTATTTTATGCAACGGTCATGTAATGATAGCTATCAATATACGAGCGCGAGTTACAAAATGGCCTCCTGTACTTTTGAAGCCATTTGAAGCGATGTGATTGAATGTCATTTGAAATTGAATGTCAAACAACTCAAGCAAGTGAGATAGAAACAGACCCGCTTGATTATACTCAAGTACATGTTTCCAGAGGCCAAAAATCCGTATCATAATGAAGAGTACATATTTCATTTTCCAAAATGTGTATCATAATGAAAATCCGTATTAAAATGAACAATATTAAGAAATTGGTAGCAGCTATTGAATTCCAGTATTTTAAAATGGGAGTAGAAAAAGAAATGTCAATACCAGAAGAAAGATTCATAACTCCTTCTCCATTTGGTCACATTTCATAACTTTTCGTACTAAGAAAAGTCAATACATGGATTCTTTAATGAACCAAGAGACCATCTCGAACTTACCAACGGGCAGTGAGATACATATGGTAATTCCCAAACATCTCAACTTGTGGATCCAATCTGGCAATTTTCGTACTACTGCAACCAAAAAGTAAGACGACCGCTTTAACATGTGTTTTTTGAAGTTTATCTTTAGACATCATGTGACTACCGCCGCCGTGACCATTGTACCTTCAAAACCAAAATAATATAGTGAAATAATAACAATATTTAGACACGTTGACTGCCACAGTATATGAAAAATTTTGCGAATCTATTCAAAATTTGTATCTGCGGGTTTTCGGGATCAGAGATTATGATTCTATCGTAAAAATTTTAAAATACAAGATGGCGGATCCAATAAGCCGTAAGTTTTGTGATCATAATCTGATTCTATTCAAAATTGGTATCTGGGGGTTTTCGAGGTCGGAGATAATGATTATCTCGTCGAAATTGGTCAACTCAAGATGGCGGATCCAATATGGCGGACGAGTTTTGTAATTATGATCCGAATCTATTCAAAATTTGTATCTGGGGGTTTTTGGGATCGGAGATTATGATTCTTTCGTCAAAATTTGAAAATTCAAGATGGCGGATTCAATATGGCAAACGAGTTTTGTAATTAATATGCGATTCTACTCAAAATTTGTACTTGGGGGTTTTTGGGGTAGGAGATTGTGATTATTTCGTCGAAATTGGAAAATTCAAGATGGCGGATCCAATATGCGTGAACGACTTTTGTAATTATATGATCTGATTCTATTCAAAGTTGGTATCTGAGGGCATGGGTTAACGAGGTCAGAGATAATGATTTTTTCGTCAAAATTGTGTACTTACAAAAAATATAGAACCACTAAAAACGCGCTTTTGTAGTTTGTATTGTTGCAATTTAGTGTGTCATTTCCTCACAAGTAAACCAAGGTGAGAGGGAGTTACACCTTTTGGGTATTCTCTGGTTATTTTCATGTTATTTTATGGATTGCACAAAAGAGAATCCCTATGTTTATCAGCTCATAAAAACCACCCATTCCAATAAATTCTTGTTGATCATTTTCACTTTCTCAAGATCTAGTTGGTCTTAAAATGAGCTTATAGAAAAAGAATGGTGGTTTTCATGAATTCCACTTAGAATTTCATGACAAAAAAATTAGTGATATCAATATACAGGACATGAATATTGATAGATTTTTTTTTTCAACTTACGAGAAAATATCTGAAGATGTAATTAATTCAAAGAATTCATCTTTTGTGGGTTGATACCCAGCAGTACCAGTCCAGTTGGGAGTCCAGTAATTGAAAAAAGTCATCATCCTTGTTTCCATGGACTTCAAATCCATACCAGGGTTGACAATATAGGATCCTTTGTCATAATCATTAATAATTTTGTGGCCATTCACTATTTCTCCTTCATGTTCTTTAAAAAGACAGTATACAAAATGAAGAGAAGGTAATCTTGTGATGCATTCATCTTGAAGGACATCCATCATTTCCCATGGAAAACAATCAAGACTCTGGAAAATTGCAATTAAAAAAATCTGATATTTAGATAACAGAACTTAATTTGGCTAACTTCCTGTAACACCAATATGAGAGGATGCTTTTTTATATTGACATTCTTGCTTAGGAGATCATTTCCCAAATTTCTGATGAAATGGACAATATCCTTGATCACATTTTTATCATCAACTTCTGGGAAGCAGAACTGCACTACTTTCTTCACTTCTGCTAGTTTCAAATGCATACAGCTCTTAACCAGACAGCACAATATAACTTCCACTTTTTTTGTCAATTTAATAATACTCCCCCTAAAATTGAAAAATATTCTTTATTATCAAGTAGGTGTTTATATTTTTGTAGATAATGCTATCATTAGATATATGCTTACTGGGTTTCTAAGTATGTTTTTATTTGACCACAAATGTTGTTCTCCAAAGTAGCATCAACATATTTGCCAGAGAGCAGACATCTCCATTCTTTGAGCCACATGTCTTGCATGACTCTGACAATAGACTAAAAAATTAAGTTACAAGACTTTGTGAATATCTCAGCACATTTTCATTGTGTGAAGGAGACAAAATATAGTATAACATTAGGACAAGAAATGAAGATATTCATTTAGGTATTTATTTATTAAATACAGTGAAGTTATATCCTTGTCATTCTACATGAAAACCTAGTTATTTAGTTAGTAGGCTAGAGTTATGTTAATAGGTAAGAGACTTGTGTGTGAGGATAAAATATGTATAATGTGAATATAATTCTTCACAAAATGCACTATACCCATATGCACTTGATGCATTAGTGACAATTAATAGGATCAGTATCAAGAAAATACAGCATAATACTTTCATTACACAAATTGTGGATGGAACATCTTCAGAAGAAATATATTAGATGGAAACAATTCCCATAAGGTGGATAAAAAAATGCAACCTACTTACTGTTAGCCTGTTTTCTATGAGTTGCCTTCTATCCATATAGTTATATTTTTCTTTGTGAGACTTGAATGTTCCTCTCTTGGTACTTGTAAGTAAATCTATGTTTTCCTTCATTAGTGAAATTACTTCCTGAGCTAGTTCTATATGATTACCTGTAATAGAAAACACAATGGATACCAAGTCTAAAATTGATAGGCATGCAATACCTACTATTTACTGGATCTCTAGGAGCATTTACTGTCACAAGAAATGGTTCTACATCACTTTGCCCACATGAGAATACTGAAATATGGATTGGGCTTGTGTAGTACAAATTATTATTTTCATTGTTCATTTCTTTTGGATTATACTGGGGTGTTAGTTGAACCAGAGTCCACTCTGAAATGAATTGAGGCAGATTTAGGGTGAGTACTCAAGTACATGTCCTGAAATTTGTTGAAATGAAGTGAAAGTGGAAATCTAATTCTTTACCAGGTGGCATTTCTGCTATTTGAGCTAACATTGCTTTGACCCCACTTTCCTTAGAGTATGTTGAACACTTGAAAGCTAAACAGTCACGACTTATTTTTAACCTAGAGATGTCTTGAGATTCTTTCAGCTCACTTGCTAGAAGTTTATCATAGCGCAATACTGTTTTATTCCTCAGACCTGGAGAATGAGTTTCACATAAATGATAAATTGTCTTGAGTTCGTCATGTTCCTTGTTTATAAATGCTTCACAGCTATTGATTCCTACAAAAAAAATCAATTAAAGTATTATGTCCAGTGATTGCATAGAATATTATTTACGCTGATATAAAGGTCCACTAGGGTAATGAAGGTCTTGATATTGTTCAAGAACTTCAACAATTCCTACTGAATTCACAGCTGACGCCATTTTAGTAGTCTACTTCCTTTTGAATTCTTTTTGACAAAAATTGCGAATAATGCAAGGAGTTCATTGATAAATCACATAAATAATACCGAAATAATACAAAGTTAAATAAGTTGAATTCAAATCATTCAAAATTCAAATATTCACAGATCACCCGTCAAACATACATAACCTTACTTCTTGTTCTTCTTCTTCTTCTTGAACGAATTCAATTTGACCTGATATAGAGCATCTAGAGCTGATCTAGAGACAGGGCGCAACAGATAATTCGGGACTAACTGACGTAGGGACAGATCCTCGTCTCCTCTCACTCTGAAGTGTTTGTGAAACACATGTTCCATCCTCATTTAATTCTTTTCTGACTTTTGTTGTTTTTAGGTTATATTGAGGACATTGGCGTATCATACGTAATTTCCACATGGAATTCCTGATTGAACTCTACATATTATTATATTCAAATGATGATCAATAATATTTGAGCTTTTGATATCTTTCAACTCCAACATAATCTTTGTGAGGCATTGAGCATATTCTCTTTGAAATTTTAATATCTTTCACAAAGTGCTCTGTACCTATAAATTGAGATGTTTATATAAATTAATGAATTTTGACTTCAGTCTGAGCCTTGAGGTTGAGCAATGGAAAAAACTTTGATGCAGGTATGTGCTTATATGTCTTGTATGCTGTTTATTTGTACTGTGGTTGGGTATCATTTTTGCAGTTTTTAATATTTTCTGAATGAATGGCATTTTAGGTACGCGGGATACGCGGGACATATGTAAAAGTGGGTTTATTTCACTCGGAATTCTAAAAATCTGCGGCAATTTCAAAATTGACAGATGTTATAATTGTACAAGCCGTCTATTAAAAGATTGCCGAAAAAATTGTTCTCGAGACTCTCGAGAGGCCATCACCGAGAATAATTTCTGTATCAAAAGCACACCAGTACCTAATGAGTACACATATATCTACTTATTTCCATCATTGTCCGAACTCTTTTATCTAGAATTGAAGTTACGGAGATGAAGATAAGCTGAGAAATCGTACCCTCTCGAATCAGAGGATTCGACGGGTCTGAGCGTTTTTTCGACTTTTTATTTTGAAGCCCTAAATTCGGGGTGTTGAGTTTCCGTTGGACTTTGGACCACCCTGTATATACGACGGTGTGTTGGTGCCACATGGAAAAAATAAATCTCGAAATTTGGAGAATATATAATTTAAAAATAGTTTTGAGTCTAATCGATATTTTGATAAAAGGAAAAGCATCACTTTCCGCACTTGTTAGGTAAACTATACTATTTTCTACTAATTTGCGGCACTCATTTTACTGTTGAAAGAGTCACTTTTCCGAACTAGTGCGGCATTATCATCTAATATGTGGCATCATAATGTGAATCAGCGTTGTGAATCATAAAATGAACAACAAACATCCCTGGGATGTTTTGAAAATGTTGCCATGAAGATGTTATTTTGAGACGTAATATGCACTGACCTAAGAGGTATTTGAAGGATATTGAAGTATTGTTTTTGTTCTTCTGTGGCATTTCTTTGTTTGCCTACTGAGAGGTATCCCTGGGATGTTTTGGGATGTTTTAGAAATGTAGGCATGAGGATGTTTTTTTGGCAATTGGCATTCGCGTTTGCAGCGTGTCACGCTTATACATCACGCTGCTAACGAACAGAAAGGAATTTGGTGAAGTTTATTGTGTTAGAAGACTTATTTAGTTTGTAATAATGACCATCAGATGCAAGACGTGTTGTTCGGTGCCTCAGTGTAATCAATATATAAAAGTACGAATTCATCAATACACAGCTTCTCCGCAGTTGCAAAATTATGCATTGTGGAGAACATTTCAAAAATTGGGAAACCTATATTTCCAATTATATGTCTGTGTGTAGTAAGCACTACTCAGAAACCGATTAAGAAGGTAGTTTCATATCAAGAAAATATTTTTATGTTCAATCTATTTTTAATGCATTTTTTCATTCAAGGGAAATGGAATCCTAATGCAAAAGTTCATTTTGACAAAAGGCTCCAGAAAAGTACCTCGAAAATGGTGTTTTTACAGCGATTTAATGTGCGCAAGACGCGTTGAAAATGTTGTGTTGTGTCCATGAAAAGGCTTTGAAAAGAACTAGGGAGAAGGTAGTTTTGTGTGACATATCAAGGACATCTCGATAATTGCCGCCTGCGGCGGACATTGGCTGTTCTATAATAGTTCTATTCATGTGTGAACAGAACATCGCAGTGGAGGTTCAATGTCTCGAAATCTCGTACTTTTAACATCTCTGAGATGTTTTTGTGCTCGCTGGGATAACAGTCATTGTGATTCCAGTGGGGCTACTTACATTTCGAGTCACGGATCTGATATGTGTGGCATGAATGTGATTTCCTCTTATATCGTAAGATCAATCTGTGTTAACTGGGACGTGCGGAAAAGTATCACTTCCTGCACTTGTTAGTACAGTAGTGTTGTTGTTGTGCCACAATTCGATTTCGGCTTTCAATTTTATTTTCAAATTTTGCATAAAATCTGTACCTAATCTGTATACTGACTGAGAAAGTCAGATATAGGGATAGGGTATCGTAAGTCGAGGATAGATAGCCATAGAGGAGAGATGGCCAACGCTCATATTTTCCAAACTGAACACTGGATGTCGCTGCGATGCAGTCACAGTGTGTAGTGCATGGCGCAGGTGTTGTTTATCGACTTTAGTGCCAGTAAAGTAGTAAATTATCATCAAAGTAAGTATTTCACCATATTTATTTCAATGCATATTGAAATATTTTATGTGCCGTAACTCTCATAGTTGCGCGGCGTATAAATCATTCATAAAACTGAGATTTTCGTGCATGTTATATGTGTATATACTATTTAGATTATTCTTACCTTACTTTTGCTAGAGTTCAGTTCAAATTCAGTTCAAATATCGTGATAGCCAAAACTGTCATGGCTATCTCTCCTTTGAAAAAAGGATAGATGGCCAGGGTTTTCTCGAGGTGAGTTCGCCATATGGCCATCTCTCCTGATAATGTGCAATTGATTTCAATTTGTTTATTCTTTCAGATGCCAAATAACTATATCCGGAAGAGTACTTCCACGTGAGGAAATTGGTCAGAAACAGACCTCAAAGATGCTATATGAGAGCCGTGAGAGATAGAAAGATGTCAGTATAAGAGCCACACTCACTTATCAGATACCCCGACTATCCAATTTATGTTTGAAGTCCTAGGATTTACTTTGATTTTTCATGTTATTTCAACATTTTTTAAGGTAATCACTATCAGTTCAGAGAATAATTTGTTCTGTTTTGGGTTCTAATCGAAACTGTCGACTTACTTATATTTTATTATGATCTACCAGTGAGTAAAAATGAGTAACTGATGATTTTCGAATATGTTTATATAAAGAATTGAAATTTGCTGATTTTTTATTGAAATCCTTCACATCTTTTCCTTCGTAAAATATATGGCTATCTATCCTAAATCATATGGCTATCTCTCCTAGGTACTGTAGGATAGATGGCCAGCTGGTCATATTTTTTCAAGCCATCATATTTTTCTATCAAGTATATTTTTCGTGTGGATTCCACTATAGACGCCTTCTGCATTGTGCATATGTACTGTAGAGACTGAAAGTTCGATGAGAATAAGGAACTATTTCCTGTTCATGGGCTGAAAGTAAAACTATGGCAATCTATCCTCGACTTACCCTATATTCAGATAGTGAAAAAGAGGTTTGTTATTCGATAATAATCTTCGATGTTTCCTGTTTGGATATTCAAACGATGTATTTGTCTCCCTACCAAACGAGGTTTATATAGATACATTTTATATTGAGTTTCTTATGCAAAAATTATTATTTTCGAAGATATTTGAAAAATCTATTTCTGCTGTGACCTGTTCATCAATCAATGTTTTTACTAGGTACGTTGCAAACCATACCAGTTTGCTTTATATCTATATTAATACCCTGCGAAATTTTTCTCGAATTTACTGTGTAGAAAAAAGATTGTGACACCAAATTATGTAGTATATAATAGTAGTTTTTTTATGAATTATCTTATCATAGGGGGTATTTACCCCCAGTACTCACCCCATCAAAATCCGCCGTTGGTCAGGGACTGACTATACCAATGATCTAATTATTAGAACAACTAAAACAAGTCATAGAATTTGAGAAGATGAATAACTGCCAAGACATATACTAATAAATCATATTTTTATTGGAAGTAAACTATCAAGAAATCTTGTAATACCTACTTTAGAATTACTTATAAGACAACATGAAAATCAGCAAAAGACCGTTATTGAAACGACGTTTAAATGCATCACATTTTTGTTCCGAAGAAAAAACTTCACTACAGTTACAGAAACTGCTGAAAATTTAATTGTATCAATAGCCACAACAGGTGAATAACATGGATACAAATGGATATGCACTTGAAATGCATCCAAAGAAGTTTGAAGAGTTCCACACGGGATGCTGTGCATTTGGCATTGAATATTGTGAACCCCAAAGAAAGTCAAATTCGTAGATCTTGACTAAGAATACCAAGAAAATGTTGGGATTTCGTTCTCAGAATTTCGAGATTTTTTCATCGAAATTTCGACATTATATCGTCAAACAATAAGCTAATAAGTAATTACCTCCTTTAATAATATGTAAATTGACATTTAGGAACACCCTGTATATGTATACCCACCTGCTACTATTTATTTTCGGATTATTATCGGTCTCTCTAACTAGAATCGTGTTCGTAGGTGACGGAATCCTTATAGAGTCCATAAAATATGTGAATATGTGAAGCTTTACCTATTCCTAACATATTCATGGCTTCATAGATTTTCAGCTTATTTACTACTACCCTATTACAATGAAACAGCGATGGAATTAGGTTAAAAAACTCTTATTTTTCACATCGAAACTCAATCCAGCTAGACGAACGTTTTTCTCTGACTCAACGAAAACGCCACACCAAATTTAGTTTACAGTGTAGGCAAGTGCGCGTTTTGTAACAAGAAAAATACGAATTTTTGATTGTGCGATCATATAATTTTGTCTTATGAGTTATGGATTTGAATATAAATGAAAATTCAAATACTCCTGACCATATCGGTGAAACTATAGACGAGTTCTCGAATGATACTAACTATACTATGAATGGACTTTTGATCAATTTCACAAATATATCGAGTGAGACCAAAGATGGCTATGGTGAGTTTTTAAAGAAACCTATTATGAATTTTCCTAGAATCCCATCTAATTCATTGAATTATTTACATTTTTTGCGCTTTAGTCTCAACATATGTATAGTTGACCGCCAGGTGTATTTGTCACAAAAACACTGAGTCAAAAATGATTCTGAGAAATGGAAATACCACTCAGCAGATTTCGCTTTTAACATGAGAAATTATTTTCACTAAAATTCAAGGGTAACCAAGACCCTATAGTGGCCAACTTTGATCAAACACCACCACTGACTAATTTTCGATTGTTCATTTTCTAATTTCGACAGAAATATTCAAAAACGTAGGTAGGTAATGAACAAATAGACAGGAAACCAACATGAAATACAACACTCACTTTCACAACTCAATCCAGTTCTGTATATCACTATAACACCCATTTTGTGTATTTATATTGTGTGAATTTATATTGTGAATATATTGATTGAGAACCTGAGGATATACCTACTAGGAAGTAGGTACCCGACATTGTGAGTTGAGAATAAGTATATGAAAATTTTAATATGGACGAAATTGAATTATCTCAAATTCAATTATGCACCCCTTGAATGATATTTAATAGAATTAAGGACTGTAACTTCTTATAATTGAATTATTATTGGTTGCATTTGATTGTTCTACCATCTTCAATATATAACGGGTGGAGTAAATAAGTGGCCTACGTATATGGCTGTCTCTAGAAAATTTTCTTGTTCTTCTCATTGATAGATATCAATTATCAGCAAAAATGTTCAGAATTTTCGTCAGATTTCAGGAGAATAAATAATAGTTTTTATAATGAACGAAGTTTCAAGTACTTTCAGACACAATTCATGAGTGGAAAATATCCACTTAGTAATTGTTAAAAATAAAGGTTCTGAATTTATTCAACTTTTTTTCGGAATGTTTAAAAATAAAAAGTTTCAATTATAAGATATCTTTGAATTCAGATTTATAATTCGATGAATAAGTTCGAGTTTGACATATGATCATGAATGAACTTGACTGAACAAAAATGCCCTGTCGAAAAATTCTTATATAAGTAAAGTTGGAATTTTCATTCATTCTCTTATAAGATTTTGCAGATTCACTGCAAAACTATGCCTCCAATGAAGATGAAAACGGTTCATCTAGTACATCCTGCTCGAAAAGGAAACAAAGAAGATACAGGTAGATATATTTTTGTGGATATGTATTATGTTTTGAACATATTGATTGTTTTCATTTACTCACATAAAGCCTTTGAAATAGTCATTTGACAATTCTGTCTTATGTCAATCCTATTATATAGTATAACCTATAACTGCCTATAATATACTGAGTTTCCGATTCAAAGAACTGCCAATTTAATTTCTCAATGCAGACCAACCTGTATATTTTTCAGTTATTTCAAAGATTTTCTGGACGTTTTTTAGTCTGGAATTTTTATTTACCTTACATTTGCGAAAAGTAGTACTTTATTTACCCCGTCAAGGGAGGAAAAATATTTTCCGCAAGAGTTAGGTATAATGTTTTTACTACGAATTTTTTTGTCCATATTATTCATGGAAAAGAAAGGGTTTTCAATAAACAAGATTATATAATAATGCTACAAAATGACACATAAGACAGAATAATTACATAGATCATTTAGTTAGTCCAAAATATCCTCATTTTCAACCTTCTTAGCACTATTGCTGTAAGTATAGTAACTTTTCCACACGATTTTATCGATTTATCTTGCGGAAAAGTGAAATAGAACGGAAAAAAACAACTTTCAAAACGAAAAATCGTGCGGAAAACTTTTTCGCACGCTCGTAGGAAAAGTAGCTATACCCTACAACAACATAGCACCATGTTCCTTGAAAGGCCTGAACTTTTCTGTTTGCTTTCTCTAGACTTGAGTAATAGTACATATACACCTAGGGACTAAAGTGCATGGTATTTTAAATCCCGAGACGAAAAGTTGTGGAGGGATTCAAAAACACTTCAGGACTTCAGTCCTGTGGTGTATATAGTATTTTTTTCACCACTAGCTATGAAATCTACCATTATTTACTCCTTTCCGAGCCGTAAAAGGTGTTTTTACGACCAAGGTAGTTTTCGATCAATAACGACTTGTCATATGCTGTCCTGATCACGATCACTAGATTTTAATTAGAATTGAAGAGAAGTACTTTCATAGACTCATGGTAAATATTTACTAGCGTTCTGAGCGTTAATCGGACCAATCATAGCGTAAAAATAGATTAATATTCCAGTTTTACAGAACTGAAATGATTGAAATGTACTGCTAGTGGTGAAAAAAATGTTATACACACCTTGTAGTGAAGATTATCATTACCACAGTACCTTATACCCCTCGGCTGAAGCCTCAGGTCCTGGGTGCCTGGCTGATACTGAAATTATTTACTACCTTGGTGTATGAATAACTATTACTAACTAAATGCCACTAAGCGGTAGGTCCTCTATTTTTAAAACGTCATCGAAGGGGCTGATTGTTACCATGTCAACGACCTCAGTAACTATAATATGATGATCCAGATTGCAGGGAAAAAGTGGCACTTCAAATCCCTAGGAATTTAAAGTACCACTTTTTTATCCGAAGATATGGATTTTAAGTACACCCATCAAATCCCTGGAATGCATAAAGTACTATTGATTGCATCACTGATTCCAGAACGACATTTTCTAACATTCAGCTAGAAGAACTTGAGAGAGCATTTCACAAAACTCACTACCCAGACGTATTTTTCCGAGAAGAACTAGCCCTAAGGATAGACTTGACTGAAGCAAGGGTGCAAGTTTGGTTTCAAAATAGACGAGCAAAATGGCGGAAACAGGAGAAATCTTTGAACAAAAATCCTCATCAGCAGATCAATAATCTCATACCAACTAGTATGCCATCAGGTATCTTGAATATGAAGCTATTTCCGCGAAGTATACTCTTAATCGTAATAATTTTCAGGTTCTTCTGCACCTTTGGAGAGCCCCCTTCTGAATTTCACTACCTTAGACCATAATAATTCTTCGAATATGTACCTGAATTTGGAATGGCCATTCTCTTTTCCGAATAATGTTTCTCTGACTGAAAACCCACATATCAACCAAGCATCTTCATCAACTGTTCAGAGTTGCAGCATGGATAACAATCTTCAAGAAACTTTATTAATAGCAGGTGAATATTTATTTTGAACAATTCTCAAATTTCGCATTCACCTCCAATGTACACGTGAATTAAAAAACTATTTTCCAGATAGAATATCACATTCAATGCAGACTAGCATGATTGAGGACAGTATTCTTCTTGGCGATGATTTAGAAAATAGAATTATGGAAAGTTCTGGAAATTTGACTCTGATGTCATCTCCTGATGCAGATATTTCAATTGATCCAGATCTCCTGACACTGAAGCCTCATAAAAATAGATTGGACAATCCAGAGCATTAACGGACATTTCAAAATAATCAAAAAAATCTGTAATATTGCTCTTAAATGTATTGTATATATGTCGATTTTATATATTTGAAGACACTTAACGAATCTTTCACTGATAATCATGATATTAGTATAGGTACTTATGATAGGTATTGTACATAATTTACATAGTGATGAAAAGATGTCAAATAGTTTCGAGAAGGTTTATTGAAATTGAATATCTAAGTCTGTAACAATAAAGCAACACCAGCTAATGTCCATTTGGCTGGTTTATCTTTGGTTTTTAGATTGAACGTCCAAATATAAGTAGGACCTCTGGTCCTTGTCTTGTACACAGGACATTCGTACATGTTCCTCAAGTCCTGTTTGTCCTGGGTGATAGCTCTCACATTGATGACAGGCATAGCAGGAAACAACTCTTTCAGTCGGGAATCCATTATTATACCTGTTTGTATGTCCCACCTTGCACCTTCCATGTGTAGACCATGGATGTAGGCTCCATCCCTGGGAGCGCTCCTAATTCAAAAAAGTCATTTTGGAGCTCTTCAGAATATAGTTAGGATATACTTACGTGAATTCCTCTTTCTGTTTCTTAGTAACATCACATTGTAAGCACATTTTGTCTAGAGGTAATTCATTTCTTCTGGCAGTACTTTGCATTATAGCCGTCAGTAATGATTGAGGATTGAAAAATCCACCCAACCAAACTGAAGCAGGGAGCTGTCAAAAATATCAATGAAAGGAGGTGATGCACAATATTTATCGAAACACCTACCACAAAGTCTGTGGACCATGTTTCAAGTTCCCTGATCCGCAATAACAGATCCATGAACCATGCTGTTAGACCCAGTAAGGAAGGGTATGCTCTCAGAGTCCAAACTGGTGGCACTTGATCAAGAAACAAAGCATTTTCTAAATCCTCCATGTCAGATGTTATAGTGAGTTCTCCCTTGATCCCTAGCTCTAGCTCTTTGAGAGATCTTTTAACTTCCCCCGTCAGATAATTCATTCTCTCACATTCTTGGAAAGCCACAATGACATACGGCGTTCTTTCTTCCACTTTTCCCATTATTTCAACCATGTTGAAATCCTCTGGTAGCTTCTCCATCATCTCATCTACCATTTGCTTCACCTAAAATATCGAACTCATCAGACATTTTCTTGGACCAGCTTGATCACTCACTTTATCTTCTCTCGAAATTGTTGCACCACCGGATGATCCACCATCCCTTGGTTGCATTTCGAAAACTGTGCGGAATAGATTATCAGCTGTCGTAGTCAGAAAACCTATTTCAGCATTTGGGTGGAGTCCGTATAAGTTCGGTGATTCAGCTGGCATCATGTCATCTATATATGTGTGATAGCCAACGTAATCAGTATTAGGTGGTGCAGCAAAACCAGGAGCTAGCATCAGTTCACCATCTACCTGAAATAATTACCAGATCGTATAGTGACATATAGGTTACCATAACATGTGCTCAAGAGAAGATATAGGTACTCTCTCCGTATATTGAGAGTGAACAATACATATTTCCCATCTCTAGTGTGAGTACACTTACTAAATCGGGTTGTAATAATTCTTCTAGATAAGTAATGCACAATCTCCTGTCCCAGTCATCAGTGATGTGTCCTCCATACATGATTTCACCAAACAAGTATCTCAGATCTTCCCAAGGAACCTTGGAGTTCGCCTCAAGGTAGTTGAAAAGCACAAACACGCTTATAGTGAGGTCTCCGACGTTGAAGAGGTAGATCTTGTTCCACCCTTGCGGTCCAAACTTTCTGCGTTCCGCTACCACTGCGTGGAAATAGCATAGGGAAAATAGAATCACCTTGAATTCGGCCTCCTTGCCGCACTGCTCTAGGGTTTCTTGATTGAAATTTGAGAATGCTTTGTGAAGGTTAGCTTGCATACCAGTAGGCGGTTCGTTTGTTATTTTTATCGATGATTCCAAGATTCCCTGCAAATATATGTATAAAGAAGCAAACATTTTCATATTTGTTGGTAGTATGTATAGATGGGAATGACAATAAACCTGAGTTTAATGCCATTGCTTATTTGTTTCACTCTTGTGACTTGATAGTCTTATAATTTTTCAGATTCTGGAAACAGCTCCTCGGTGCCCTAGAACTAGTTCGAATTGTACTATACGCTCTGTAGATCCCGCTATTCCTAACCCCGCACAAGTTTCGACTTCCGGGGAGTTGGTTCCCAACTTCGAAGTAGCGATATACAAAAAAAAATTGACCGATACCACCACCAATTCAATTTTCTCAATGTTTACCGTATCCGTCTATAGTCTCATCTTTCATTTTTGGAATTGATAATTTTAATTTCTCCAACTTAAAGAACATTGAATAATGCCACCACCGACTCAATTCCCTTAGAGTTTACCGTATCCATTTGAAGCCTTCTAATAACCGTTTTTTTGCCAGTATTGATGACACGCAATTGTACGTATTTTTAAATTTAGTTCAAACCTGGGGTATGATATGAGCGCTTGCACTTGCTGCGGGTTCAGCACTCATGAATACTCTGTAGTCCGGGTGTGAGCCTTCAGCGTATTTCTCAAGATTCTTTTCGAGCAAAGGTAACCATTTTTTCACCAGGTGAATGTTTTGCAACACCACCCAGTGGCCATGATTTGCACCTGTTTCCATCGCTTTTTCTGCAACAACTTCTTGACCCTGACCTGAAACAAGCAACTTTATGATGTTCGCACTTCTCATGATACAAATGCATACCTCACCTAAACTGACATTATGAAAGTTTTGCTTCTCCATTGTGAAACCCATCTTCTCTCCAAGCGCTTCAACATCTTTCAACGGGTTAACGCCTGGTGACAAAATAAAGAATATTGGAGTAGTCGGGCTGGTTTCTTCGAAAGACTTCTCAAACTCCACCGTTTTGTTCTCCACGTATTTTGCTCCCAATTTTTCTTCTATAAACGCCATCATCGCATATATCATCCTGTCAGGTCTGAAAGCTCTCATCATGCATAGTCTTTGCAGAGCAGTTTTACTTTTCCATTCTTGTGGAAATTTTTCTCGTTCCGGACATTCGCATTCTATCAGTTTCTTCCATCGCTTCGGCGAATTTTCTATATCTCTGTCTAGGTTTCGGAATTCGTCCTTAGTTGATAAGCTGCAAATGCCTCCCCAGCTAGTATTCGATAAGAAATCAACTGGACTAGTAACATGTGGCTTTATTGGGAACCGTAAGAGGAAATCCAGATCAGCCGGGATTATTTCTTCGCTCATCAATAAGATCTACGATGTTATGATACGTCAAAACAAATAAGAATCGGATTATGAGGTGGTTCAACCTACCTGGAAAGTCATCTGGGAAGCGAAAATCAACTTGTCACATTCGAAAAGACCTCTGGTAGTGTATTGAAAGACTGAGAAAGAAATGCAGGATATCAAGTTATTCACCCGTTCAGCTACAGAGTCAGCTGGGTCTGCTTTAGCTATTGCTTTTTGGAAAACTACACTGAAAGCCTATAAATGAGCAATGGAAGTCAAATGATTCATCAAAATGTGTGAATTACCCATAGAACTCATAATCTACATATCTCACGACTAAAACTCGGTATCTGACATATACATTATTACACAATTTCTGAATAAAAATAAACATGTTGTGAAATTTCCTGATTTTCATTAAATTTGCTGTGAATTTCGTCTCAGAAACTTTATGAGATATGACAATTGAACATTAGACATATTATATAATATGGAATAATATGCAGTTCATATATCGACTGGTAGGTATTAACTAAATTTCATTTTGAAAACTCTTGTCATCTTCTGAATTTCAAAAAATTCGAATATCAATACTATTATCGCATTTTCGAGATATGCCATGGGTCCATTCAAAGTGACCATTCACCATGTATTTACACATTGCTACTGTACTACAGCTCACGAGGCTGTTTATTGCTCACTCGTTCTAGTGTTGTAGGTGATGCCTGATTTTGCCCGCCATATTGGATACGCCTTCTAGTCGAAAGATGAAAAGATTAAACAGTCTGTGAAATCACCTTGAGAGAAAACTGATAAATTGGATTGATCGTATTAAGTTCATTCAAAATAAAATAAAGTAAACTAGCTCTGGCTGCAGCAGGTCGATAGTATTCTCTAGCTTGATCAATTTGTTTAGAAGTAATTTTAGCCTCCGCTACTTTCTCCTCTATTTCAGCAGCTGTACGTTTGGTGGTTTCTAAGTTTTCAACTAAAGTTGTGTCCCCTAACAGGTTTCCACCAGCTGAGGACAATCTCGAGAGCAAGTCATCTTCCAGAGATTTCAGTATGATTTTGAAGTCGTTCTGTTGCTTCGTTAAATCAGCCTGTAAATCAAGAATATTATCTTCTGAGAGATTTGATTTTTCAAGAAATCACCTTCAATTCTTCAAGGTCTGGTCTTTCTGCCTTCACTACTTCAGCTAAAAGTTGATCCTCTAGTCCATCCCTGGTGACTGTGAAATTGATGAGGGTCGCCTGTGCTTGCATCTCAGGTTTGTAGTGAGGGTTTGCTAGCTTGGTGTGGAGAATGAGACGGAAATTTTGATTGTATTCAATTTCTTTGTCACCAATTTTGATCGCCCTGAATGTCATTAAGAAGGTAAACTAGACAAATTGAACTATCATTCTACTCACTTTCCTTTTTTTATCAAATTCCTACCCAGTAATGTATCCAAAACAGGATCAACATTTTCTTCAATATTCTCTAATAAAACGATTGATCCTTGGGTTATGCACTTTTCTATAACATCTAGGTAACTCTTTTGACCCAAACGTATTACTTTCAAATCATCGCCGTAACGTTGTTTGATCCACTTGATGCCTTGTAACTGAAAAAATAACAAGCAATAAAATGAATTGGAAATTTTAATTAGAAGATGAATAATACTTGTGGATCAATCATCAGAGGCCATCTTTCAGAAGTAGATAGAATCGTTGCATTCTCCGTTGACATACGATCACTTGGTAAACCTTCATTATGCCATTTAGCCACGATAGTATCATCAGTAAGAAGCGAAAGTGGATCCAGGTTTTCGGTGATCGGTACTTTTGGCTGAAACATGAAGATAATATAAGTAGATTATCATCATCAAATGATTGTGATTGACTCACATCTAAGTTATTAAGGAAAGGAAACCACATTTTATGCAGTAGATCTAGTCGGTATTGCTTCGTGAAACAACCTACGTAAGAAATAAATGCTGTTGTCAAGAGAACATCTCCTGGCATCATTTTCCCATTCTCCATGAATCTACGGATACACATATCGATATTAGAGGTCAACCTGAAAAGATGTGATCAATACACATGATACCTGTTCACTGCTTCAGCCCAACGAACATTTTCACTAGCAAGTCCACCTACAAGCCTATTTGCCAATTGAATTGTAGCGTTAGTAGCGTCAGCTTCTTGTTGGCATAGAAGTTTTTCAGTAGTGGCTTTCTCAAAGTCAGCTGTGAGCTTTGCCAATTGCTCTTCCAATGACTAAAATTCGTTAGGTACCAAGATCTACACATAATGAGAATCGTGAGATAACTTACCGCCACTTTCTTCTTTATAGAGTCAAGTTTCTCTTGTGCAGCTGCCAACTCAGCATTCGCGGCTGCTAATGCCTTTCTTTTTGGTTCCACATCACAAAACACTTCATAGAATTTAATAATATTAATTACCCAAGCACACAGGCCAGCAGCTGCTCCAGATTTAGATCGTACGAGCTCAGGTTCAAATTCTGCATCTTTCAGATACGGCTCTATAGCTTTGATCACTTCAGGATGTATGTTTTCTTTATCATAAGTTATCAGAGCATCAAGGAAAGAATCAACCTTAGCCATCACTATTTTTGCAGCTTTCCAACTCCTATCTTTGGGTATCTTTCCTCCAGGTGCGAGCAGTACCATAACTGCTGCTGTGACGTTCGTAACAGCACCTAGATGATAAGGAAAAAGTATATTTCATGCATGGATTTTATCTTGACCGATTTTCATACCTGGCGGAGATCCAAACGATTTCAGCTCTGTTAGATTAGCCTTATTCAATGTATTCAGCGCTTCTTGTGCGGCTTGTAGAGCAGGTTCTGCTTTTAGCAAGTCTTCTTCGCAATCTCTTTGCTTCTTGCTGACTTCGTCGGCTATAACAGCAACTTTTTCTTCCTCTTCATCGGCTAGGTTTTTCTCTATCGAAACCTTTTCCGTTTCTACTCCCACTATTTCTATCAGCCTATCTGCCGCATCGTTTTTCTCTTTCAATTCCACTTCCTGAATTGCTAATTTTTTCTTCAACTCTTCTACCTGAGTTGCAGTGCTTCTCAATTTCGCCAAACCGTTTTCTAATCTTTGAACTTTGCATTGTAGATCTTCGCATTGTCTGTAAAGTAGTTTGGAGTATAATGTAATCTGTTCTAAATAGGATTTTGGGGTTGTATAGTTGTATCGCCTCTCGTTTTGAAGGAACGTTTTTGAGATTGTGTTGACTGACGTATGAGCATAGGCCATAAACCGAGCCGAAGAGTCACGTAGCTCTTCCTACAATAAAACTAGTTTTTTTGGCAGCCTTCGGAAGATTTCGCATACTTACCGGTAAAACTTTGATTTCCTCCAAGAACCTCAAAGCCACCGATACTAGCGCTTCTTGCGGCCACTCGTGGAACCAGTTCACTTGAGTACAATTTATGATAGCAGGAAATTTCCTAGAGCGGATTCGAAGAGTAGATCCGACTGGAGAAAAGCACAAAACAATTTTGAGTTGCCTTCTGACACGGTCAATGAAAAACTTCCAACAATTTTCTCTTGTGTCCAACATTCCTGCTCCCTTCACTTCATTCCTCACTCCAGCTATTATGTTTTCAATTTCGTCATCGGGAAACATATCGGGTATTTCCCCCGATGCTAACATATCGTTGATGAGAACTAAGAATTGCTCATTTGGAACCTAAAATGATGATGTTAAATTAGAATACCATACGTATTCAGTTGTTATGTTACATATACCTGGGCATCAGTCATGAGAAACATTATTCCAACGTTCTTCAACCCACTTTTGAGATATAAAGTGGACATTTCTTTTCGTAAATCTTGAACACCATAGCCTTTCTTCAATTGGATTTGGGCTACTTCTAAAGAAGATATAAAGGCAGCTAATCTTGATAACGATTGCTTACCACTCCCTCCTACACCTACTAGAAGGGCACTACCACGTGGAGACTCCAAAATTCTATTTATTCTACAAATATTATCATCATTCAATATTTTAGAGTGCTTTGAACATCAGTTTATTTCACCTGCAAATGTGCATCATTGCATCTTCAAATAATACTAAGTTGATAGCTGCTACCAAATCATTATAGCTAGACATAGCTTCATTCACGAGTTTATTCAATGTAGTCCATTTTTTGATGGGCATATATTTTGGTTCACCGATACCGCCAGCGAAATGACAGTAAATATTTGGTTTTTCAAAGACGATTGATTCGTCTATTTCCTGCATCAGGAAGGAGAATTGATTTTTCATTGCATTTTCTCTCATTACTCACCTCGAAATTCTTTTTGAATGTATCCATCTGTAGTTTCGAGAAAGCGTCGATGTCTTTTTCCTCGGTTAGTTTATCACCGTAAACTCTTTGGCATTCGTGTAACCACAACCGTACCAGATCTGTTGGTTGCATCAAACAATCATTCGTACTGAAAAGAATACCCTGGAAGATTTGAAATCTGCATTATACTCCAAGATATTCAGTTTTTTGAACTCATATTACCTGAAAAACATTAGATATATCTCTCAAATTGAAGATGTAATGAAACTTCACTGCAGTCGGTAGAAAAATCTGTAGCGCTTTATGGTGCAGTGCTACTGTAGCTGCTACAACATTTTCTGATAATTTCACTATGAATGATGGAAATTTGTATTCTGGATTAGAAAGATGTTGACTCAGTATCGAATGATATATCGAAGTGAGTGCTTCAGTTCCAGGAAAGCTAATGGCGAAAACACAGAAGTGTCTTTGAAGTCTCGGGTTTATACTGAAACTGCCAGCTGTTGGATTCATGCAGGATATGTACTGGCAGTTATGAATTTCCTTGAGAGTCAAACGATTCCTATCATACCAGTGCCTATAGTCCAAATGCTGCCGAATCAACGTATGCGGCTGTACTGTTCCATAACCATCTACCTCTGGCATGTTCATATCATCAATAAAGTATATCAGAGTCTTATTGCCTGGCGGTCCATAGTTTCTTCCTGCTTTCTTTTCCAGAGGTTTTTCCAGTATTTTTTGCAACATCTCAGAGCTCGTGTAAAAGTTGAAGGGTACATTGGTAACTGCGTAGTTGTCAGACAAAGAAGCCAGTTTTTCACTGACCAACACCGTTTTTCCACATCCAGCATTACCTACCAGCATAACTGGATGACGTTTAACCATGAGCAGATCAAGGAAATATCTTATTCTGATGGATTCTGTGGTATGGACCAGAACAGCCTGCAGTGGTATATCTGGATCCAGTTCGAATCGGCCCAAAATGTCTGTCCACGGTGCGAACTGTTTGGTTTCGCTATCGATGAAATAATCGAAAATTGTCCCGCCTGGTGGAAATTTTACTGTTTTGAATTCATTCACCCACCACTTTGTGAATTCAACTCTATAATCTGTTGCCTGTAACATATCAATAATAACTTGAAAAGTTGAGCTGTTAGGTTTTTCTACCTGTTCCTGAAACATCGCTGAACCAAATGCCCAAACGCAACAAAACACGAAATATAATTCGTACCATTCTTTGGGGCAATCAACAGGTGTATTTTGCACTGTCAAAAGACATTCCAGTAAATGGCATAGCATCGCAAGATGAGAAGTTTCTGCAATTGGTGTTATTTTTTTAAAGCGAGTCCTAACATTCTCTAAACAAACTGGAATGTATTTGTCAAAGAGCATAATCAAATTAGATTTTTCCGTTTGATTCTCTCTCGTTTCAATCCAACTAGTCACATATCTGAAATAATACATTTTTATCCACCACTGTTATATGAAATATTCATGTACTTCCTCAATCAAAACGGTAGCCATTTTTCACTGGTCTAGAGTTCCTAGGGTACGCGATATAACATATAAGGAACTTTAGACCAGTGAATAATGAGTTATGATAAAACAGTTGTTAAAAATAAATTTATATATCAAAAACAATAGTAGTCGTGGACAAAGTATATTATTCTACTCGCATATAATGAGCTATTATCCACTCAAGTTGAGTATTAACTTAATTAACCTTCGTAAATAATTGCCCTCATTATATGCTTGTTGAATAATAAACTATTTAACTTTCCTTTGGGACATATATCATTTCGTCGACGGTAGAAATCTGCAGTTCGCTCTCGTACTATAATACTAGACTATTCGTCAAGCCCAATGTTTTCTATCGTTTCCAAGGAGATGGGTATCCAAGGCAACTGTGATTGTCAAGTTGATTAATCAATGTATTTTGGTTAATGTAAAGTGGTGAACGCAGAAACAATTTAGTGTTTTCAAAATGCCTCCAAAGAAAAAAGGTGGTGGTAAAGGAGGAACAGGCAATATCATAGATGGAGTAGATACGACTCAGATGACCAGAGAGCAATTGGAAGTATTTTGCCACCGTATAAAAGAAGAAAATGAAAGAGAACGTGAAGAAAGGAACTACTTCCAAATTGAGAGAGACAAAATAAGGACTTTCTGGGAGATAACAAGGAATGAGTTAGAGGAGGCAAGAGCAAAACTGAGAAATAAGGATAGGCAAATTGAAGAGTCGATAGAAAAAAATGAGGACGAGCTAAAGTTTTACAAGCAAAAGGTGAAGCATTTGCAATACGAACACCAGAACAACCTAACCGAGTGTAAGGCAGAAGCTCTTGTATCTCTAAAACTGGCACAAGATGAACACTCTCAGCAAGAACGGGAACTCCTCAAGGATAAAAGAGACCTAAAAAGTTTGATGAAAGAGCAAGAACTGTCTCACCAAGAACAGACAAAAGCTCTCAAGCTACAACACAGCGAAGAACTAAGCAAGGCAAGAACTGAATTCGAGCATAAGGCCAAAGATCTAGAGCAAAAGTATGAAAAGAAATACATCGAGCTCAAGATTCAACTAAACGCTAAGCATGATATGGAGATATCGGAAGTAGAGGAAAGGAAAAATTTACACGTTTCGGAACTGACTAAGCACCACGAAAAAGTTTTCAGCGAGATGAAGAACTACTATAACGACATAACTTTGAATAATCTGGCCCTGATCAGTAGTTTGAAAGATCAGATGGAGGTACTTAGGAAGCAAAACGATAGGATGAACAAGCAGGTAGCAGATCTAACAGCAGAAAACAAAAAATTGATTACTCCGTTGAAACAAGCGCAAGAAGACGTTAAAGAATACAAGAGGCAGCTACAAAACTATGAAAAAGATAAAATATCGTTGGCAAATACCAAGGCTACCCTAGCACAAAAACTCAAAGAGCTAGAAGACCTAAGGTGGTCACATGATGCTCTAGAGCTCAGATTCGAAACACTTCAGCGAGAAAGAAATGAGTTGCACAACAGGTTCGTTAAAGCTATACTCGAAGTACAGCAGAAGACTGGAGTCAAGAACATGCTCTTGCAGAAACGTATACAGACCCTTGGACAAGTCGCAGAGCATCGAGAAATCATTATAGGGGAGCTCAATGCCACTCTCAAGGAACCACCGGCGAGGAGCAATAGTAAACTGGAAGAAATCGTGTCCAAAAAGAACGCTGTCATAAGTGACCTCCAATACGAGCTAGCTAGAGTTTGCAAGGCCCACGATGACCTCTTGGAAACGTTCGAAGAAAAACTAGTGCAGTTTGGGATACCCAAGCAAGAACTTGGGTTTACACCACTTAGAATTATTCCTGAAGGGCAAGGCGGATTGGCAAGAGGACCTGCAGGGTTGGTCACACAAAATCGATGAAATCATATCATGTAACTCACATTGTGTATAACATGAAAACATATTATATACATTATATACATATATAGATTATATACATAATGGAAGTATTATCGAGGGAACTGTAAAGTAGCTTTAGGAAGAGAATAGTGGACATAGCACTCACAAAGAGATATCCGTAGACACGTTTTTCGGGCATTCGGCTCTGATCAGTACGGTGAAAGGCAGCACTTGGTAGATCTCAGGGTCTGCTGACCGAAACCACAAATGTGCAGCTGGTTTCTGTTTGTTGTTTCGTCTTTCTACCAAGTGCTGCCTATCCTTTGCACTTTCTTTCACCGTACTGATGAGGGCCGAAAGCCCGAAACACGTGTATACGGTTATCTCTTTGTGGTTATGTCCACTATTCTCCTCCTAGCTCCATTATATACATATATACATTATATAAATATATACATTATATACATATACAGCATATGTCTCACTTTAAATGCCCCCCCCTCTATATCTCAGCTATTAGTCGTGCGATTTTTACCAAATTTGGACCAATATGAATAACCATCAATATAATCAGTTTTTCAGAGACGAACATAATAATGAACAGTGCCGTGCGTTTTTATCAAAATGAAAAGGGGTCAATTTTTCATGACTTCATAATTTCGTTCCTCATGATTTTATACCTTCATATATGACTTTTCATATAATTTCTATGAAGGGTTTAAAAAACAGGCACATCGAAATGCAGTTTTGCGAACGTAAATAATTATTTTTTCGGAAACAGTGACTTCAACATAAAATGATTTATCCTGTTTTTTTTATCATCATTTTCTACCTACCGGAGCTATTGAACGTTCCAAAATTTATAGCATATGGTGATTTTCTGCACATGAAGGTTTCGAAATCATGAGGAACATAGAACATTAGTTTTCCTGCAAAAAAATTCCTAAAACGATTTCATAAGAAATCGACCTCTGTATTTCAATGGTTATTCATACCGGTCAAAATTTGGTAGGAATCGCACGACTAAAAGTTGAGATATAGTGATATAGAGGGGGGCCCTTTAAAGTGAAACACGCTGTATATACAGGGTGTCCCTAAAAGGTCTGTACAATATCTCAGCACATCTCCTGAGATCAAAATAAGCTGATCTGAAGCAACTCACTTCAATCTAAAATCGCTTCATTTCCGAGATACAGGGTGGTAAAGTTTAAAAAATGAAAACCGAATTTTTCAGATTTTATGAACATTTTTGAACGGACCACTTCGAAAATTGGTATCCGAGGATTTCATGAGATGCGAAACCAGAATACAGATTGATTGAGATTTATTGACATTAAAGTTTTGCACATAACAGATTAGTACAGACATAAAACAGTTGAGTATAATAAAAAAAATTTTTTTTACATAAATGCACCTAGATGATTGAACATCTGTGTGTGCATGTGGAGTAGTACCTGAGTAAACCAGTTGGTTATGCACAAAGAAAAGTAGTTAAAATAGTAATGAATTTGACAATAAATATGGTTACATTTTCAAAATTACATTAAAATAGGTAGCACTTACTTCCATAAGTACTAACGGTAATAGCGGCACACATATATACAGTACTCTACATATTTACATATTACATATACAGATATGGACTATAGCTAAAGTATATAACGAATCAGAGAAACGATTGCAGCTACTATTATTAAGTATAGTGAGTGTAGGTGAGACAATATTCAAAGTATTCTATAGAATTGGGCTAAATTTTGTACCACAAATATTCTACAGTGTTCCATGAACTTTTTCGAATTTTTCATTGTTTTCACGTTATTAGGTAGCAAATTGTAGAATTTTGGTGCCAGATAGTTCAGAGATCTCATATTAATATTAGTATTACTAAAGGGAATTGTCATTTGTTTATTGATTTTGTTTCTAGTTTCATATATATGGTTCACATAATTCTGTAGGTTTGATTTTTTATGAATGAAATAACATACATTTACAATAAATAAGGAACGAATATTTAGAATTTCTTGATTGTATAGTAGACTTGTGGAATAATATTTGTTCTTCTTTAAAATGACTCTCAATATATAATTTTGTGTGAAATTCAATTGCTTAATTGAATTTTCGTATGAACCACCCCAGACAATCAACCCATATCTAATCAAAGATTCAACAATGGCTTTATAAACACTCAAGTTTTTTACCTAAAATTTCACGTAGGGTATAAAATTTATAAATTAATTTCCTGATATTGCTACTCAGCTGTAAAATATGATGATCCCATTTAAGATGTTTATCTATCTTGATCCCTAGATATTCAACAATGCCTATACTTCTTTTAGGGTTTTGTTTGACCCATCAAGGATTAAGCTCTGATATTTTGGTCTGTTAGCAGATGTTAGAGAGAAAGCAATATAATTAGTTTTTTCAATATTGATTGTTAATTTGAAGGAATCAAGCCAGTTTTTGATTTTAGCAATACCAGTTATTGCCATTTGTCTTACCTCTTCCCAAGATGATCTGTTGAAAACAACAACAGTGTCATCAGCATAAGATATCACCAGCCCATTTTGAATACAGATACTTGTAAGTGAGTTAATGTATAAAATAAATAATAAGGGTCCTAGCACGGTTCCTTGTGGTACACCTATTTGTACTCTCAACGGATCACTAATGACGTCATCAATTTTCACAGTTTGTCGTCTATCCCTCAGGTAGCTCGCGAAGACATCCAACACTATTCCACGTACCCCATAGATGTGTAATACATCTATATATCTTTTAACTTTGGCCATTGCACTTCTTATGGTTCAGAATGGCCATAACTTTTTTCTTGGTGTATTTTTCTACTTTGTTTGTTGGGGAAATGATTTTCTGAACATTTGCAAGTGTAAAAGATACCCCTGTGTGTTCGATGCCGCACCGGAATATTTAAATTATTTTGAATAAAAAATGTTTGCTGTTATCTTCTTGGATGATATTTGGTCAGTGAATTAGCAGTGCAAAAATTGATTGTCCAAAATACTTTCTTGAAGTGTACTTGTCGATTTTCATCATTCAAATTTACCACTCTGTATCTAGGAAACGGAGCAATTACGGACTGAGGTGAGTTGCTTCAAATCGGCTTATTGTAACCTCAGGAATAAGATGTTGTACAAAACCTTTTAGGGACACCCTGTATATTGAATACTTGTAACATGTTCATATACTTACGGATTCCAACCAAGATCTTGAGGATTGATATAAAGAATTCCAGCTCTGGAAACAGTTGCAGGGGTAGCAGTCCTCAAATTGGAAATTTCGAATAGCAGTCTCATGACTGGAGTCAAAGCTATCCTTTCATTGCTAGCCAGAGTGAGTACTTTGTTGTCATCCATTACGGTATTCAAAGATTCTATCCACATGGGATCAATGTCTCCATCAAGTATGATCCACTTGGGATTGTCGCCTGGCAAATTGGCTTGATCTCTCATCAGTACTGACAGTAGTCCGTCTTTCCATTCTCTAGTGGCTGGATTGATAATTCCGAAAAGTTCGTCATTTGTTACTGCTTTAGGGTTCAAATCGTTGCAGACAGGTTTCTTTTTGATATTCTGGTATGTACGAAATAGGGTTTTCCAAACTTCTGTTTTACCTGTGCCTGCATTACCAACAATGAAGACGGAATGTCTGACTTCTAGTAATTCTTCGAGTTGAACAACCTAGGTGGTATAGATGGTAAAATATCTCTATTAACATTTGTTGGTATAATATACGTCATTTCGAGCTAAGAATAGGTCAACGACTCATTTGGCAAAAGTAAATATAACGTCTTATTTACCTCAAATTCACCAATATGGGGAAAAAATGGAAGTAATTCAGAAGACGAAAATTGGAATGTTAGGGTATCCTGAGAAATAGGTCGAGGGTCGAGGGAACAATTAGGTAAAATTGCCCTAATTTTAGTCGAAAAGTGGTCTGAATTGAGTTATTCTGACGTTATTCATTACCTACTTATGGAAGGGTTTACTGAGATTTCTACATTGTTAACTGTCCATTGGTTGGTAAAAAAAGAACTTCGAATGACAAAAACAAATTGCTGGTTTTGTTGATCAAACGTCATCATAATATATAACCAAATATTATAATTCACTTTCGAATTCAAGTTCAAGCGGAAAGCTACCTGAAACCACCCACTGGAAATAAAGAATGAATCATTCAAAACTTCCCAAATAGTTGCCGACCTCGAAACACGAGGGGCAATAATAGCCATCAACTTTCAGAACATGATTTTTGGATCATTTTTGGTATTTTCGACTCTCCCAAGGACACTTCGTTCTATAAGGATTCTATTGTAGCAAAATTGCCTTCATCGGACACAAAGTTGGTGATAATTAGGTTATAAAAAGGTAGGAAACTCATTTCACTCAGTTGGTAAAAAAATAGGTAGAAAAGAGTTCAAATTCGACGTATTTTCTCCATCTGATTATTCCCTGACTATATGAACGTTTATGATGTTAGAATCTGGTAAATTTTAACTCCAAGGAATATTCTGAGAATTCGAGAGCCTTGAAGACATTTTACTGGATAAATTGAGGTTGAATATTACCCAATTGATAACTATATGCCGACTAGGACTATGAAGTTATGTTTGAAGTCTGTTATAAGTATATAAATGATGACGTCACCAGTTTTGCACCCCAAAAAAGAGTTACGACCATCATTTTCATTTCTTTAAACCATTTTTTTCGTTCAATTTCAATGATGCGATGCATGAAACATACTCAGAATTTTACGCCGAATTCAAAAATTGAATAAAAAATAAGTGTTTCTATTTAAAAAATTGAGTTGATCATCGTAACTTATTTTTGAGCCACCCTGTATAAATGAATCTACTACCATGAAAACCGCAGGAAAAAATTAAAATCGACCTGTCCGAGCGATTTCCCAAGAAACACAGGCCTGACTTTTAAATGAATTTGTACCATAATATTGCCGCTCTCTGATATGTATATCTTTTCGGTTAAGTAACCGACAAAAATTATGACTGACTCCTATCTATAATTGCCTTCAGATATTTCCGTATACAAGGAAAGACAATGCAAGAGGACGAACGGGGAAATATGGATGCTGATTTCGAGTGACTTCGGGAATTGGAAGGATTCTGCCGCCTACCCAGCGAGCACAAAAACATCTCAGAGATGTAAAAAGTACGAGATTTCGAGACATTGAACCTCCACTGCGATGTTCTGTTCACACATGAATAGAACTATTATAGAACAGCCGCAGGCGGCAATTATCGAGATGTCCTTGATATGTCACAAAACTACCTTCTCCCTAGTTCTTTTTAAAGCCTTTTCATGGACACAACAGAACATTTTCAACGCGTCTTGCGCACATTAAATCGCTGTAAAAAAACCATTTTCGAGGTACTTTTCTGAAGCCTTTTGTCGAAATGAACTTTTGCATTAGGATTCCATTTCCTTGAATGAAAAAATGCATTAAAAATAGATTGAACATAAAAATATTTTCTTGATATGAAATTACCTTCTTAATCGGTTTCTGAGTAGTGCTTACTACACACAGACATATAATTGGAAATAGGTTTCCCAATTTTCAAAATGTTCTCCACAATGCATAATTTTGCAACTGCGGAGAAGCTGTGTATTGATGAATTCGTACTTTTATATATTGATTACACTGAGGCACCGAACAACACATCTTGCATCTGATGGTCATTATTACGAACTAAATAAGTCATCTAACACAATGAACTTCACCAAATTCCTTTCTGTTCGTTAGCAGCGTGATGTAAGCGTGACACGCTGCAAACGCGAATGCCAATTGCGAACAAGAAGAACAAAATCGAAAACAAATCAGAATTCATCGTATTGTGACGTAAGCATGAGACGTTGTGGTGGGGCAAACAAAGAAAGGGCACAGAAGAACAAAAACAATACTTTCAATATCCTCCTAAGTCCTCTTTGGGAAGTGCCTCGAAAAACATCCTCATGCCTACATTTCTAAAACATCCCAAAACATCCCAGGGATACCTCTCAGTAGGCAAACAAAGAAATGCCACAGAAGAACAAAAACAATACTTCAATATCCTTCAAAGACCTCTTTGGTCAGTGCATATTACGTCTCAAAATAACATCTTCATGCCAACATTTTCAAAACATCCCAAAACATCCCAGGGATGTTTGTGCTCGCTGGGTAGTGTGTGATGAGAACTCAACGTCCCTGCCGATTGATCAACGGATGCCCGTTAGCTCAATTTGGCAGAGCGTTGGGCATGTAACCCAGAGATTGTGAGTTCGACTGTCACACGGGGCGGTGGAGTTTTTTCATTTTTCATTGTCAATCTAAATTAGGGCTTCCCATCTTCATCATTAATAATTTGATAGCCGGTAATGTGTATCACGGCCGGCTGGAGGCCGCCTGGACACCTCGATTCCGGGAAAGTACTGCCGGGAGGCGTATTGGCATTGTCTCCTATGGTACGACGCAACCTGAGAAAAATGTATGTCGAATCGCGGAACACAATGTCCCACGATTTGGCAATGATACGCGCGACATTCTCTCCTGCTTTAGGACGCTATGTGCTGAATATTGAAGCGTCTGGATACAGTAGATTTTGTTACGAGTAGGAGGGGCAATATCTCCTGTTTTTTGTGTTGTTTGTTTCAGTTTGCAGTTTGGCAAACCGTCTTAACTTTGGCTCGTGTTTAAAGAGTGCATTGAAAATGAAGGAAAGTGTAAAGAGTATGTTGATGCAATTTTTGCAATAACACGAGTGCTAGATTCATAAATTTCACATTCATTAGCGATTTCAATTACACATGTGAGATTCGTGCTCATTATGACGAAAAAGAAAAACTCGCATCTGAATTTTGTGACGACTTGATCAAAGAGTTCGGCGATTTAACAGCGACCAATTGGATAGTCCGATAAAATGCTAAACGACTGAAATTCAGAAAAGTGTTTGTTTGTCAACATACCACGTTCGGCAAAAATAAAAATCGTGTAAGACATGACACGAGGATTCGTGACAAGAACTGCAATGCTAAAATTGATTTCAAAATAAAACTAACGAATCGAAATACGATAAGAAGAGATAGTTTGGTGAAAGAAGGGCTGGATACTGTCGTAATTGTGAGTAATAATATATATATATTATTATATAATTATTAGATAATTAAGTTGTAAATTGGGCAGCCAAAAGTTAGCAGCTAATTTAACGAATCCTGCCAAAAAATCAGTGGCGTCGTTATTACATTTTCATATCCTATTATAACATTATTAAAATTTTAGAATAAATTCGTTACTTAATAGGTATAACAAAGCCTCTAGGTATGAAAAATTTGATTTTAGTTTGAGAGTGGTTCAAACAAAATATATTTGAGGGTGTTTTAAATGACAAGTTTAGGTGTAGGTATTCATTAGGACAAATACTACAATAGGTACTGAATGTTATCTAGAAATTCGAGAACACCAAAAGAGTCACTTTGAAGCCTCAAAAGAGACTTTAAATTCAGTACAGAGGTAGTTTATGGAGGAGAAAAGAAAACCAAACCCAAAAATGCAGTTTTTGTGAATTTTGGGACATTTCCGACGGGGTCTTTTCTACCAAAAGTTGTTAAAGTTATTACTTGAACTTACATTTGAATTTGAGGACAGTTTTTTGGCTGCCAAATTCACATATATAACTGACTAACGAGTAAGATTTTTTATTCAAAATTTTTAAATTCATTATGGCGTTAAAAGTGTTTTCTTTAGATACTGTCTGAAGGTTGATCGAGGAGGTGGTATATTCATTTCTCTACCAATGAAATAATGAATCAAGGAAACAGAACACGAAGTTTATTTCCAAAGTAGATATTGCCACTCATAAAGCGAAAATTCTCGTTACAAAATCTACTGTATTCAGACGCTTCAATATTCAGCACGTAGCGTCCAAAAGCAGGAGAGAATGTCGCGCATATCATTGCCAAATCGTGGGACATTATCTTCCGCGATTCGGCATACATTTTTCTCAGGTTGCGTCGTACCATAGACTACCAATAGGAGACAATGCCAATACGCGGGAGAGGTGTGCGTTACGAATGCTGGGCCGATGATTGGTGTTATCTGGATTTGTGATTCACCTTGAGGATGAAGTTGTCTTCAGGCTGTAATTTCAGATCAATCGCTGCCTGTTTCACAGTTTTTTCAAACTCGGCATCTCTCTTTCTAGGAACTTCTAAAGCTGGAAACAAATCACCTATGAGGCCCATGAATACTGGCGTATCGTCCGTTACTATTTTTGGAATATTGAAATCTCTCAAAGCTCTCATGAGTACTTCTTCTTCAGGTCTTCCATGATCGCCTCTCTACGAATTTTTTTCCTGATGAATTAGCCAAGAAATAAAGTAGCCTTACCTTCAAGGATCCTGCTACTACTAGGACAGATTTGATAGCTCTCAGTCCCCAATCATAATGGTCTTGTTTCGACAAAAGTTCCTTGCATAGGGTGTAGAGGGTTATGAACTTTCTTGCTAGGATTTTTGCATCTTGGAAACCTTCAGCAACCAACATTATTTCACAGATCAGTTCGAAATCTGGCACAACCATAGCACATGGCCTGTAAAATTGATCGCACCATAAGTACGAGACCCACCATTCTGTGCCAGAGCTCACCTGAATAGTGCTTTCAAATTCTCAGGTAATTCTGTTCTTCCAGCATATCCTGGGTTCATCGTTATAAAAATTCCAACAGTTGGTACCAATTGGATCCGATCACCCATGAAATCGAATGTTATTTTTTTATTCTTGATAGCATCTAGAACCGATTTCACTTGAACTGCTACGACTGACAGAACTTCTACTGATATCCTGTTGAATTCATCGAAACATCCCCATGCCCCAGTTTGGGCTAGACCTTTGTATATATTACCACAAGACTGAAATTTGAAAATGAGTCCATATTACAGGCATAGGCATAGGCGTAGCGCAACTCACTTTATAGTCCATTTGTTCAGAACAATTAAACACATAGACCGAGATTCCTAAGGCTCGTCCCAGGTCTTTTGTTGTTTCCGTTTTTCCTGTACCAGCAGGACCTGCTGGTCCTCCTCCCATGATCAAATGGAGAGACTAAAATGTATAAAAGGTGTCCCACGACGATTTGTCCAACGGGATATTGCCGCGAGTAGAACATTCAGCATATTAGTAATTTCGAACCATGAGAGTTTTATAAAAATTAAGTAAATAGTGAATCATTCGTTGACATTGAACTAAAAAAAATGACTAGGAAACTCTTATGAGAATTGAGAAATGTGCAAGTCTGATAATATTTTGCATATGAATATTAGATGTGGGGGTTCCGAAGTTAGTCTGTTCTGGGGCTACCTACTCTTGACTTGATAAGAACTCGTTGATATGGTCATTATAATGTAAGTTATCAGGTCTTTATATCCATTGTTATTTATTTATATCTCATCATTATCCATAATGTTTTATACAGGTTGGGTATACAGTCTCGTACTTCCAGCTAACCATCAAGCCAAGCAAACCCCTTATAAAACGAAATGGGAAAAACATGGTATGACTTGGTGGAGACTCCATCCTCTATATCGTGACATTGTTCTAAAATTATTCTGAAATTGTACTAAAATTGTTTCAAAATTATTCTATCCGTGATTCGGTTGCCCCCTCACGATCGACAAAATTTGGGGGATGTTAAAATGATATTATTGTCTAAATTTGTATACACCCTAGAGAAATATTTGGTATTGATCGAATGCAAATGGTTCTCTTGAATACCTTTCATGAAACGTATAATATATAGAGAGTGTCCGTTTACGAAAACTAATAACTCAAGGTGTAGTGTGAATATACAAGTAAAGGCTTCGACGTTATGAATCGAGTTATTCAAGACAAATTTCTTCTCGATCACTGAAATGGATGAAGATGAATATACCTGTGTCAAAGTTATATAACAACGATCTGTCAAAGGAGTTATAACCAATCTTGGCGTATTTCCCAAATACTCGTAGCTATATCTGAACTGTGCATCACAGATATTGGCAAAGCATTGCTTCTCTTTCTCGTCCCATCTATGCCTCAGCTGAGAAACCCATTGGAAAGCCAATGCACTTTCAACTTTCATCTGTATCAACTTGCTGACCACATCACTAAAAATTCATACTCACATAAATCCAGTTCTCTTCTCATCAAATAAACTACTTCCAAGATGGATTTCCGTCAAAATAATTATAGGAATCTGTTTTTATATACCGTGAATGCACATCTATAGTGCAGATAGTCATGATTTTCTGCCTATCCAACTTCGTGAGATCGCCCAGTAGTAAAGAAATGAGTGTGCTAAGCTGCGACACTTGTTTTTTATAATAATCCTTGATGGCGTTGTCATAGCCTTCCTCTAGTCTAGAAAAAGCGATATTGACCTCTGTGGTCCACCAGATTTGAGTACCACACAAGGAAACTTGAGCTGGAAAATCGAACAGCCACTGGTCCCTAGGTTTTTCTTCATAGGAATTCACACCATCTCCGATTGACGTTCTTATCGTTACTCTCATACTAGATTCGACAGAGTTCAACCATACCTCAACCTAAAATACCATGAGGTTCTCATTGAAGGGTTCAATAGATGTAAGTTCAAGTAAGTAGTTAGATGCATCTACCTTCTTCTACCTAAATAAAAATGAAATACTTACTGGTCCATTGCAGTTGGTTGGTTCATTAAAATCCACATATTCACCATCTTTAGCGTACATCCCATGGATAACATTATCTAGAGTATTATCTTCAGTTTTTCCAAAATTCAGCTTTGCAATTGAATCAAACAATTTAGTCAAATGCTTTGCCACCAATTCAGGTTGGTTCCCATTAGAGAGTATATCCAGCAAATCGGCAGAAGAAACAAAATAGAATCTAGGAAACGCAAGTCTCTTGGTTTCCAGATAAACAGCGAGTGCTTTCTCGCATAATGTCAAATTCTTCTGATGTTCTTCCAAAATCTCCAGAAGACCTTGTCTGTTGGTCGACTCTATGACATTGGGAATTTTGGCCATTTCTATCATGAGCTTCTTGAAGTTGGTGTCTATGTTATCGAATCTGGTGGAGTCTTCTGGTAGTTGCTTTCGAATGTCTTCAGAGCTCATGAAAATTGACTCCAGATGCATCCAAGTTCTTTGCACTTCGAACCAAACTGTAATCACTTGGTCGGCGATACCCAGTTTGTATTGCCAGGACGACACCTCCTCTAGAAAATGTGCTATGAATTTGGATGTTATCAAGTTTTGCAACTGCACCTGGTTTTCTTCCAGGGTTTCTATTAACTCTTCGCTTGCTCTTAGCAGTTTACATCCTGTACGAAGGTGTGTTTCTTGCTCGAATTCCATTGCAGACCATGTGGTGTTTAGTTCTTTCAGCGTTTTTTCCATGGACATTTCCTTCACAGCTTTGTCTACTATGTTCTTGACTTCTTCTTCGCATTCGTGTAGGTTGAGTTCTAATAGATCTGCCAAGGTTGTGTTGTGATCCATGACTATTCTCGTCTGGAAAAGATGCATGTATTGATAATTTCTCATGAAGTTTTTTGATTCAACATGAAATCTATACTTTAACCAAAACGTGATTCTGAGGAATATAAACAAAATATTATTTCAGATTAATATGTGTTCTACTTCTAAATGAGCTGTCGGTAATGGTACGGAAGCATATCATAATGACTATTGACAATAACTTTACGAATCAGTGCTTGTAAAAGATTCATGTTTTAGCATTCATGAATCAGTGAATTGAAACAGAAAAATACTCAGGCACAGTACATGTTTTTATACAGTGTTCTATCAGCCTATCAATTATAAAAGCTATTAATAAAAATTCGTGTATATTTTAGAGAATAAATCCACAATACTCACCTTGAATTCAGTTGGCAAGGCAGCCAAGCTCTGTAACAAATCATTTTAACAAGAAACCAATATTTACAAGGTCTTGAGCATACAATCCCATACAGTTTGTCTAATGAGATGACGATTAGATGAAACTGAAGCTATTTACATATGTACAACTCGAAAGTCGGTTGACGAATTTTACCTTTGTGCTGTTCATCAATTGATCCCAATGTCGTTCGCGAATTGCGGGATTTTGGAGTTCTCCTACGGCTTTAAGAGATGTCAGGGTGTTTTTCACAGTGTTTTCCAAACCGGTGTAAGTATCCCAGGTTCGCATCTCTTTGTCCAACATTTTCACTTCCTTCGCAAATTTCTTGCACTCAATGTCCATGTTTTCCACATCGATTTTCCTCCAAGGCGTTGTTTTCCAATCGTCCACACAGGTGTGGACTATGTGGATATAATCCCACAATTGCTGGAACAGATATCTAAATGTTTTATCTCTGAATAGACCATCAATATACCACCAATATAATACCTTCAGTAATCTCAAGTCTCTTCTGCACTGCTTCAGTATCTTGAAATCCGGTACATTGACCTCGAACAGAGATCCAGATTCATGAATATCTTCCATCTTCTTCTCCAACTTCTGCAGATCCTTATTAATCTTATCGATCATCTCATAAGGATTCATACAAGAATATTGGAAGAAAGAATACTTCTTGAACACCTCTCTATAGTATATCACTCTGTTGTCAAAGTCCACGATACGTTTCCTGATGCAAGTTACCTCGGCAGCTTGTAAAGGTGCCACTTGTTGCTTGACCGTGATAGCTATCTTCTTGGTGTTGCTCCATTGCTCAGGAAGCTCCTGCAAATAAACGTTGACTTCCTCTGGTATATCTTGGTCGTAGAATTTCAGCAGCTCTATGGTTTCACGAAGCGGTCCAAACATCTCGTCGGTAGTAGCTTGTCGTTCCTTGACGTGAAGGAGATACCCCATAACGTTTACGAGAGCTTGGTAATCTCCCTCGCCTACAGTTTGCTGTAAGCCTTCGTCAGCCGATCTTATGAACTGGCTCAAATCGCAGAGGCTAGTGGTGACTGTGTTGACCAAGTGCTGCTTGAACATATTGCCCCACTTCCTAATTGTGTTGAGCAAAGCATGCTTGAATGGTCTCACGTCCACTTTGAACCAGCTGTGGAATATCTCGGCCTCACTCAGTTTATCTACTTCAATTGATAGATTTTCGTAATTATCAATTTGTTCCCTAAACTGTTCCATCTTTGCGGGACATGGTTTAGGTGCCATGGGATCCTGAGTGCCCATGTACTCCAGCTCTTCACCACTTAACTGTCTGCCAAAATTCAAGAACTGGTGGAGATACTCTTGACGATCATCAAGCCACAAGTAACTATAGCTTTGAAAGTGATCGCAAAACTCATAGGCCTCTTCTATAACTTTATCTACGTTCGACAGTATATCTTCTTTTATATCTAGAATATCTTGATTTGCTTCGATTTCTTCTTTGTAGCTGATAGATGTGGTTGTTGAAAATCTCTTCACAACGGCCGACGATCCAATGATGTCTTTCATAAGGACTATCAAGAGACTCTTAAGACCATCAGGGTCAGATGGCTCTAGAGATGGTACAAATACTATGTTAGGTTCCAGTAATTGTAGTTGGGACTGAAAGAGAGGTGCTAAACCATTGTAGGGGTCCATATGTTCATTTATATAACCCAAACTGCATCCTACAGACTGGTATAAGTAACTGGTGACTATGCTATCCACATACCCCACATACTCAATCCATTTTTCGTTTTCTGGTGTACCATCCATCTTGAACAGTTTCATATTTTCCTCCAATAGGACCGCTATTCGTTCGGCTATAGATTTGAAGTCTGAGACGCGTTTCTCAAGTCTCTCCTCTCTCTCTTCCAAAAACAAAAACGTGTCTTTCCTGCCATCTTTTCGTTCGAATAGGGGTTGACGAGCGAAAGGAACTAAGATTTGTTTTATTTCATATAGGTTTTCTTGGCATTGCTGAAGATGTCTCTGTAGGTCTCCAACTAGGTCGTGTAGCTTCGTCATGTAATCCCACAAATCTGGAACATTTGAAAATCAATGCGAAATAGTCTACGGAGACGACTAGAAACTTATTTATTTTTATGAACCCCAACAAAGATGAGTACCTACTCCTGATGTTTCACTAATAATTCTCATAAAATAACATTGATTTCTTCACACTCCTTATTGATTATAAAAAATAACACTTATGAGAGCTCGAATTGACTTTAAGAAGGAAATACAATATGTTCTAGTCCCTGGTTGCATACAACAGACCTGGTGATTCCCAGTTGAGGTTTTCACCACCTATGGCGATCAGTTTGTCGATTTCTGAAATTTCCTTCTCGATAAGGTTGAACTCAACATGTTTCGAAGATCTCCTGATTTTATTATACCAAGTAACTGTGGAATTCAAATTGGCTATATATTTCTGGAAAACATCGTTTCGTTCTGCAAGCTTCAAGACAATCTCTGGAATATTTGGTTCACCAGTAAGCTTCATATAGTGAACTTCTCGAAGAATAGCTGTTAACTGGAATAAAAAAGGTAACTTCCAACTATCAATCAATTGATGCTTATTCATAGTTACCTCTGGATTGAAGTTCAAGAGCAACTCTGATGTTTGTGAGTCTCTCTTTAAGAGACACTGTTGAAGGCTAGACTCGATATATAGAGGTAACAATTCAGCCCATTCAACGAACGTTTTATCATTCAATTGATTGATCATTTCAATAAAACTCTCTGCTTTTCTAATCAATTCCCTTCCTCCTGTACTGTCAACAACTCTAAAAAAAAGAAAATGATATCAGTTAATACTTTCTGTATTATTCACTTCAAGATGAATACTTACGGATGTTGCAGTGCTTTAAAATTCTTCAAAGGTCCAGATATTCTTAAACACAAATTTCTTGTCCATCGCATCATACCTGATATTGGAGGCATATAATTGTCCAAGATATATTGCCCAGTTTTCTCCTTATGTTGCAATTGTTCCTCAAAAATGGACTTCAAAAAATAATCATTAATGATTTTGATGCAGTTTAAAGATATGCCCTAGGTACATACCGCGACAGTTTTTATTTCGATTTCTAGCATATCCAAGATTTTCTCATACTGACTAGTGAATTCTTCCTTTATGAGTGGTCGTTCCAGAACTGACCCAGCAATATTGATGAGCTGAAACAGATTTCTAAATTTCTCTCTCAAGTTCTCATTGTTTTTTTTTTGACGCGGTTGTTACTTAATGAAAATCTATAGTAAATGTATAGCACTTAACAAACGATCAGATTTCCACAACGTCCTTTTGAATACAATCGTGTTTTCAAGAATTTTGTGACAATTTTATCGTTTGTGAAGTTTGTTACATATAATTCTTTACTTTGAATATACTGTCCATGTTCGAACAGTCCTCAAAAGCTTGACACAAAATGGCCGCTAATTTCATGTCCATTTCGAATATTTTATGCTTGAAATTCTCAAAATCCGTGATGAATGAAGAATCGTCCGGATCCAACACATCGTAGGATTTGCCAGAAAATTGCGAGAAGCTTTGCTGGAATTCATGAAACACTCCTGTCACGCGAGAGCTCAGAGTTCTACCCTTGATGCCCCCAATTTCTATTTTCTCTAGCTTATTGAACTCGAGGACCGTGTTGAAGAACCACTGTATCGTCTTGAGACGTTCCAGGAATGCATCGAACCTTTCAAAAACCATATTCTCATGAAAATTCCATGGCTTAGGATCTTTGTCTCTGAACACCATGGTCAAGTTGTCTTTATATCTGATGAAAATTTGAGCGAAATTTTTCAGCGTATTCGAACACATCGCTACCCTTTGCATTGCCTCGTCTATATCACTGTGGAATAAGGTCGTAGGGTCCAAAAACTTCTTTGCCTGTGAAAAATAATGGATTAATTAGAGCTCCACACTAAATTGGACACCAATTATTCTTCACAGAATCAAGTGAATATATTGTTCCTGATGAAACGTGGTATCTACCTCTTGTATGAGCAAGTTGCAAATCTGTTTCAGCAGAGTTATGAGTTTGACCTGATCGTACGACTTACAGTTGACCCATATCAGACATACAACATGTACCAAGGGCTTCAACAGAGGAATACATTCGCTAAAATCCGTTTCTTCGAGAGATTGAATATGCTTTTTCAGAGGCGACAAGTACAGATTGATATCCTTGGCCTCAGATAGAGCCATAACTGTGTTTTTGAACGTGTTTTGAAAGCAGCCGAAGTAAGCACTATTGGTTCTCTCCAAGACCACTGCCATGCTCCTGACTTTAGGCTCTCTGAGTTGCTCGTAGATGTACTGGAGATTTTTGAGACGGCGATGCCAAAACTGCAGCTCTGGAATGTTCAGATTTTGACTATAGAAGATATTTAAATATGGTGAGTGGGTGACCGATAGAGGACAAAATCCCATGTTTCTATTTATGAGGGTTCATTTCGTCAATAGTGAACATCTCTTGGGCAGGTGAGGAACCTTGACAGCTTGTGGGTAGGAAATATAATCTGTGCACCCAAATGAAATGAATCTAGCTAAATACTTATCAAACAAGTGCTTTTTCATCTCTTGGAGAACACGAAAGGAAATTCCTATATTGTTCGTGGAACATCGTGCGTACCTTAGTAGGATAGAGAGAGGAGGTAGGTGCTGGATTTTTTAACTTTTGGAGGTTATAAGTTCTTAGGAATACTTCCATTGGAAAAGAATTCCGAAGCTTCGCCGTTCTATAGACGAACGAGTTTTGGTAGAGTGTTGTTCACATACATGTTTAATACATTTATACCAATATTTTTATAAATCTTGAACACTATTGTAATATTAATGCACCTTATGATGCGCATGACAAAGATTCATTTCATATAAATTGACCGCATTTTATTCATAAAACATTTTATTTCAGTTTATCAGTGTATCAAGAATATTGTATTTTTGTCGCATAATATCACATATAGGTAATTTTATTGTTTACTCAGGTAAATTATGTAATTTTATCGTTTAATCAGATTGAATAATTATTCCCTACCTCTGTTATTCTTTTCTTGCGAAACAAGTACAACAGTACTTATCGCACTTCAACTTTGTTCTTATTGTTTTGTTTGCAGTTGAATTTTATACTCAGCACGAATAAAGTTTATTATTATTGTTACTATTATTATTTTTATTATTATTATTTTTATACATATTTCAAGGTTAACGAAGGAAGGAGGTGTTGACTGGGCCTATCGAATTCATCTGACTGGTATTGCTAGTGATGGAATTATAGCAGAGATTTGTGAGGAACATTTCTTGTGAAAGTATCTTCAGGAGAGTGGAAGGTCGACAACTTTTCTACGGTGTTCTAATGAGGTCAAGAAGTTAGTGAGTTTAGCATCACCCACCAGGCGAATGACTCTTCTCTGGATGGAATCTAAGAGAATCAGCGTATGTTTGGGTGGCGAACCCTATACATGAGAACAGTATCCTGAAACGGGCCGTATATGTATGCTTTTCAGATCATGAGAAGCTGTTGAGATGTATAGTCGATTTTCGCACGAGACATAAATCTGAGTTTTTGTGAAGCAGCTTTTGCGGTAGATTGAACATGATTTTCCCATGAGAGAGTATTGCTGATGGTGATACCGAGCATAGATATAGTGGTCTTGGTGAATATGGTGGTCCCAGACATTGTTATATCAGGCATAGTGAGTTTTGAGCTCCCTTATGTGTGACCTGAGTAGTACTCCATTGGATATTTTTTTATGATTCCGGCCTTGGAGGTGGCTCCAGTATAGATATATTTTTGTTTTGTGGTTTGATATACAGCTGCAATCGTTCGCAAATATCCATTCCATATGGGGCACAACATATTCTCAGAAACACCTTCAAGGTCAATAAATTGTCCTGCCTACTCAGATTACGCTCCCTAGCTGCCATGATTGTCACCTTTTGACCAGAATTGACCTTCATAATGTATAACATGGAATTTTGTCCCCGTAGCCCTATAGCTTATCTACTATGGTGCTCTCTCCCTCACCGTCAGAAGGGACGGGGTTTGAGCCAGCAGCACCGTTCTCCGAGGAATCGTTGGTGACGACATCGTTGATTTGACTCGCCCACTTGATGACAACTCCTTCAATGGCGCTCTTCAGATACAAATCGCACACTTCTCCGTTGCTTTCGACCAGGACTCTTTCGACTTCGAAAACTTTGTCCACCCCCACGGGCATCGGCAGCACTGTCTGACCGTTTACTTGACCCCTCACTTGATATACTGTGCTCCTTAGACTGTGTACATGCTTGTGAACGTCTTTTGCTATCACTGCAGGCCACTTGGTGTGGTTCATTGGGTTCGACAGCAACGGCACTAGAATCTGTTCGAACGAAAGATTATGTAGAGAAAATTTTGACGGATGAACTACACCTTGTTCAATTATAAATGTGTAATATTAGTGATTTCAAAACCATGCACTATACTTTCGGAATTACAACCGATGAAGGCATGAAGCAGTGTTCTGAATATGAATTGAGTGGAATCTATAGCTATTTTAGGGCTGGATTCTTCCCCATTAACAGACATTGGCGTTGTCCTTTCGTCAAAAATTCTTCCCATGTTACAGTGGAAAGATTTTAGGTCAAGAACCAATATAACCTGTACTAAAGAAAGGTAACCACAACTGCAGAAATACAAACAAAAAACAGGATTCAGTTGCGAATAATGGATGGAGATGAAACCCTTCTTTCAAGTGAAACCTGAATAGAATAGGACTGAGTGTATGTGGGAACCTTGAATAAAGATACTGCCACATCGAACGAGAAACACCCAGCAAACAATTTTGTTCAGCAATATACTATACTGGCCTTTAATATGCTAGACAGAATTATTGGCCAAAATGACAAGATGTCTGTAGGCTCTGATGGGCCAATACCTATAGAAGACTCTGGCTGTCATCAGGGCCAATGCTTACACGCTGATAACACAGTATCTCTCGAATGGAGGTCAAATAAAGGCAAAAGTGAATACTAAAGGGTTCCATTATGGCCTGGTGAGGATTACTTGTAATTTCTAAAGAAAGTAATTCCATCGTATACGCCGGTGCTAACATGATGCTAACAAAACAAAGTCACCGTACTGACAAATAGAGGTCCGATTCCATTCTGCTTGTTTAGCACTAACTTGAAAATCTTTCGAATAGCCTGGCTGAACGTCATAGGAAAATATAGAGTATTTTAATCAGAAAATGGGACAGGATCGACCTACACTAGCACCATACATTTGTCTACTTGTGTCAGTGATCAATTGACTGAAATGGTTAATCTTGTAATTATTCACTTTGAGATGAATATATTTCTCAACATTTTTCTGAAATGAAATGATTCAATGGCAAATCACTGATATAGGAATACATCTTTTCAACTCTCTTCTCATGGATTTGGTCTATCCTTATGTCACAATTTGTAGTGACTGCAATGTATATATTTATTCATTTTAACATGCATTTGGTTTTCATAGACAATTTCTGAATAACATAACAAAAGAAACCACCTTGTATTTTGCGTCTTTTTGTATCTCTCTTGGAAACTCCATTTTCAAACATACTTTAGAGCTCACATTTATTTGGATGTACAACATCATTCGTGTGACAGATTGAAACATTTTGTATATGAATCACATACCTCGTCTACTAAAGAAGCTAACTGGTCGATGATTTTACATGAAAGATCTCCAATTATCACTGTCTCTGAAGGAACTGTTTTTGAAACAGGCATTGGGGCCTTCTTCACGAAATATACACCTATAAAATTAATTGAAAATTCAATATCAAGAAAAGTAAACATATTATGAAAGATTCTCTTATTTTCAAGTAAAGTAACTACTTTTTCATCCTATGAACCAAAAGCTTAGCAAGTAACTTTGTTTGTGGTTTATGAACCCTAATCAGAGGAACTAAAAACTTTCATGATCAAACAAACCTTTGCTTTTGAGTTGGGCCAAAGGGAATCCATTGGATGCTACCAACTGTGCTGTTTGTGTCAAAACTATAACTAGCAGAATAGGATGAGAACGTTCTAAGAACTTCTTGATCACAGCTTTGTTTTCTTCTGAGGACATCATTCGGGACCATTTCTCCGGCTTCAGTTTCAGAGTTTTCTGAACATAATTGCCCAAAAAGTCCAGTCTAACGTCTATTTGTGCTGCTTGTTGCTCCATTTTGTAATCTTAGCACCCGAAAGATATCATAATTCTATAGCATAACCGGGATTTATACAAAACCAAAAGAATTTTCGACCATTCAGAACGTTTTGTTATCACCGTCTACCCTTTAGCAGTGTCGAAATAACAAGTGACGATTCATCAGGCTCTAGATCAAATCCATTCATCCATAATAAATTGATTATATTAGGTAGAATAGAGATAAATGAATGACAGAACTAAATAAAAAAATGAAAACACTTGTGAACTCTTGAAGACACATCCATAAAAAAAGACACTTTTTTGTATGTGGAAAAAAGTTCAGATATTGAAACTTTTCCGGGTCATTTTCTTACTACCTTGCAATGTAGGTTAATGCAAGCAGACTGACGATTCGGATTCCATAAAAGTCTGTACGGAATGACATATATCATGCCATAATCACGTTATAATATTCGCGTGGTCTATTTGTCCCATAAATTTGCCGGTTTTCGTACCAAGACACGGGATCTTCCTTACCAACTTTAAATGACAAACATAAATTCCATTTATAGAGGATGCTACCCTTGTTCCAAAAATTGATTTTGCGACTTTGTGTTCGTGACGAAATTATTATTTAGTTATAATGGAGCTCTAATTGGAGTTGAATTCATTATATCAATTGTTTTGCTGTTAGAATATTTTCACACAAATTTATCAACTTCATAGATTTTCTCAATATTTTCGCGCACTTGAATTGTACAGAGTCTTTCTATGAAAACTTCACACTCGTCAAATTAGAAAACCGAATTGATTTTCATTTCCCGTTTCTGAAGGGGATATTTAACTTTTTTTCATCTCTTGGAGCGCACGAAGAACATCGGTCGTACAGGAAGGAAGAGGAGGCAGGTATTTTTGCAGGGTAGCTTGATATTCCGTTTGTAAATTGACATCAGTGAGTTGATGATCGCAACATTTATATTGTGCTCTGGACTCACATTATTTCCAAAGGTAATCTTCTAGAAGCCAGACTATACATTCCTCCTACATCGAAGCTACTAGGTTTAACGACAGTTGTTATAAAACAAAATGCATTCCTGAAGTTGCATCCTGTATTGGAAAGGAAGGGTCCTACTTCAAGTACATAGGAATAGGCGCCCGTGATTATCTACTGTCAACTTTTGAACACCCTGTATACGCATATGGAGAAAAAGTCTGAATGAAGAGATGAAATGAAATACACACAACAGTGGCCTATCTACCCTTTAGTAGTTTCGACTAAGATGACAGCTTCACTATCTATTGTATCATTGTTCACGTAATATTTCACAAAATGAACACAGTTGAGCATTTTCCAACTGTTTGTCAGTGAAATCTCAAAATTTTTGGCTGTCAGATAGTACTTTTAAGCACTTTCAAATATCTGATGCTTCATTGAGGAATCAAATCTATAGGCCACGAAATTATGAAATTTTTTCTCGAATATTCTGTGGATTGATTCAAAAAACTGTTCCAGGATCAGGACTTGATTTGATCAATACGAGATATATCAAATAATGATATGCTTTCGTATGATTGCATACAATTTTGTTTCATCATAGTACTATTGATTTCCGGCTATTTGAAAAACAAACAAAGAACTTGAAATTGCTTCAATAATTCATACCACTTAATATTAACCTTAACTTATGACGAAATAAATTATTCAGATATTTATAGTTATCAGTATCTACAGCTTCTCGCAGTTTGGTTTCCGCAGTCGGTGCAGAAATAACTTTAAAGAACAATTAAAACAAAAACAAGGTTAATTAAAATTTTCATAATTTCATAGATAATTAAATATATTTACAGTCATACTTCTTACATTCACAAAAATCTATACAATAATGTACTGTAAAGACAAATATCATTTGGAAGAGTATAAATATATTACTCACAAAAAAGTTATAGTCTAGTAAACAAAAACCACTTGGACTTCTTTATGAACATTCCTTTTATCACAGACTAATTAATTGAAGACGACACTGATATTGGTTAATTACATCTTGATCACTTCGGCGTTTCTAGTCAAATCGCGTATCTACGGGTCATCCCGGCAATATCAATTGATAATTTATACCAATATACCAATACCTGTGCCAATACCAAGTAGGTATACCATCACTTCATTTCAGACCAGACGTAGGTTCGCTTTGAAGTCTCGAATAAACTTCATGGTGTATTATGAGGTGAAAGTGAGAAACTAAAAAATTTCAGGTTGAGACGCTTCTTTTGATCGTTATTTATGCTTATAAACATCCAGCGTACTTTTTGTTTTTGTCAAAAAATACTGAGAATATGTATCGCGGGTACAAAGTATCAGCATACCCTAATCATATTAAAAATTGACGTTCCCAACTCTCACCAGTTTTACCTGGAAATTCATATACAGTGTGACCCACTTGAAAGCGGGACACCTCAATAAAATCAGCTTTATTTTCATTTGTCCAGAAGGAAAAACTGTACTTCTGAAGAAAACACAATTTTTTCACAGAAATCAAGGCCTACTGCTTATATTTTCAGAAGTACAAATCCAAGAAATCTAATTAGCGATTTTTTTACGAAAAATTTAAAATCACCATTGCTTTCAGCACTCCCTCAGATAGTTGAATACTAAATTTCATAATGAAATATTCATAATCAATAACCAACGCTGAATGGAACCAATCTAACGATTTCTATAATAATTATCATCTAGCCATTCTTTTATACCACTATGTGAATTTTTATTTGGCCACAAAATTATTATTATCAAATATTTTTTTATGAAATTCGGTATACAATCATTTTAGGGGGTGCTGAACCAGTGGTGAATTTGAATTTTCCATAAATGATTCGGTTATATGATTTTTTGAATTTCTACAGATTTACGCAGCTGGCCTTGAATTTTGTAGAGACAAGAATATGTTCGTCCTAAAGTATTCACAGGTTTTCAAGTACCACAATTCAATGGAAAAGTCGTCGAAATCAAATTAATACCCATTTGTCCGCCACGTCTTTTTGAAAAGGTTTTTGAGCCGTTAGATATAAGAACCAGTATGAGGCTAAGATTTATAGGTCTTCGTGCCTCAACTTTGTGAAACCTTCATGAAGTCTCCACCAAAGGCATCCATTGTCTCATTGGTTTCCAGTATCGAGACAAACTCAGGGCAAGGTACAATATCCATGGTATTATTGGTCGGGTTGGTATTCTTGATTGATCGATTTCAGGAAGATGAAGCCTACTAGCAACAAAGAAGACCCCAATAGGTCTCCCAGCGACGTCAAATAAGGAATAGCGTTGTTATCAGGATCCATTTTGTACCTCCACAGAGTGTGCACCATTATGTGACAAATGTAGAGTAAAAGGACCAGCTGTGTGGTACCTACCACGATGTAGGTCATGACGAAGGGCACTTTGACTGTGGTTACTCCTGAATTGTAAATCAAGTCAGCTAGGAGGACGAACACGATGTGTCCTGGTATTGAGATGAGTAGAAGGATCCTCGCTGTTTTTGCTGGAAGAACTGGAATAAAAATCTATAATTACTATTATTCCGTTTTCCCACAGACTGTAGGACAAATGAAGTGAAAACTCCAACAGGTTTGGCATGAAGAACAAACGATTGACGAATGGTTTGAGGTTTACCTACCTCCTGTGACTAGTGCTGTCCAAGGACTAACGAACTGCTTGGTATGTGGTGGTATGATGCCTCTGAAAGATGTTCTATGCAAAATTGTTGAAGTACGACTTGCTTGCACCGAAACCAAGTTGCCTCCAATCCCATTTATGATTGGCTGAAAAACTGTGTAACCGTTGAAGTTGTCCACAGCGTGATCTAATATCAAGCCACCTGATCTGAACAAGAAGATGAAAAGTGAATCATTCACAAAATCTTGAGAGATGAAAAATACTCACCCACTTATAAACAGAGCGATAATGACAGGTGTCCAACCTTTAGCAAGTACTTCTTTGGTGTACTCATTTTTTCTCACAATCAGGATCCATATGGGCAATAGGATGATGACGTAAGTTCCTAGGATTAACCCCATGAGCCATGGATATTGGTCTAGAAAAATGAATCGTGTCATAATATATCAGATATTTTTTATGGATTCGTATGTGTGACCTCTCGCTATGTTTAGGAAAATTCAAGCATTCAGAATCACACACACAGAATTAAAGTGATACTCAAATAATTCCGGTGAGTTTCAGAGGTCAGACGAGTTTAGGTGTGTCTGCAATTTAGTGTTTTAAAAATAAAAATGGAAAATTCAAAGTAAGATGATCAATAAAAAATGATTCAAAAACTAATGACCCTATATTTTCTAAACAGAATGAGGCCTATACAATTTATTCCGTTTGCTCAGTGATTTCTTTAGAGAAATATTCCATGGATGATAATAATAAATCAATTACTAGTGGAGGATTACCATGGATTCTGAATAAAAGTCTAGCCCATGTCGACAAAATGATCAAAGAAACTACATCTCCAATGCTTGCTGCCATCGGTGTTGCCATATTGTCTGGATTCAAATTCAGTTTCTTTGCTATCAGAATTATACTGATCAATACCATATCTGAAATACAGTTGATGAGCATTACCTTACATTTGTGTGTTTATGTATAAGTACTCATAAGTAGTTATTTGCCATGTTATATACCTTACCTAATACGAAACAAGACATAGTCGCTGTTAATGTACTGGATGTTGCAAGAAGCAATGTGTGTATCCAATCGAAATTTGGTCTGATTATAGCTGAAACTGAAACTGCAAAAACTGAGACGACACATGATGCTACTATGGACTGCACCTAAAAAATCTATCTTCTATAATCTACAATTCCATTTTTGAATTCTTCTGTTACAGCAGTTACTGACATCGGTCCAGCATTATTTTTTCGCTCACCTGGACAAGTAGTATATTTCCAACTACCATTTTGATCATCTCATTTCTGCTTTTCATATTTCCCATATTGGCTTGTGTGGACAGTCTGGATGCAAGACACATATCCAAATTTCCTTTCAGACCTAAAAGAGCTGGGACCAATACGTAAAGAGCCGACACTTCCTTGAAAACTTTGTACTCCTGCAAGAAATTCAAATTAGAATACAAACAATCTCCATAAATGAGACGCTCGATATACAGGTGAACATTCTGGAAACAGTGAATTTTCTTGAAACTGTTAATCAAATTTGAAAATAATGAGCCTCTATGCGTCCTGTGAATTTACATCAATTATCCGATTTTTATCACTTTATGTATGTGCATGGCTAATGATGAATTGTTTTTAAGTACGAAACATATTTACTCCTCAAATGAATACAAAAAGCTCAAAGTGATTTCCACAAAAGTTCATATATGAAAGAAACTGGTAGACAATGAGAGAAAATCCGAAATCTATACAACGATTCGTATATACGAATAAAATCGCAAGTGTTTCCTTCCTAAATGCTGAAATGTGCATAAATTGTTCAGGAATGACAGACTACCTACATGGAGGTTTCGAGCTTTTGGCTCTCATCATTGCAGGGGTGTCCCAAATGGCATTCATGACCGCCATTTGGTGCAAACCTGGCCCAACGTAAACACATCCCAGCATTTAATACCCACGAGGCGTTCGGCATCTGCGAGATGAACATGAACGCCACCTGGCTTTTCATAGTTGATATATATTCCTTGTAAATATTCTACATGAATCAGATGTCCTGATGAATATACTTCTGCTTCACTTTGAAATATGCTAAGAAATAAGTGAATATCTACCAACATTATAATTTTCAGTGTTCTGTCGATTGATACTCACAGTTACATTTGCCATAACAATACCAGCCCCAATTGTTCCACATCCGGCTATAAAAAAAGGAACACACACCTGAATGGCGATGGTGTACCATTTTTCGTGTTCGAACTTTTCTTTTTCACTATTTATGGATTTCAAGGAATGCTTGGCTAGCTCCTTGTTGAAAGATTCCATTTTATCTGGCCCTTGAATGCAATGACGGTTATAATGATGAAATTAAAAATGCCTGCTGGGATAACATTTAGCGGACGGCAATGCCGTTTCAGGTTTGATATGACTCGCCCTGTACTCACAAAATAAATGATTACCTACCGTGTATTGTATAAACTCCCATGGTTCCCAGATCGCCCTGTTTATGAGATTTGGATATTTCAACAGTCATATTTGCCAGGCTTAGTTTTCGTCTGTTTATTCTAGCATAAACCTAAAATAAAATTCATTGGATGGAATGCAAATTTGCAATTCAATAAGAACTAATAATTCCAATACTCGTTTGCCAATAATTTACATTTAAGGGAATTCACAGTATCTATTTGTTTCAGGAACTGATAATATTTCCAGGGCTGGATTAAGTACGGTTGAAGATATGTCTCAAAGATTGCCAATCTTATTATTATTATTCTCGAATGCATATAGTGATTTATTGGGAAAGGAAGAAAAGGAAACCTAGATGACTCTGAATATCCCACAAATGTTATCAACAATGTCTTCATAACTGACATAATAGTATGTGTATGATCATTTCTTCAGTTGGTAATAACTAACAAACAACCCGGTATATTATTTTTATCTCTTGGAGCGCACGATAGGACATTTCTATAATGCTCGAAGAACATCGTGCGTACCTAGGAAGGATAGGGAGAGGAAGTAGGTATTGGAATTCCAAAGCTTTGCCGTTCTATAGACGAACGAGTTTTGGTAGAGTCTTGTTTGACATATTTGTAGGTTGGCAATTTTTCTTATATTCGGTTTTGTCAGTAAAATGACGCAGGTGCGAATTAACTAAAAATCGATAAATTTTTGGGATCAAAACACTATTATTATCAAATGTTCAATTTATGATTCGAAAAGAGCTAAAAACAAAGAATCAAACAATGTCTTTCTTTCAATTTTCCGGCATACAATTTCAACAAAAAAATGTCAATTATAAGATTTTTTTAGTGGTTTGTTAAAGCTAAAAATTTCCAGATCAAATTATGATTGTACTCATTTTATTTAAATGTTTATTATACAGTGTGTCCCAAACACCAAATGTGGAGTTTGTCAAGGCCAACTATAATGTGAAAAAATATTTTGATAGATTCTATTCGTTTTTGTTTTATACGCAAAAAACAGATTTTGATCATTTTCATGTCTCCTCCATAACTTCTTTATTTATGAAAATATTCAAATAGGAATTTCACATTCTCATGGCAGTTTTTAAAAGTTATTTCGAGAAAAAAAATATGAAATTTATACCAACTCTTCTATAATTTGAGATATCAGCACCAACTTTAGTTTTTCAAATGTAGGTCATAGCTCACTATGACTTAGTTACAAATAACTTTTTTATTTCTTACAGATGATATGTCGCAGTAATAGTTTTGTGTTGATAACAACGGAGTTATCGTCATTCATACAAAAACAAAAAATTATTTGGAAGTCGCCATCTTGAATTTATACATTTTAACAAAAAAATCAGGATCTTCGACCTCAAAAACCCCCACTTACCAATTTTGAAAGGAATCGGACCAAATCTTGTCCGCCATCTTAGAGCAGCCATTTTTTTTAATTTCAACAAAAATTCCATAATGTATTGTCACCGAAATTATGAACACCTGCCAAATTTCAAGTTAATCGGATTTATGGAATTTTTGTTGAATTTAAAAAATTGGCTGCTCCGAGATGGCGGACAAGATTTGGTCCGATTCCATTCAAAATTGGTGAGTGGGGGTTTTTGAGGTCGGAGATCATGATTTTTTTGTTGAAATTGATAAATTCAAGATAGCGGCTTCCAAATAATTTTTTATTTTTGTATAAATGACGATAACTCCGTTTATATCAACACAAAACTATTACTGCGACACATCATCTGTAAGAGAAAAAGAAGCTATTTGTAACTAAGTCATAGTGAGCTATGACCTACATTTGAAAAACTAAAGTTGGTGCTGATATCTCAAATTCTAGAAGAGTTGGTATAAATTTCATATTTTTTTCGAAATCACTCTGAAAAACTGCCATGAGAATGTGAAATTCCTATTTGAATATTTTCATAAATAAAGAAGTTATGGAGGAGACATGAAAATGATCAAAATCTGTTTTTTGCGTATAAAACAAAAACGAATAGATTTTATCAAAATGTGAAATTCCTATTTGAATATTTTCATAAATAAAGAAGTTATGGAGGAGACATGAAAATGATCAAAATCTGTTTTTTGCGTATAAAACAAAAACGAATAGATTTTATCAAAATATTTTTTCACATTATAGTTGGCCTTGACCAACTCCACATTTGGTGTCATTTAACCGACCTCGTATCTCTCACCGTTAAAAAGATACCCATGGTGAGCATGGTAAGTGGGACACACTGTATACCTAGTTACTGCCTGCATTCCTGGGCCTGTCAAATACTCCAATATGTTTTCAAAGGTCCGTATAAACATTTTTTCAATACACACAGAGCTACCACGTGTAAAACAAGTCAGAATTGGACCCAATCCATTTATATAACAAAATGTATCGTTGCTGATGTGACGAGTTCAAAGTTTACATAAAAAAGTATTTTGGTGTGCTGTTCAAAAAAGGCCCTTCTTTCAGTGATCAAATAAACTTGAAAGCAATTGTAGAAAGGTTAAACCACCCTCACCCCCTGACATTTTTTGCAGAACATTCTTAGTGGTGATAATAGGGTTCGCAGTATATTTTCAAACACCCTGTATCGATAGTTTTTGATATTGGTTTCTTCTGACGAAAAAGGTAATCCTTCTGTAACCAAACAGAATTTTTCATGGTCTTCAGTTCACCGTTCATCGTTATCGAGAGAAATTCATCACTATACTGGGGTATACTGGGTGAATAATGTTCGTATATACTTCAGATAAAACTAAGAAAAAAAGTGTCTCTCAACATGTGTATGAAAATGCTTTCTAAGGGAGACCTCTGAAGGTAGATTTCTAAATGTAGTTTTCTTCAATTATCCTTGTCTCATTGATCCTAGATTCACGAAATTTTATACTTCGAGGTGATTTCAGATGATTTGCCCCAAAATGTCACTGCGTTTGAAGAATTTTCTTAGCAGAGAGCCTAATAGAAATGTTAACTAGCTTGTCAGTGACAATTTGTATTGAAAAAGGTTTGGAGAAGAGAAATGAAGGTATAAAAAAAATATATCAAATTATCACTTAGCTTTGGACGTTTTGGGAACAAATCTGCTCCCGTTTCCAACAAAAAAAATAGATATTTGAATTGCAAATTCTTATTCGTCTTGACACTTCTCAGTTCGCAGTGACAATTGGTGACGTTGGCAATCAAATGAGTTACAGGATGTTTTCATTAAACAATCTTGAATTTCCGATTCTCATTTTCAGATTTCAGTAGTGAATACCATGTTCTATCTATATCAACTGAACAGGAAAATGAGGATGGTAAATTCAAGAATAATTAATGAGAACATCCTGTAACTCATTTGATTGCCACCGTCACCAATTGTCACTGAGAACTGACAAATGTCAAGACGAATACGAATTTGCTATTCAATTATCCATTTTTTATGTTGAAAACGGGAGCAGAATTGGCCCCGAAACCTCCAAAGCTAAGTGATAATTTGATATATTTTTTCTATAAAGCTTTATTTCTCTTCTCCAAACCCATTTCAATACAAATTGTCACTGACAAGCTAGTGAATTTTTCTTTTAGGCTCTAGCTCTGATAGTACGCAAGGAGAGAAAATCCCAAAAAAACTAGAATAATGAAGGTTTATGTCGTTCCTATCTCCAGAATATGATTCTTCAAACACTTTCACATGGAAATAGTATTCTAGTTAGAATGCGGTAAAACGAACCGTTTTCGAGGAAAGGGCAATTGTTCATTCTGATATCCAAAGGGTGGTCAAAAATCCTCATTCTGAACCACCCTGTATTTATTTCAATCAAGTACCAATTGATAGTATATGAAAAGTTAAGATAGGGACATGCAAACCGTTTTGATCAATTATGAATAGTTTCAACAAAAAAATTCTCAAAGTTGAAAAATTTCGATTTTTCACACCCTATATCTTCGTTATCATCCCCGCTAGACCCCAAGTGTGATAGATCGATGCAATCGGCTCTTCAGGGAAAACCTGAAAATGGAATGATATACAGGGTATTCCATTGAAAAAATCAAAGTTGTTGCTACTTTTCAATATAAGCGGCAACGTCTCAACGCCGAGGATATTTTGGGCCGATAGAACACAACTAATTATCCAAGGCACTAATTTTTCAGAATAATCATGAGTTGCGTTCTCCAGAAACGTCTATGTGCTATCCACCGTGAATCACCCTGTATATTCATCACATAAAATTATCCCGAAATGATAAGATTTTTCATTCAAATCACAGATAACCATAACCAGATAGGTACATTTGGAAAGATCTGCAACTCACCTGGGTAGGTAGTTCCACCAAATGTTTTGTAACTTTCCTCTACACTAACTTATCTGTCGCGTGTTCACCTGTAGACTAAACCTTATCGATAAATCATTCAATATCAACTTGATATTCATTAAGTTTGTAATCTGATCACGATGTAATTTCAATTGAAAATTGGTAATCTTCGTGTAATGGTATAGGGTAATTACTGATAATCACAACACAATGTAATGTTTATTTTAACTGTAGGTATATTCAACCCAAAGTAGGGGGTTTTTGGTTACGGAAATATTTTGTTTTCTAAAACTATTGTATAAGATTGGGGATTCATTTTATGAGGAAAACATAAATAAGCATTTTCCAACTGATATAACCATGAAATTTCCAGAATGGTTTCCATTGATTGTTGTTCTATTTGTTACATTTTTTCCATCAGAGTGTCCCTACATGTGAAAATATTATGTAAGGATATATTATGTGGTGGGAAATGCTTGAATTGTTTTTCCTGTCTCAACATTTTTCAATATGGAAAAATTGTGTTCGGTTTGAATTCAAAGTAATAATAATACAGGGTGTTCAATTATATCTTGACACTTTCCTGCAGAATTAATTATTGGGGAAAGTGAAAAACGAACTGCATAAAAGTTGTATTTCCAAGTAGATATAGGTAGATGAAGCGGAAATGAAACTAAAAACAGAGTAAGTAAACGAGAAGAAAAATGCTGAAAACCGCGAGTTGATACCTCTTGAAGAACTGGAGAAATACTCGGAATAATATTATTAAAATTTAAACTGCATAGGAACTGAAATAATTAGTAGCAGTAGGAAGACA